CCTTTATATGAATTACTTTCGGCTTCGAAATATATTAAAAAGCGAAACATTTACAAGAGTAAAATGATAAGTAAAAGTCGTTTTGACTCTTTTTTCTCTTACTTTCGTGGCTTACAAAACTTATTAAAAGTATGCTATAAAAAATGCCGGTTTTAATGATAGTAATTTTATTTCAGATCGCATATGATCTATTTAAGAATTTAGCCGGTTGCGAATCTCACGTTGTTTACTCACAAATGATGTAAGCGTATTTATAATTGAGAAAAGAACAGTTACTTGTTTTGGAAGCAGAAAAATATTTATGGATACCAGCATCAAATTAAGTGCTAGATTACTAGATCTTTGTAACACATAGAAAATTGTCTTGAAAAAATTAATCTTTAATAAAGGATACCCAATGGACAAATTGGACGAGACAAATTAGTTCCTCTAGAACATTTTGCATTGATTCAATGACCCACGTGCATGAGCGCGTGTGTGCTTTGTGAGAAGTTTACTTTGACATTAAATTATTTGTCATTATTAATTAACCAGCACATCCGAAATTCAATTTGTTTCGGGAAATTTCTTGACTTGATGAGGTGATGCATAAATTAAAATTACTAAGCAGTAGCATCGTATGATGGCAATAATATGTATTCCCCGATGACCTTACTTTTTTATCACATTTTTTGGGGCATGCGGGATAAATTTGCGAATAAATATTTTTAATCGAGGCAAATTAGCAGTAGCATCCGAGAAGCCGCACGTGTATAATGTGTACATTTTTTGGCTAACTGATTCTCAACTATTTTTCTACAAATCTCCATTGGCTGTTACTTGCTCGAAACTCGTTGTGATGAATTTTTTAAAATTGAATTCTCATGATTACAAATCCATTAAAGTCGCACGAATTAAATGTCTAAAATGACACTGCTTGATATGAACGCAACCTTATCGAAATAAATGGGAAAAAGTAAAAGTGACCTTTTTCAATTTGTAAGCGCGGAAAATTGGAATAACTGAAGCTTTTATTAAAGGTGCTACAATAAAAAAATTGAAAACATAACGAAAATTAAAAAATATCCAAGTAAAGAAGAGCAGTGCGATGTGTAGCTGCAGCTGTGCGACTACATTCAATTCGAGGTCTTCTTATGTAAATTTACCGTAAAGCCCTAGGCGCCAGTAGCGTATTACACGCATATATTCTCGACCGATGTGCTCCGATTTTTAACATCGATAAGCTTGACGTGACATGACAAAAAAGTACACGATTATAGGGAAGAATAAAGTGAAGGCGCCTTTGCTCTAAGATTTAAAGAGTTTTCCTCGAGAAATGGCAAGGTTATTATCATGATCGTTATACACACCAATTAATAAAACTAAATAAATGAATATTAATTTGTGGTTTAAAAACCACGATACACGAACCAGAGTTAATCTTAAATACTTACTTGAAATAAAGTCAAATAGTATTTTTGGAATGCTCAGAAGTGAATCTTCATGAACTTGAATTTATAAGAAGAAAGGAATAGTAAATGATTATTTTATTAAAACTGCACAGTTTATCTAAGGAACAGACATTTTTCTTTGCCGATGAAAATATTTATCGATAGATTTATTGACTGAAAATCGGATGTTTGCTTGACAAAATATTATAAGACGATCGCAATGCATATGTTTGCTAAACAAATACTTGCAATTGAAAATGTTGAGCCTGTATTTTCTAACTTAATCGGTTGTTAGGCGTAGTTGACTTTATCCCGAGCTCGAAGTGATGCAGAAACCTACAATTTGCTGTACGTGCATCGGCGCACATATGTATCTGTGCTCCGCGCGTGGGCCCCATGCATAATACATGCATTATCAGGAGAGATGAAGGAAAGAATGAAATATACATTAGTGATTTCGCGCTCGATTCTTTTTTCTCTCTCACGGACTACCAGACGAATCTACTTCTTTCTGTCTATTTCTGTCACTCTGTTTCTCTCTCTCTCTCTTTCTTTAGAGGGTACATATATAAAAGAGCAATGGAATCGGGGTGGCCGTAGCAGTCACAATTCCCGAGCTCGCAGCGATAAGAGACGACTTGCAAGGCAAGTATACTTCATATACACATGCCATAAATGTAGATCTCTTCTTACATAGTAACTTTGCAAACTTTTCACTATTCCATTAATGTAGATAATTACAGGTATTTTAACGCCAGCGCGTATCAATCAGAGCAATTTCGAATCTTGTTTTATACGTATATCGAGATAATTTCTTATATTCCATGAAATAATATTTACATGATGATGTCTTGCTCGACGAAAATAAAACTTGAAAATCAAATCGTTGAAAGGTACGAATTTAAACAAATTCCGGAAAACACGAATAAAATAATAATTGATTATAAGTTATTTTTTTCTTGAAATCATCCGATCACAAAGATTCATCCTTAAATTAAACTATACAGTTGCCTAAATCAGACATCTGCAATCGTTAGCAAAAATGTAAATCAATTCAAATGAATTAGCAAAAAATTATTTCGTCTCTACGTATTCCTTCTATTGAATACTGGCTAAAACAAGTTTGCTTTCACTTTTTTAGCATGAAAAATATTGTTGTTCTATGATCCAAATTTCAAGCACTGAGAGTACTATACATTAATTTTGAGAATTTCAAATGATGTCATTACTATCAATTAAATTTGCTCATTTTGGGTTTATTACGAAATTAAACAGTTGTTCCACAAACCATATTTTTGCATGAACCTTTGTCGGAACGGATTCGAATACTTTTTGAACACACGCGGTATTTATCAAACCACGTGCGAAATCGTCAAAAATATCGAAAACATCCGGGGAAGATGTGTGTCACAGAAAATCTATATATACAGAGATCATTCACCCTAATATAAGTTTGCATTATTTGTACCGTTATGCGACTGTTCTCTAGGCGATGGAAATCGAGATAATCCTATGCTCATGACATTTGTCTGTTTTTAATGTTCTCTTTTATTTTGATGCTGCTTATACGTAACTATCCATTGTAAAATCAGGCCCAATTTGAAATGGAAACAATATATAACCCCGAGACTGCACGCGTACGTCTGGACCATCATATAACCAAAGGTATAGGACAATTTTTCATTGTATACCATTTGCATTTATTTACTTTACGTAAGTATGACGGGTTCGCATGGCACTTCTGTCATAATTTTGACATTATACAAACAGAAAACGAAGGTTTTATAGTACGAACTCACGTAAGCATCTATGGGTCGCATTAATTCTCATTTCTTGTACCTCTGTTTGACTTGCATTTATTCAATTTAGCCGCAAATAAAATTCTATTGATCCTCAAGTTACGAGATACTTGAAATTGCTGTTACTTGTCAATCATACTCGTCTTAGAGTTAATAAATATTAAAAGTTATTTTTAAGGGGTTCAAATGAGAATATAAATGGAAATTCTTATAGATATTCTCTAACATTTATATATATTTTTTTATAAGCTATATGTTCACATTGATCAATAGATTGAATTAATTCTTCAAAGATATAACAAAGAAAACTTTTTTCTAAATCATCTTCAGAAATCGCGTACGATCTGTCAAAGTTGAAATTTTAAAAAAATACAGAGAGAAGTTTTCCTTTTTTCAGTGAAAATGAATTTTCAATCTCATACAGAAAAATTGTCAATGCTCAATCAAACTATAAAAGTATATTTCATCAAAGATACCCATGAGTGACACCTTGAAAGTAAATATGACATATTTTTGTTACGATGAATTCATACTTCCGGAAATGCTAAAACCACTTTAAATAAAAATAATTTGATTTGAAAAATATTTTGATTAACTAAGATAGAATAATCTCAACACAATAACATTAAAAAGTAGCTTTTTAAAATGATTTCGAAATAATGCTATAAGTATTCCGGTATTTTTTTCAAGATAGTTATCACCAATTATTAAAATGTTGGCCTATCAAAGAATACGATTTACTTTTATGCTACACCTTTTATCATTTTTAAGGGGCTTGGAGGTTATGAATATGATTTTTGAAAACAAAATTTGTATTTCTTATCAAATATAACGTGAAAAATAATTGTTCAAATACTTTTTCAAAGTCACGTCATAAAAGAAAAATATTATGCAGAAAATGAAAATAGAATTTTGAGACCTATAAATTCATGATAAATGGACCTAGTAGGTTTGAATTTTCATTTTTTAATTTACTCTTAATGAGAATGCATTTAACTTTAATTTCGATTTTGGGCATTTTAGAATTGACGTTTCTTTATCCATCTTTTTTGCTAGGTGTTTTCTCGTTTGCTTCATTCCTCTTTGAAATATAAAATTGTAGCAATTATAGAATTGTTTTTTATACTTAAATTTTCTGGAAAATGTTTATTTTTTGTCGTTTCTTTTTTGAAATATTGTCATACACAAACTGAACTGAAACTGGATGCAAATATTTAAATCTTTTACATTTTTCCGTGTACATTAAAAGAGACGAAAAACATCCAACGTTTTTTAATCACAAAAAGGTTCCTTTGATTCTAAAGAAGTATTGAATAAATGTAATAATAAAAAAAAAGTAAAATTGCAGCAAAAGTTACACCTATGACACTTAAGGTGTGCATTCATTAGTTTAAAAACTACAACCTTACCAAATTTCAAACTCATATCTTCATTATTGCCAAACTTGCAGTCGTTAAAATATTTCACTTTTCAATTTCATGTGTTCACGGATACTTATATTAATCGATATAGCTGAAAGACATTATCACCATGCGGTCTTTAAATGTACACACACAACATATACAATACTAGTAACTTTCAAACGCGCTTCAAACATTTTTCAGTCAGTTTCGAAAAAGTTGCTATTTTGACCGTTGATGTCACTTTATTACGTTTTGACTCGAGTCAAAAGTCAGTGGACCAATCAGAGGCCGAATAGATTGGCTTCACTTTTAGGATCATCATTATTTTAAGAGAGGAAATAGACTTTGGCTTTCCCTACTACAGTCTTCTAAAACTAAATTTGGTGGTAGCTTGATCAATTTGTTGATTGATTTATGAATAATTATCGTAAACGTACTGGTTTAAAAAGCCTTCAACACTTACATAAATTCCTCGAGTTAAAACCGTTAAACCATATTTGAAAAAGTCTATTTATCTCAAATAAGAAACACCGGTGATGTAATTATATATCTTATTCTATCTTTTGAAATTTGATTTTGATAATAGTATAGGTTTGGTAACGATTGACTTTCAAAATATTGTTTCTAACTGCTAATAGTTATAAAGTCGACATCTTTTAAAAAAGATCATGAAATTTTAAAGATATTTTAAAGATCATGAATAGTTGTTAAAAATAGCCCTAGATTGATAACTTTAAGAGTTTAAAATGATTAAAAAAAAAAATTCTTGGGATTGTAAAAAGAAGCAATACATGGAGTGTTTTATTATTTTAGTAAAGTGAAAAAGGGCGTCTCATGCGATTGGCTACTTTTCCGCGTTACATCTCTCGAGGACTAAGGTTGATGTAAGTAGTAAGCCGAGCGACTTGTTCTGCTTCTCTCTTTAGATCAGCTTTCAATCCCTCTTTTCCTCACTCGCATCTCCTCACTACACTTTCCATTTCGCTAGAGGCGCGCGCGCGCACGCGCTAGCCCGCAGTGTATGTATACTAGCACCTCTTGCAAATGCCGGCCGGTTAGTTAGTTGACCATCGTCTTGATCAGTATACGGGCAACAACGAGCGACACTCGCCACTGCGACCAACATGTACGCCGAAATCTGTGCCACTACCGGTCTCGCCACTTTTCTCATCCTACTCTATTGGATTTTTTTCGGCAAAATCGTTTGGAAGAGCGTAAGTTTCTCCGAATGATATTTAATCATGCGTTCCATCGGCACAAATCATTTTTTCAAGCACTTTTTCTCATTCGACTATCGATCTTATTCAAACTGTAGTTTATTGTATTTCTCCCTGGAGATGCTGAAGATACGCGTAAAATATATGAAATTGCTAAAATTGTTGAATTGCCATTAAAGCAAACGATCGGTTTAATCACTTACGCATTACACCTTGCATATACCGTGTCGTAACGAAGCAGCGCAAATGATGCTGACAGTAGTAAAATATGAGATTCAGATACAATTTCAAAGATGCAATTATGTTTCTGGTAAAAATAATTTTTTGCGCGCTCAATTTCACTTTCACATAGAGTTTATTTTCATGGATGATTTAATTTCGTTTAAATGAAGCATCAAATTGACACTAGCTTTATTGACTCTTTATAGAATGTGTCGCTAGGAAGTAAAAGGTCTATCATGAGGAAGCACCGGTCAATCGGAAATATACCTCCCATTTATCCTAACGGCTGGTTTGCGCTCGCTCAAAGCTCAGAAATAAAAAATGGACAGGTTAAACAAATTGTCGCGCTTGGTGAAAATTTTGCAGTTTACAGGTAAGTTCAGCCATTGTTATTAAATAATAAACCAGTAATAAATAAGGCATCTAACTTATAAATCTATCCGCTGTCCTCTAATTTGAATAAAATTAATTAAAATGTAAAGACAAGTGAAAGATTTGTATCCGTACGTTTGAATGTTGCATTGATTAAAGCAGCATGAAAACTTGAATTACAGAACAGAAAAGGGTATTGTACGAATCGTAGATGCGTATTGTCCACATTTGGGTGCGAACATGGGCATAGGTGGCAAAGTTCGAGGCGAGGATCTCGAATGCCCATTTCACAGTTGGCGTTTCTGCGGCGCAACTGGTAAATGCACTTACATACCGTATGCGAAAAAGGGTGGTAAGTACAAATGTTCTCGAAATATTTTTCACGGTTATATACATTAATTAAATTTTATGTAAGATGTTTGAAACTTGTCTTTACAGTACCTGACGTTATAAAGGCAACTCCGTACGAATGCTTGGAAGTAAATGACTTGATATTCGTATGGTACCATTCGGATAAAGAGCCACCTACCTGGTGGCCGGAACCAATTGCACAGATAGCCAATAGGACTTGGACGTATCAAGGGTATAACGAATTTTTCGTTAATTGCCATATTCAAGTAAGATACACAAGGCTACGATAGCAAATATTCAACGCCGATATTTACAAGTGATTTTTGTCACAGGATATACCAGAAAACGGCGCCGATTGGGCTCACTTGACAGCGGTTCATGGGCCGTCCATATTGGATTCTTATTTGTCAGAAGCAGTGAAACATTCTTGGACCGATGCATCTTGGACAACGAGAAGCGAGGAACTGGAGGCTGACAGCGGCGACAAATCTGCTTGCTGCATCCCCCCGACTCCAGTAATCAGCCACAAGCACATAGCTACAAGCTGCTTGAAGCACAACTTGATATTATTCAACAAATATCACATGATGGAAATAAACGTCAAAGCCAATCAAATAGGACCTGGTTATGTAGAGCTCCAGCTTCAAACCAAGTTCGGGCCCATGTGCATCGTTCAAACTGTCACTCCGGTTGGGCCGTTGCAACAGCGAGTGACTCACTTGATGTTTTCCCCTTTACTTACATCTCCCTATGCCAAACTTGTTATGCTTGGCGAATGTATAATGTTTCAACGAGATGTTGATGTCTGGAATCACAAAAAATACATGGATAAACCAATGTTGGTCAGCGAAGACAAAAACATTAAACATTTCAGGAGGTGGTATAAGCAATTTTACAGTATAAGTAGTCCGACCTATGAGTCTGCAAAGGATTCTCTCGAATGGTAAAATAACGACAAATTGTGCAACATACGAGTGATTGTCGTATGATTTGCAATCGATGTACAGGTCTTTACACGTAAAGAATTATATTGGACTAAATTTTAGGATTAAAACTAAAGACTGATTATATATAAGGTTTATATATTTAAGAAAATGTTTCTATTTTTAATATTTTCTGACTTTCCCGAAAGTGTATCTCAGTTCAGATAAAATAAAATTTTTCTTGATAATTCAACTGAAAGTAACATTTTTGGCCTCCTGGCTAAAACAAAAATGTTTCTTTCCGTTGAGGGATTCAAGAAAAGTATAATACGCATCGTGGGAGATAAAAAGAGCCTCAAAGCACATGTTCGTCAACCTAGGCGAAGCAGAGGTTGACAATTAACATGTGATTTGAGTTTTTTTTACCTCCCTTGGCCAATAATCTACCATTAATTTTTTCTGTAACTACTAATCTTATTCTTAAAAAGTTTTATATGGTCTAAGACTTCAGTTTTAAAAATTAATGACTTAATTTATTTTTATTTAAAATTGTATTATAATTATTTATATTACTATTGTAAAAGAAAATAATCTTAAGCTTTTCGAGTATTAATAAAATATTTAGATTAATAGCTCAACACATAAATATTTTGTGTAATTCATTGACACAAACAGTTTCACTTCATAATTATTATTTATATGAATTTGTAAGATGATATAAACTAACGAGGAGACCACATGAGATACAATACACAAATCTTCAATTTTTTTTTTAATATTTTACTGAAGAAAAAATACTCATTTATCCTTTTAATTTCAAGATTTTTAATCATTTTTTTGGTCATATTGTTCAAATTTAATTGGAAGAAAAAGGTAACAGCAACGAAAAAATCTTACCATTAGTCAAACAATACGTAAATCTACGAATTTTTTCGTTGCATAGAACAGTACTTTTTGAATAGCTCTTTGAAGAATTAAAATTTTATTTTGAGTCAATTGTTGTAGCCAAAACAAAATATCTCCATAACTGCATTTATTATTTGATCACAAATGACAAAATTCAAATTTAACCGCCAAGCGCATGATCACACAGGCCGTGGCTTTTTCTGCTGTCGAGCCCAGCGGCCTGCGGATGCGGTGCGCCATGCGGTATTATACACTTACCATATCGTATAGTGTAGCCCGTAAGGCACATGTTTGATTTCTAGCATAATATTTCATTTGGTGCTCAGAAAGGCACGTGTTCCTTGAGTAACAATAACAATTTTTGACTATACAACCATTCGTTAATGTCAATTACTTCAAGTTGTTGTGTTTGATAGATTTTGTTTCTGCTCATAATTTGGTAAACATACATTGACTCAGTTTTAATGTACACAATTATTGAAGATATTAATGATTTCACTATAAATGAATAATTCGTTTTTATTACAGCTTTCATAATGGTTGTCTTTACTTGTAATCATTGTGGAGATTCTTTACAAAAACCCAAGGTTGCCAAGCACTATCAATTTGCTTGCCGCAAAGGCATATTTCTTACCTGTGTCGACTGTCATAAAGATTTTTAGTGAGTGAAATGTTAAAAGCATTTTTTTTTAAATTATTAATTATTCATGTTTTATAATTTTCACCTGCTTTAACTAATTTTTTTTATGATTTGATTTCTAGTGAAGATGAGTACACTGCACATACAAAGTGTATTACAGAAAATCAACGTTATGGTGGAAAAGATTATGTTGAAAAACCTAGTTGCAATAAAGGAGAAAGAAAACAGCAAGCGTGGTTAGAAATTGTACATAATGTGCTAACGAATACTCCTAATCTCTCAGGACCTGAAAGAAATTTTTTGAATTCCATTTCAAAACATGAAAATCTACCTAGGAAGAAACCAAAATTTTTAAATTTTATTCGTAGTGCATTTGGTAATCGTTTTAATATGGCAGTTGTTGACTCAACATGGACTAAAATGGAAAATGCATTTAAAGAAGCAACAGCTGAAAAGACTGTAACTTCACAACGTAAGTTATATAGACATATTAAAAGTATAAAAATAACTTTTTGATACAATAAATATAAATTTGATGAAATCGTTTTAGAAAATAATGGTGCGCAAATCCAAGAAGATAAACAAGACAAAGTAGAGAACTCCAAAGATAAAGATAACAAAAAAGAGAAAAAAGAAAATAAAATACTTGCGACTGAAAATGACAATACTGAGTTATCTCAAATCAGTAACGGAGTTGAAAGTGAAAATGTAAATGAAGTTGAAAAAGAGAGTAAGAAGAAAAATAAATCTAAAAAGAGAGTGCTAGAAAATAATGAAAATGAAAATAGTGAGCCATTGAAAAAGAAAAAATTAGAAAAGGAGGCTGAAAATATTTCTGTGAATGAAAATGACAAATTTAGTTGGAAAAATAGCATTTTAGAAATATTAACAGCTAAAGGTGAAATTACCAAAAAAAAACTAAAAAAGAAAGTGATTGCTCTTTATTTAGAACAATTTCCAGATGCTACAAGTGAATCAGCAGACTCTAAATTTGAAAAAAAACTCAGTAAAGTGTCAGGTATTTCAATTGCAGACAAAAAAGTTACTTTAACAGAAGTATAACTTATCATATTAATTATATTAATTATACACTCCAACATCGAGAATAAAAATCCATATACAAAATAATTTCTACCTTATAAATAAAAGGTATTTTTATAAAACGCAAATTAGAAATTATTTAATTTTCCCTCCTTAGTCCTTTGCCGCAGGTTATTATTACGCGCAAGCGCGAATTGTTATCATTATAATTTTAATGAAACAGGCCTTAATGTAGCTGACAAAAAGTATTGCACAAGAAAAACAGGATCATAGATTCGCAGCGTCTGTCATGCTATGCATTATGCCAGTAATGTAAAATAGTAGTACACATATTCACCGATACGTTACACATACAAATACACCTACTTTGCAAATACTCACGTACGTTCTCGCGAGCTATTTTTCTTATATCGATTCTGCTTCAGCATATATGAGTTTGCAAGAGAAAGAGAACTGGACTATGTGTCATCAGTCAAGCTCGCGCCACACCTGCATTATAAAATAAATCTACCCAAGGACCAGCATGCAGATGTTGAAGATTTGTTACTCCTTCAAAATAAACTTACACTTCTGTGGTAAGATTTTCGATATTCGTAAGGTTTTTGAATATCACGCGTATTCACAAAATCGAATAGCATCCTTACATGACAGACTGTACAATGTAAACTTTTAGACAAGAATTCATACACCACACAATTTCCTTCAATGTAGCTTTCAATAATTTAATAATAATTTCTATGAAATGTCCACCATATATATTTATAAACGAGACGGTATCAATGATGCTTACAAGTGTAGGTTAAAAATCATTATCATGAAGAGTACTCATTTCTGTTGACTGATGATTAGTCATAACTGATTTAAAGCCATTTCTGACATTTAAATGTCAAAATTTTATGATAAAAGATGAATTCAGCAATTTGCTTATGATTTCATAACGAAAAAGTAGAGAATAAAATATGATAATCAACATAAGACTCACTGCAAAAGTAAAAGTTAATTTTTTTCGTTATGAAAAATATGTTTGAAAATATCATCATTTCCAATTTTAATGCACATTTTTTGCATTTTTATGATTTTTGAACATAGACAAAAGATTGTATATAATATTATATTGTAATTGATTATCAAAAATATTTAAACTTTAGCACTTAATATATTCTTATTAAATCATTTCAAAGCAAGAAAAGGATTATTTTAAGCATGCATTTAATTGAATAAAAAATTTTTGGTTTCAGATTATTTGTATTTCAAATGCTAATAATATGCATGCTATTTGAACCAAAGATATTAAGATCTTTCATAAGATGATCTTAGATTTAATTTGGAGGAAAAGTAGAAGAAAAAGGAAAAGACATTTCAATTCAAAATGTTGCAAGCTGTTAGATTGCTCACGGAAATGGCAAGAACCTCAGATGACAGGTCACGAGGTGAGACTGCTGCGCAGTCTTCAACATCTAGCTTAGAAGGTAATATCTTTAAAAAAATAAAAACTACAGAAACCAATTTTAAAAAAAAAAATTGGAAATCAGATTTTTTATTCAAATTTCAGCACCTGTACTTTTTCGTGAAATCCATAAAAATGGTTGGCTGCGTCGTACAGATACAAAATCTGAACGCGAATCATCACGTTGCTGGGCAGCTTTCTGCGTGCACGACGATGCCGATCCACGAATCGAAGGCTTTATCGATCAAAAACAAGCCAATACACATTCTTCAGTTTGGTCACAATCACTACGAAATGCGCTGCATTTATCACCCACACTTTGTGCTACTTCAAAAAATGATTATGAATTTTGCATCAACTTCAGCGATGACAGAATAATGAGATTGGCTGCTCCAACTTATCAAGCTATGTTAGACTGGGTGCAGGTGATAACAAGAAAACTTACTGATATGAAAGTACTCAAGCCAAAAGAAAATGTATACTCTAAAGGACCCGAGAGGATAGCTACTAGAGATCCTACCAGCCCACTGCCACCCCCACCACCTAATTTGGTAAGTTTTTTAATTAATTTACCTAGAACTAAGTTCTTTAAAGTTATATAATCGATTGATGAATAAAACCTTTTCAGGCTATGCGTAGTCAAGAAACAGGAGCTACTTCTAATGCGCCAGCTATTTTTACATTCGATGATGTATTCATCATTGAAGCATTACCTCAACGCAGAGCTAGTTTTCGTCAACCTACAAGATCCGCACCAGCAGTACCTCGTGCTGGTACAGCAACCGGTACAAGTACTTCAGCTGCAAGTAGCAATGATACAGTCAATAATTCGGGCTACGAAAGTGTATTTCTGGCTTCTTCGTCCCATACAATGAATGGTGAAAGTCATTCTCGATCTCGATCCAACGGGGCTGTTGGATTAAGTAGATCACGCAGTTCGAGCGATGAAGGTGAACAATATGCTGCATTGATAGAGTGTCGCAGCCGCTCGGATAGTAATCCGGAAGCGTCTACATCGTTTGCAACTTCTTCGTCCACATCGTCGTCGTCTTCGAGATCAATCAATCCGAGCCGTTTACAACCACAGCAGCAGCAGCAAATAGCGAGGGCCCAATTGACGTTAAGAGAACATCAAGTTATGCAATTGCGAAAAGAAATGGGACATCCGGCCGGTGTTAGACTTAAACTTGGCAGGCGAGATTGCAAAGATGCTATTGCTTTTGTTGATTGTTTTGGTGCCGTATGGTAAGATTATCACCCATTAAAAAAAAGCTATGCTTGCCCAAATATGCATTCATTTATTTTGTCATAGGATTGCTGGTTGGAAACACAAGGATCATCCATTACTTTACAATGTTTTACACATCGGAGATTTAGTATTAAGTATAGCTGGAGTTACATTAACTGGAGCTAGTTCAATCAGAGAAATATTGAAAAACTATACGTTCCCACGTGTTAGTACAAAATTTGCTCTATAAAATTATCATAATTTCGCTATTTTAAAAGTATTAATTAGTTAATTTTGTTTGTTCCATATCCAGGTAGAAATGATAGTCAGGCGTTTGCCACATGGTCGCGTTACTACCTTGACCCGAAGGAGCGAGGAAGAAAATTTTGGTCTCGATCTGAATGGCAGCAATGAAGTTGTCTCTGTATCGCCGACTGCACAAGCTCTCGTATTATCCGCCCGAGCGAATCCGGCCGATCCAAGTGCAGATGTGGGTGCAACAGTTAGTTGGACACTAACCGAAGTTAATAATAAACCGTTAAATCTTTACGAGCCAAGCGCGAGTGACCGGTTGAATGGTGGAGTCGGTAGAGATGTATCCGTAGTGTTGCAGCCCAGTGATTTAATGAATGGTTTAAAAAAAAAATTGCGAGGTGTACGTGGATGGAAAAATTTTGTAATGCCATGAACGGTTAAATTTTTATTGAAAAATCATTTTCAAACCATCCCATCAAGACTGTTTAGCTTGTAAAAATTTATTTTGAATCAGTCTTTTTACCAAAAATTTTATAAATGATATAACAAAAAATAGATTGAAGTTTTGACGAGAGATAGCGATAAGTATACACAAGCAACGTGGTATTTTATAAAATGAAATAAGTTACTTTTGTGATAATTATTTTAATAAAATTACCTAGAATTCAACAAATGTAGTTTATCTAGATAATTTGTCTTAAAACTGAAATAAGGTAATTTAAAATTTATAGTTTATGTAATAAAAAACAAATTTGAGTATAGGAATAACGATAGTATTATAGTAAAATATCCGCTTCTGAATGAAGATTGTTGTAACTTATACAAGTAGTTTATGTTATCATATATATTTTTTTAAAAACTATTATTATTTTTACGATTATTATTTATTTAATAAATATATTATCACAGATTTATTAGTCATAAAACAAACTTTTCATTTGAAATGAAACTGTTAAGCAAATAAACAAATCAGTTTCTTGCAGAATAAAAACTAATTTTTGAAAACTTCTATTATATTATTAGTTATAATCGAAGTTTATAATCTAGATAGTTATAACAGGATTTTTTTAGAAGCGGTGATTATATTTCTTGTAAAATCATTTTATAGTTTTATACACTTAGTAATGACTAAAAGTATAGAATTTGAACTTTTGTATGTAATGGCAAACCAGAAAAACAGTCAGATTTTTGTAAAAGATTTGAAATTTATATTGTATATTTACGAATAAAGTAAAAAATGTATATAAATTTATGAATCAATTGGACTTGAAAAATTATTTCTGCCCTTAAACTACCATAATCGTTCTTTCTCATTTTGAGAATGCAAAAAATTTATTTTTACCCTCACATTTTACTCATTTGTTTTCGGAATTGATATAGTTATTTTCCAAAATTTTGATTGTTGTTCATCTTTTACTGTGCCGACACAATATCTAAACTATAGCATTTTTAATCGATTTAAAAAGTATTCGATATTTTTTGAAAATTCATAGCAACGCACGATGATTTGTGCACTTCATTTTGCTTATTATTATATTATTATATTATAATATAACAAAAGCTACAATGGCCTTCTATCCCGGCACATGGAATTTGAATATAATCATTCATTCAGTTTTAGTTCAAAAATTTAAAAATATTATCACTAAAACATCGTAAAACAACTTGACTTGCCCTCTGGTGTTGAGATTGACTACGCCGTGTCGCTAGTCGCATTGCAGTGTGCTAAAACATTCTCTCCGCCCTACTATAATTCCTATGCTCGACGCTTTTGGTGAATCTGGCGGCGGCGCTGACTTTGCTGCCAGCATAGTGATTAGTGAATAACCCTGAAGACACAGTCGTCGTGCCGCTAACTGCCAAGCTCTTCACATATCACAACATTTCGTTCAACAACATACAAAAAATCTTCTCACCATGTCTGTTGCAGTAAGATCCGCCAAAGATAAAAACAGAAGTAGAATCAGCGATAGGGACAGAGAAAAAGAACGAGAAAAGACAAGGGATAAAGATAGGGATGCTAAAAGACGTAAATTATCCGATAACTCTAGTTCTACGAAGGTAAGTTGTTTACAGATGTACAATCACAATTTTTACTTTCTCCTTGTTTTTTACATGACTTTTAATTTCTATAATCTCCATATTTCACTATTAATTTCTATATTTTAATACGTACTATGCACATTATTTATAACCTCTACAATAATTTCTATATTATAGACGACAGACGTTGTGGCTATTGCCCATAAACAAATAGAAGAAAGGAAAAAAGCTTATAATCATAGCAGTCAACCTGTTAGAAAGGACTTAGATGCTGTAAGGCCCTTTTTAAAAAATCAATCTGCTTTAGCTACTATGGGAGCAATGTACAGCCAAGGTCTTCTTAGCAAATCAGATATTAAATCTTCTGATGAGAGAGCAAAGAAAATAGCAGCTCTGCAAGCACAAATTCAAAGTAAGCTCAACAAAGCTGGTATAGGTAACAATTTGCAAAGTGAGGATAAACCTAAGCCTCTGATTCTTGATGAATCTGGTAGAACTGTTGACATAACTGGCAAAGAAATTCAGCTCACACGAGTCGCACCTACATTGAAAGCAAATATTCGGGCCAAAAAACGTGAAGAATTCAATAAAGCTCAAATGCATGATGCCAAAGGTCCAGAAGAATTAGCTGATACACACTTTTTTGACAATAGAATAGGATTAAAAGCTGCTGTTAGAACTAAACGAGCCCTCAAACTGAATGAACCAGGTAAATATATTCAAATTGCTGACAGGGTCCGCATGAAGGCTCAATTAGATAGATTACAAAATGAAATCAGTCAAATTGCTAGAAAAACTGGCATTAGTTCTGCGACAAAGTTAGCCTTAATCGCACCTAAAACTGAAGCTTTGAGTGAAGAAGTACCTAATGTTGAATGGTGGGATTCTGTTATTTTACAAACCGATTATGAGAATGCAGATAGTAACGACATTAATGAAGTTATTAGAGTTTCTACTATAACTAATCTAGTTGAGCATCCTGCTCAAATGAGGCCTCCAAGTAAGTGTTTGAATATATTTTTGTTCCTCAAAAAAAAAATTATTTTTAACCATGTTTCTAATTTATTTATTTAGCGGAACCATCAAAGCCTATGTATATGCCTGTATTTTTAACAAAAAAAGAAAGAAAAAAATTAAGAAGACAAAATCGTAGAGAAGCATGGAAAGAAGAGCAAGAGAAAATTCGTCTTGGTTTAGAACCACCACCTGAACCAAAATTGCGTATTTCCAATTTAATGAGAGTTCTTGGTAATGAAGCAGTACAAGATCCAACGAAAATTGAAGCTCATGTTAAGCAGCAAATGGCAAAGAGACTAAAGGCTCATGAAGATGCAAATGCAGCTAGACGACTAACAGCTGACCAAAGACGCGAAAAGAAAGCCAGAAAAATCAAAGAAGATACTTCACTTGGTGTTCATGTTGCTGTGTTCAGGTAAATTTGTTTTGCTTCTTTACTCAATAAATAAATATAATCAATAAACAGTCAGGTCTTAAAACATAAAATACATTTGTATAATTGCAGAATACGTGATTTAATCAATAATGCCTCCAAAAAATTCAAAGTCGAAACCAATGCTAAACAGTTATATCTCACTGGATGTGTCATGTTGTTTCGAGATTGTAATGTAGTTGTCGTTGAAGGCGGACAGAAACAACTAAGTAAATACAAGCGTCTGATGTTACATCGCATAAAATGGGAAGAAGACCAAGTTAAAGATACTGATGGAAATGATGTACCTAACAAATGTGTTTTGGTTTGGGAAGGTACTTGTAAACAACGACATTTTGGAGATATCAAATTCAAAGTATGTCCAATTGAAAAAATGGCTCGAGAACACTTTAAAAAACACCAGGTTGAACAATATTGGGATTTGGCTTATAGTGGTGCTGTTTTAGATAATACAGAAGACTCAATCATTTAAAAATTAAAATAACAATAACATTTAAAAAATATTTTTTTAATGTTCGTTGCACTGATATTCTTCTGAATGTAGATCCAAAATACGATTATTTTAATTGAAATAATTTAACCGTTGTCCATTCTGTTCCAATTGAATTATCAATTATATGTAAATATGTATATTAAGAATTTGTATAAATAAAATGCACTGTAAATGCAACTTATTTCTCATAATAATGACTGTTGAAACTTTCTTATTTCTATTAAGGCTTTCTTTTAATTCTATTATTTGATTTAAATGTTTCTAAAAATGACATCGATTCATGAAATTTCTAAAAAATTGTATAACTCCACTATTAGTGATTAATTAATATAAATTATAGGGAATAAATAAATTGACATTAATTCATTTAATTCAAAGGGACATTTTCTTTGTGTAGTTTTAGAAAATGAAAAATATGCAGAATAATTTTATAGAAGAATAATGTTGTAGAGTATGGAAAAAACTAACGACCTTTTTTTAATATCGGTCCCTTGCCTTATTTATGTTGCAAAAATTATGCACAGGATTTTCGACCTAGAATTTTCCAGTTTTTTTCTTAAAGATTGCTGTTATCGTAAAATATTTTGAAATTTCTTTTGTTTAATTATGCGTGTGCAGCTTTTAGTATTGAATTGATATACCTTTTTTCGTGAAAATTATTTTCTGAAGTACCATTTAAACATTTCGCGCAAGTATTTAAGTTAGGAATATCTAACCTCAAATTATTCACGCATATTCGCTATTCACCGAAGCACACAACGTTAACTTTATATGCCATCACACGCCTAAACAACGAAATCTGTCACGTACAGCAACTGAGTGTATCATCAGAAGTCAAAAAGCAATGCAACAACTAACAAGTCATATACATACTTTTTTCAAAAGCTAAGCTTTCTAAGTATATGTCAAACAAATTTTGACGAGATATTTAAAATTTCTTATATCAAATGGATAATCTTGATTCACATTAATGCAGTGAGTATTTCGTTGCGTAGTTTATTTATTCATCAAATAGATACGGACATGATAACAATATCGTGTGATGATGCATCGCGAACTTTCGTTTGTAGGTGTGTTTCCGATGGTTTACATTCGTTTTTTTCTATTTTTTCAGATTTTGTTCCTTGTGATATCTCATAGAGTGAGTTTTTAAATGATGCCATTTGAAAAAAAGTGAGTTATTCAATTTTTTTAAAAGCTGTTTTTTTATGTGCTGGTAGCACCACTTCATTGACTAACTTCTGTTTTTTTTTAATCCATGGAAATTTAGCTAATAACAGCAAACATGAGTGACGATAGTGAAGAATCATCCAATGAAGAATATTGGGATAACTTGGATAAAAGAGCTGATGTCCCTCTCAACAAATACTCCAAATCCAGTATAAAGTTACTAATAAGTAGTTTAAAACGTTTGTTAAAACTTGCAAACGAATCATATAAAAAGAATAGTATGGAAGACGCTTATGTATACTACAAAAAATGGATGAAACTTTTGAATTATATAAAAACAAAAGAAAAATTGGACAAACATACAGTGGCTCAATTTTGTCCAACAGAAGATGTGAGTTTTATGTTCATTAATTAGATAGTAGTTAGAATGAGTTAAAATTACAGTTTTATTGGTCACACTTTTTTATATTTTAGATAGAAGAAGCTATAAAGATTTTTAAAGCGGTGAAAATGAAACTAAAAGACAAACTTAAAGCTGATGAAAAACTTAGAAAAAAAGAAAGGCAACGTAAACCAAATCCTCAGTTAAATACAATTGTTAATCATGATGAAAATTTAGGAGAAAAGTTGATACAGAATAAATTGATTGAAATGGAATGTACAGAATTATTCAAAAAATTAGAAAGTAGTAAAGACAAAGTTCTTATAATTGACTTGAGAAAAGATGATGAATATAATTTGGTGAAAATAAAGAATTCAAATGTTATTCATTTACCAGAAAAGTCCATAAAAGCAGAGTGAGTTAACATTAACTTGATAATTTAGATGTAATAAATTTTTATAATTATTTAAATTACTTATTCAACAGAAAAAAAGTAAATGAGTACATATCTGACCTCAACAAAGAAGCTGAATTGAGATTCAGAGCTATATTTTTAACAACAACAATTATAGAGCTAATTGTACTCATGGATACTAGTTCTGATACTATCAAAGCAAATACCCCTTTAAGTTGGTTCAGGAACACATTAGGTTCATGTGAAGAAACTCGTCAGCAGATAGCGATACTGAAGGGAGGATTTGCAGAATGGGTAGATACTTTTCCGCATATGGTTATCAGATCCTCTTTTCCAAGTAATGTAAGTTTGAAAATAAAATATTATTAACAACAACTATGACTTGAACTACAGCAATGTGAAGAAATAATCTTAATTTTTCATTTATTAAAATAACAATTAAAATTTATTTATTAAAATAACAATTAAATTTTTTTCAGAATACATCTCAAGATAGCGATTGGGACAATATTGATTTTCTACCAAATGGAACTTTAATTAAACAAAATAAGTCTACTGTAAGTACACAATATCACAATAAGTAAGAAAATTTTGTGAATATATGTAAAATTATGACGATTTTTGTAGGACTCACAAAAAACATCGATTAATAGCAATACAATTTTTACGAATAGTCATACTTTTCAACCATCACCTGTGTTACATAATGACTCCATGGGAATTAAAGCTAAAAATTATCCAGAATTTAGTGCTCAGGCTGATGTAAGCAGTAATTTTCAACCCTCGCCTGTGTTGATTAAAGACTCTATAGGAATAAAAGCAAAGAATTATTCTGAATTTAGTGCTCATAATGAAGTAAGTATTACTGAAATAACAAATTTTATATTAGTCTTGCACATTTACCTATTTATTAAATTTCTATTATACAGAAAAACAACCAAAAAAATAAATCACATGACACTCCATATTATGATCGATCATTGAAGCCAAAAGCTACTTTTAAAATCGAAAAAGAAATAGATAAGTTACAAATAAATAAATCTTGGGATAGAGAGCAGCATGTTGTTGAAAACAAACTTTCGGAAAATAAGGTAATTGATTTCAAATGAAATACAATATAAAAGTAAAAAAGTACTCATCAATTTTGGTGAATTTATTGCAGGGCCATACACAAGTATATATTGAAAAAAAAATTTACCCAACGCTAGATTTTGGATCGAAAGTTCCTAAATCTCAAGTTGTGAAATCAGATAATCGGTAATAAAATTATAACTTCTAATCGAAATAAATTTTTTAGAGTAAAATATTAATTAATTTATATTTTTTTTTAAGAAAAATAAACAAAGAAAATATTCAGTATCCTTCAAAGCCAATTGAACCCGCACTTCTCTCAGGACATAAAAAACTGCCACAAAAAATGGATATTGACGAACAAACAGAAACGATTCACAGAGAACCTTTGAAATCTGAAAATAGTAAGCCTGTCAATCCAGGATTGAAAAGGTCCCATTCTAGTCCTAATCTTCAGGTAAAAAGGCTTAAGACCAGCAATCATGTAAATATCGCTTTTTCTTTTCTTTTCTTTTTTACACCCTTTTGAAGTTATTTCTCTGAATGCTTTTGGCTTGAAATTGTACATTCCAAATAACAGAGTCAGTTTTTAATCATTTTGTCTTGACTTCTTTGATTTAGAAATTGCAAGATAAGCCAATAATCGACAGAGGATCAAAACCAACTGTCACCAATATACCGAAAATAAATCAATTGGATAGAGAAGCGCGTTTTGAGCCCGTTTATGGTGCACAGAGGGTGAGTAAAGAGTATTCATATATGAATATATTATTAAAAAGATGGATTTAGGGTAACATATTTTTATTATTATTTTTGTTTGACAATTTTTATTTTAGAACCAAATGTTTTCATGCAAATATATATTTTATATATTTTTTTTGTGATCCTTTCAATTCAGAGTCTTGGTTACATGCGCAAAAATCAAACCAAAAAGGAAACAATTTATGGCGGCAATCTGAGCCTTTTTTATCGTATATTCTTTTTCAATGAACGATGAATTCCCCATAAAAAATAGATCGATAGATATCTATGATTCACTCCAATCAGTCTCGGTGTTTTTTCATCATGGAGCTCTTTTTCTTGTTTCAACGAATAATACACCACAAATAATCCCCTTTAATTACCGTGAAAGCAATTTATATCAGACTCGAAATATCGTTCTATAGCTGCGATGTATTCTTGCTTATAAGGTCTATAATCGTAATATATCTATATTTAAAAAAAGCAGAGCGTAAAAAAATCAGTAAAATTGCAATGCATCAGTTACATTTAAATATGAATGAATAATTACATAAAACTGTAAAAGATAATATTATGCCATTCAATTTCAAAGATCGTTAATTATTTTAAAAATAGAGAACAAATTAAACAAAAGATGTGATCCGAATAAAAAAATTCAGTACTAGTCAACATGAAAATGATCGTATCAATCGATATTGACTAAAGTTTATACCAGCATAAAAAATTAGTTATTCAGATTAAGTACGTGTGCTTGCACCACTGGAAACCGAAAAATAAAACATCGGTTAATCGTGCTGAAAGCGCAAAGATTGACTTTCACATAAATTGTGTACCCTCTTTCTGTCTGTGTCAACGGGCATAGACGTAACGTTATTTTATTTGATGGCATTAATTATCCGATTTGTTTATTTTACATTACCTACGCAATTTACTTTCGAAAAAGTACTACTCACGAAATTTGCAAAAGCTTCACGCAGCCGGCACGTGTAAAGAAGTGATATTTGGCAAATCAATATAAACGCGATGCGATAACAATCGTAATCGTTCTTACTTTTTTTAAACCTTTTATTTTCTCTTTGAAAATAATAAATTATCGTTCGTAAGAATATCACGGTAGACCAAACGTCGTCGGTCAGTCAAGATATTTATATCATTTGACATTTTTTCGTAGGAAGAGCTCTCTTATCGCTCATTAGTGCGATAAAATACCTTTTCCGAAGGTACTTTGAAAAATCGTCGATGATCATTCATAGGAAGAAAACTCGTTATTTTTAAACAATCGAGGCTTTTTGATGGCATTAGTGACAATCATAAACCTATGTGCATTTATCACGTTTGATATTTCAAGCAAAGCAATATGTGAGTTCTGGATGTGTATACTATAATAATATGTTAAAGTCATAAATATTTTATTATGCAACAATATAAGAGTTGTTCTAGACTCTAATTACGGATTAAATTCGAAAACTTTTGGCGTCATTTTTTCACAGTTAATCTAATTAAAAAGAAAATCTCATCAACTTTTGACGTCTCCCGAGTGTCGACGTCATATAAGAAGATTAAATCGATCAAAATTTTGTTAATAGATTTGTAAGGCTTTCTTTTTCATTTTTCAATCTTACAATTTTACAATCTTGCAATCATGAAGCTCCATTATAGTTTCTTCAAATGAAGTCTTCGATCCTGTTGTTGCAATGAGAAAGGAAGAAAAATCCAACGTCATCGATTGATTGTTTATCTTAAATATTTTATCAGTTGTTAAATAACATTTTTTTATTCGAACTTTCCAGAGTAAGACAGCTGATATTTAAGAGCGATAAGTCAGGCTTGCTATGAATCTCGAGCTTGCAACTCTCTCTCGGGAGAAATGTCATTTTTCTCATAGGAGATAGACTTGCGTAACTCGAAGTCACTGGTGCGTACACATGTTTATCTATCGATTATGATGCACAATTAATAAATTGACGATGTTGATGCCGATGATGCGTGCTATTGACACGTTATCGATCCGTCTGTATATATATAACACGAAACGAAATTGAAAAAATAAATAATCACGGCTCTTCGAGCTTTTTATCGTCCATCGCATATTTCAATTAAATTACCGAATTATATTCGCTGGTTTGGCCTTATCAGCCTTCTAATTTCATCAAAAATCGTTACGCTTCGATTTTATTGTCTTTCTCAAAAATGCGTTATTAGGTGGAATGGATGAAATCGCAAATAGCGATCTTTACCTCAGCCATATTAATATCCGTACAAATAGTGGTTTAATTATTTTTCAAGTAGCTAGGTAAATTTTCGCAGGTTCGACTTTTATTCGACATTCGGCAATAACAGATCAATTAACAGCGAACAGCTAAAAATGCATCGATGACGATTGTAAATGACGTTTCTTGTTCTTTTTTTATGCGCTGCTTTCCATCGATGATGATGATGTCGTAGTCGCTCTCAGACAACGTATAACATCGGTGCACGCGTCGTTGAGTGACGTATCGAAATTCATACACATACGCTCAATTTATTTTTTTTACACTTTTTTTCTACTCGACTGCGTGATTTTTGCCTGTTTGAGCAAGTTTTTTTTTTAAACATTTGCTCGTGTTAAATATAATTATTTTTCGTGATACAATAAGCTGATCGATTAAAATCGACAATTAACTTTTGTCAAACAAGAAAAAAATGAGTAAAAATAAGGTCATAATTTTCATGCACAAAGAAGAAACACATTGAGCGTTGTTAAACCAAATTAATACTACGAGACTTGCGTGATGATTTTTCACGAAATATTTGCCAGAGCTTTTGACGCTTTCGCACGTGTCCGCAACGTCATTCTGTTTTTTTTTATTTTCACGACGATCTTAACCGTGTATACTTGAATACATGCAAATAACTGAAAATCACCTTAGTGGCATTTGACGTGTCTAGAGCCCGTTGCTTTCTGCAAAAACCTATTAATACACTAATGCTCTTTTTTGTCATAAAATAAGACACTTGCTCATTATATAAGTCACGACGAAAAGGTAGCCACGAACGATATAGCAACGATAGATATGTTACTGGCAAAATTCGTATTTAGGCAAAAGCAACGCAAGGAGCCTAAATGCTTAGGCAATAGTGGAATTTTCTTAAATGGGAATTTCGCCTGCAAAATGTTCATGAAGTGTTTCCTCCGTGCTATTTCCGGTTTCTTGCAAATTCTCAGATGCTCAATAAGTGTGGCCGATACTAATCCATGTCAAATTTACTGTAAGTACGTGTGAGACAAGTGCAAGCACCATTTGAAAAGTATCCAGTGATTTTTGCGATTTTTGATCACATCAAATAACTCAATGGCAACGGACTATTCTTGTTCCACTTTTCTGATTATACAACTCTTAAAGTAAAAAGATGAAGCGTTTGAAAATTTGAGTGGCCCCTTCGTGCGCAACAAATTCTCTGCTGTATTATTGCAAATCTAAAACACATTGAAAGACTTTTTTAAATGTACTTTCATGAGTTTTTTGGATAAAATTTTTTCATATAAACCTAAAAGTGATTTTTCCCCTCTATGCGCGTTTTCATTCAACCAATATAATCTTTTTATACACCTGGATCGTCATTTTACCTAGAAACTTCATATTTAAACCGTAAGAAAACAACTAGGATTGCAATTAAGCAAAGTTTACTAGATGCTCGACAGTGAGTTAGCAATTTGCTTGACGATAAATTATTGCTATGCTTGTTATCTATACGGTTCATTTCAATTATGTGTTTTACGACTTATAAAAAAAAGAAATCGAAAGCGAAGCAATTTACATATTAAATAGAATTATGATTAAAGTACAAAATCTATTCTCTCTCATTTATTTTCTCATGAATACTATATCTACGACCAATATTCAGTAGATATTATGCTTGTAGCAATGATTAAGTCATAATCGAACATCAACAAATAGTATTCGTATTGAACTTCATCTGCATGCTAGTAATAAACCTCAAATTTGCGCGCACGTTTAAAAAGACCATGCTGAAGCCTAACTGCATTCACACTATCTAATTGTAAAATGCAACTTGAAGTCAAACATGGGCTTATCGATAGATTCCAGTCAAAGACCTTGTCATACTAAGTCAAGGCTTCATCGTTAATGAGGAAGTTCAATCATGCGTGGAAAAATATGAAGATCGGTTGATAAACCAACATAATCTATCGATAGTAGGCTTAGAAATTCTAATTCTAACAAATTAGGATTGAAGAAACATGAAATAATATGATGCATTACATTTTAGTTTTACGTGATTGTAATTTTTAACTATTAAGTTTATATATTAAGAATTCCTGTCACTAGACTAGAAATTAAAAATAATTTGAAGTTATTTCGATTTAATATTTATATAAAAATCCTAGGGATTCTGAAGCTTTTGAACTGATAAAGTTAACAAGAATGTTCGAAAAAGTTAACGGTCACACCCTGTCCTCAGAGCAATATTGGTCAATTGAGCTTAATTCTTCACTGCCGCAACAGCGTGCATACATTCCAGAATCATTAAAATTCCAAAAAGAATATCGTACGACGACGATACTCCCTCATACGATCAGTACGTACGTACGAAAAAAAAATACATTTCGTCAAGTTGAATAGGAGTGAGAGTCTGCGTGCATACTTACGTATGTCAAAGGCATTGGTGCTTCCTCTTCTCCTTTCTCGCGTAAACGTATGGGCGCGCGTGTGTGTGTGCGCGCGTGTCCCCCCACCAATACGAAGAATCGCGATAATTTCCTTATCACGTGTCGCGCCGATCCGAAAGCAAGAGTGAGAGAACCGCCGCCACATTAGGCTCGTGTAATTTTTCCAGACAGTTCATAGCGAGTCGCAGTGTCGAGCAGACCGATACAGGTTTCTACAGTGTCTTGTTCGATTTTTTTGGCGATATCGCTAACCGGCTCGAAGTATCTTAATCTAATCGATTTCAGTTTTTGACAATTTGTTGTTGTTTTTCTAATTGTGCGTGCTTACACACTGATAAAAAAAAAACATGGTGCAAATCAAATTTTTCAACGTCGTTGATAAGCGCAATCCAGTGAGTAGAAACGATTTTTTCCTCAACTTTATTCTTGTCGCGTATTAACTGTCAAAAGCGTCATTATATCATCCGAAAGCGTACTGTATGCATACCTTATTACGCACGGAACAAAAAAAAAATAAAATTTTATTCATGTTTAAAAAACTGAGTATCTCGTTAAATAATGTTAAGTAATGTACAGAGCTCCACATCCTCTGTACAATCTGCATGTATGTGTGTGGGCGTAAACAGCCACAAAATGAGTCCATTGTAGTAATAAGTAACATTCCAATGTGCTATTGATATTTTTGTGATATACATAACATTCCGCATACTGAAAAAGCCATTGACAATTATTATCATTAAACTAGAAGGCAAACACTTGTAACGATGACAGGTAGAGCTATGTAATAATATAAACACGAAAATGTTTCCATTCGTTTCTCTTTCTTTCTCGATCTAATGTATTTTTTTCTACATATCTTTTCCACGATTATAATAGTATTTGTACATAATTAAGTCCGTGATTCGTAAAGCTATTAAATAGAATTCACCGACACACCCATCTTTTTTCTGCCGTAGTTAGATGGAAAAATTCGGTGAGCAGCAGGTGATTGCGATCTTGACGTTTCATCTTAGACACATAAATATATACTTATATCCGGATGTGTACTTAATAAGCAAACGGCAATATTGACGAAATCTCGGTCAATCTAACAAATTTCGTAACGCGTAGAAAGGGTTGCTTGCGCGTGCCAACCGAGAGAGTTCGTAAACCTTCGACCTCCGTAACCTTCACCCTTGAAAAGAAGAAGCCGTTGTAATGAAACTGCACACGCACGCGCCTGCAATGCATATACTTAAACTCATTACTGTTTTGTAATCCAATAGTTACACATTAGCCGGCGTCGGCTGAGCTCGTGTGTATATTTACATTATGCTATATCCAAGTTGCAAATTTATATTTTATCATTTTAAAAAGGTGATAACCTCGTTACGAATGATTCTTCTTTTCCTTCAGATTCTCGTGTGGAATTTTACAAGCGATAGATTCGATAGATATGTCCTATATATATTATTGTCACACGTGCCTTCAAAAAACTGAACCACAACGATATAACAATTAAGATTGTAATTGGAGGCGGGAAATTTTTTAGATATGACCGACGGTCTCGTGCGATCGCGGCCGATTGATAAAATATTTCGACAATAAAAGATTATCAAAGGAAGAGCGAAATTTTACATGCTTAATGCTTATTAAACTGATTTCAATAGCGCTATTCAATCTATTTATTACGGATTACTCGTCACGTTTGTTAAGTCAATACAAAAAAAACTTCCATTTCCTTCCATTATATAATTGGAATTGAAAAATGTATAATAATAACATCTTTAATTTGTATAACGAGTATTTTTGAATTGAAAACTTTCGTAATTAACACAACATTGAAACCATCTTCTAATGTGGATGATTGGTAAAGTCCCCGAACTCGTTTGAGGGGAAAACCAATAAGTATGTAAATTTCGATGGTCTGCATAAATTATTTACACATTTTGGTCTTAGCCTACAACAAAACTTCATAAAAATTAAATAATCGTATACAATATCCTTTAATAGTTTAACCAATTCATAAAACTAATTTCTCGGAAACAAATCATAGATGCATTGTACATCTTACCAAACAGATATTTATGAGAAAAAATAACAAGTAGTCAGCGAACTCTTACCCGAAATTCCCAACTATTTTGACACATTAAAATCGCGTGTAGCAATGATCTTGAATTTAGACATCAAAATATTGTAAGCATACCTGTAAATTTGCAAAATAGGATAGTCCTTTGCAAAAAACTTTTTAAAAAATCCCGATGACTAAGCTGTCAATAATATGAGTATATTTTTCAATTAAAAATACTTGTATTGATAGCGTTTCAGAAAACCCAACTCAACGTAAAAAAATGTTTATTACTCAACCAAACTTTCAGTTTACAATTGAATTTTTTTTTATTCTTTCGAATCGACTCCTCTTTTAAATCACTTTCAATCCTTGAATGTATTTACTTATTCATAGTAATATTATTGATATTTAAAAGCAAATTATCTTATGAAGAAAATTCACGAAATTCCTTAAATTTTAACGAATATCATGTTTTAAATAAATGTGTAAAACTTATAAATAGATACACAAAAGAGATAATAATTAAGAGCTATCGCGTGTGGAATATTTCCGTAATTCGATATTGTATACCTGAGGAATGTGTTATTGATATCGTATACTTGCGTGTACTCTGCGAATGTGTAACCAACGGATCAAAAATAGAATGAAATGTTTAATACATTCCATATAGGTATGAGTTACATGAATATTAAATGATGATTTTTTGCTTCACAGCATCCAGGCATAACTGGACTGAAGAATTTAGGCAACTCGTGCTACATGAACAGCATCGTTCAGTGCTTGAGCAACACCGAGCTTCTAGCCGAGTACTTTATCAAAAACTGTTACATGAACGATCTGAATCGCAATAGCAACATCAACAACAACAATAACAAAACCAGCTGCTCGGCCTACGTAGCCGAGGAAGTAGCTCAGGTCATCAAAGCGCTATGGCGTGGACGCTACAAAAGCATCTCGCCGAGGGACCTCAAAGTCGTCGTGGGCCAGTATAAGCTCCAATTCGAGAGCTACGATCAGCAGGATTCCCATGAATTCCTCATGTTCCTGCTCGACTGGATGCACAACGACCTCAAGGCCGACCAAGTAACACCATCGATCCACGAGATTCAGAGTGTGGCTCAAAAAGAGTGGGAAAAGTCCATGATGGGCAAGAGCTCCATCATCTCGGAACTGTTCTTTGGTCAGCTAAAGTCGACCATCACGTGCATGACCTGCGAACAGAAGAGCTCGACTTATGAGACTTTCAACAGCCTAACCATGTCCCTGCCGGGGACGAACAAATGCGGTCTTGACGTAAGTTTTCAATTTAATACATAATCATAAGATTGACACTCGGTGTGACTTGGCGCTGCGTGCGAACGGCTTATTGTTATAACTCGGCGAGGCATTATGTACGTGACGTAATTTCGGAGCAAAAAATGAAGAAGAAACATACGAGCTCGCGCACACATCGTGAATATATTTGACGACAAAATATATTCGCGTATTACATTATCTCTCGCTGGCAAATGCTCCTGATATATGGCACTTGCTACGGCTTATAATAATAAATCGTTTCTTTCTCTCTTTTGCTGAATCATGAGTCAATACGGACGCGCACTACATGTATACGAGCGAGTATAGTAAGTACCCACGAAATTCATTTTTACTTTTTATCTTTTCAAGGACTGCGTGAAGAAATTCTTAAGCGGCCAGAAAGTGTCCGAGTGGAATTGCCCGAACTGCAAGGTACCGCGCGATGGTATCAAAAAGTTTGATTTCGCCCGCTTACCGGCCATCGTCGTCATCCATCTCAACCGATTTGGCGAAACGGGGGGCTGGCTCGAAAAGAAAAACACCACTGTCGACTTTCCGCTGCACAATTTCAATCTGCGACCTTATCTGGATGGAAATGAGACGCATGGCAAGCGCTTCGCCAACTACAATTTGTACGCCATGTCCAATCACTATGGTACTATGGACGGTGGACATTATACGGCTTATTGCAAACACGGACATCAGAACAAGTGAGTGTAACACTATTGACTTCCGAGTAGCTATTAAGTTATGTTCAGTAAGAATGCACAATTATTTTTCTCGCAGCCTGATTTAATTGATCTTGAATAATTCAATGAAAACTATATCCTGCATTTTTATAGCGTTATTTTTGACGTAAAAAAAAACCTAAAAAACGAATGTTATATCTTTTTTGTCTATCTTTTAGGTGGTACAAATATGATGATCATACGGTAATGGAAGTACCAGCAAGCGACGTGAAAAACCAGAGCAACAGCGCATACCTGTTGTTCTACTCCGCTGTCTCATCAAATAACTACCTAAACAGCTAAAATCAGCTCAAGGCACTTGAGGTGCACAAGCCTCTGCAATAACCAGAGGCTGGTAAACAAACCCACAACACCTGCCTTAGATTGCTGGTACGATGGACCCGGCCAAGCAATCGAATTTGCAATTCGGAGACGATTGAAAAAGCCAAAATCTATGGGAATCTATCAGTTTCCTCGAGGTTCTCGAGGCTTCAAAGACACGGCGATGTTTGCAAAAACTTTGTTATTATACAAAGTTGAGAAAGAAAGGAACAGGACCAACTCGCTTGCGGCTCTGTTTCTTGAAGCAAGATGAAAACGCGGGAGTAAATGACGCGATGACAATTCTTTAGATATCGTTTAATACATTTGTACAAGAATGTAAATATATATTTATATATTACATACGCGCGTGGTTTAAGCAAGTTAATTGTTTTCTGCCCAAGGGCATTGTTTGTTGCAACGATTTAAAAGTATGTAGCTGCGTCGCTCAGTGCTTTACATGGTATTTTTGTTATATATTTATAATATAGATATATATTGTATATACATTGTTACACAATCAAATAGCATTTCAAAAAAAATCTCATGATATTGTTTCAGTATTGCATTTATAGAATTTTTTTGCGATGTGTTTTGGAATTGCAGAAAAATATTTCCAATGCACTGTTTTATTTTCTCAGATCGGGTATCTCTTTTATATAGTTTTTGAAAATTATTGTACATAGTCTCAAATGAATGAACTAGAATGACAATTGTAAATATATATGTGTAATTAACTCAATTCAAAGGAGATACCCACTTTTTAAATTACATCACATATGCATTTGATCTTGAAAATTATCATGTTTATTTTACTCTTTACAAATAGCAATTTGATATTTAGGCTGTAAGTCACAGGCAACTTTTTATTGAATAATAAAAGATAAACAGTTAAAAGTCAATGTTTTATTCAAGAACCTCATTATATTTTATACTTTTTTTTATTCTTACGTTTTATAAAAATATTATTTATGATATATATATATACATTACCATTACCAAATTATTTGCATACACAGACAATACAAATTACAAGTCAACAATATAATATCCTTAACAATAGATGTTTGTACACCTTGATGATAAATCCTTCATATAAATGTATGATAACAAGTGTTATTTATCATCTTTAATCTGATATTTCAATAAATAATCAAAATTCATCTCTTATCAGTCTGTGATCACATAGAGTAAGCAATTCGTTTAATCTCATGGATAAACTCGTGATTCATTGAAAATCATAAATCAATTCATTTACCAATTCCCAGCCAATCCTTAGGATTTCTTAGGACTTTCATGAGCCTACCTTCATCTGATTCAGGCTCAGGCTCATGCATATACTCCCATCTGGCAGTTAACGGTAAAGACATAAGTATGCTTTCATATCTGGCACCAGGAGTATACAAGCCAAACTTTGTACCTCTATCATAAATTAAATTGAATTCAACATATCTGCCCCTTCTCAATAATTGCCACTGCCTCTCTTTATATCCATAACCATCATCTTTGTGTTTCTCTACCAAGGGAATATAGGAAGGAATAACAGCCTCAGCACAAGATTCAACAAAATTGAAAGCTTCTTGCTGCGAGGGTGTATCTAAGTCATCAAAGAATATCCCACCTACACCACGTCTTTCTCCTCTATGTGGAATATGAAAATAATCATCACACCACTTTTTAAAATTAGGATAATAACTAGGATCATGAGCATCACATGCTTTTTGTAAAGTTTTATGGAAATGCACAGCATCGTTTTCATTTAAGTAGTAAGGAGTTAAATCAGTGCCACCTCCAAACCACCACTGAATAGAACCATCCTTATTTTTTACTTCAAAATACCTGTAATTAAAATGAATCGTAGGAACCTGAAAAGAAAATTAATATTAAAAAATTGTAGATAACCATAGAAATATATAATTCTCTAATGATAACCATTGGATTTCTTGGATGAATTACAGCACTGACACCAGCTGCAAAAAATGGAAGTGAACCTTCATCCATTTTCTTGCCTCTGGCTCTCATTTGTTGCACAGCACTTGGTGGTAAGTTCCCAGTGACAACAGAAATATTTACTCCAGCTTTTTCAAAAACAGTACCATCCTGAAGTACACAAGTTATTCCACCACCTCCTTCTTTTCTTTCCCATCGATCAACTTTGAATTTTACATCATCGAAAGATTCCAATGATTTTACAAAATCAGCTTGTATTTTCATAATCATGAGTTCCATTTTAGTTTTCATATCCTTGCGATTTTTTTTTAAAAGATCAGGGTTCGTTATAGGTTCAGCCATGAAACTTTTGAAAGTTGAATCTGATTTAGCTGCGTGTACATTTGCAGGATAAGTGCTGTATACCACTACACTTGTGGTAAGAATTCCAGCTCCTATATATCTAAGTTTTTGAGTAGTTATTTTCACAGCTTCATAATTAACATACAATCTGCTCCAACTTTTCACAAGTTTAAAGACCATTTTGATTGTTCTGTAAAAAAAAGAGTAATATCAATTATATTTTAAAATGAATAAATATCAATAAAAAAAATGCCATGATAGTTATAGAGAAAAAATGCCAGCCTCAAAATTCTTTATTGGCACTTTGACCCCGAATTTCACAACCTTTGAACTTATTCACGAAACGGTTAATTTTTAAGTAGAGGTTTTTTAATTAGAAAAAAATCGTATGAATAGTTACATTTTACGGTCGAGCCGAGCTTTCGGTCTAAAATTCGCCGGAAAAGCTCGCGTCCCTCTGCACTGTTTGATCGACAATCAAAATTGGAAATACAAATTGGAAAATTGTCACACAGCTGACAGCGCTGCTCAGTGCACACTCACTGTCTTGTTTGTAACTGATCCATACGTCGTCTGCTAAATGCCACCGATACGAAACTCGTTACTTATCGATCTAAGGAGGCTGTAGCGAAAATGAAAAAAACTTTAGATCGAAGTGAAATTTTAAACAATTATAGTTTATGAAATTACAAGATTTTTAGTACAAAAAAATTTCAAGTTTCCATGCAAACTTGGGAAATAATAAAATTCAAAGTTTTGGCCATTGAACATTGAATCAAATGAGTAGCGGCAGTTTTTAGTGTACTGTGAGCTCAAATTCCTTTGGAAGTTAATGAAATTAATGTATGTTACAGGAAATTTCATTAGCTATCGAATGATATTATTATAAACGGGTGTTTCCAGACAAATAAAAAAGATATTAAAAGTGTGCGCTGCGTAACGCATATAGCCTTGCGTATATAGCGTTTTAATACAGAGCCACCTTGCATCGCGGAGACTGTAGCGACCTAAGGTGCACTTGGGTTGCGCTGCGCCGCAGTGCGTTGCTCAGAACACTGTAGACAGCAGCGTCTGCTACAGCTGTGCTCATATTTACATGCCAATTTACGTAGTGTGACTCGGTGTGGCTGCGGTAAAATTTTTCAAAAAATCATAACTTTTTTATTTGCCTGGAAACACACATTTATTGTATCATTCGAAAGCTAATGAAATTTCCTATAACTTGTATTCATTTCATTAACTTATAAAGTGATTTGAGCTCACAGTCAACGAAAAACTACCACTGTTAAATGGCCACAACTTTGAATCTCATTATTTCCCAAGTTTGCCTGGAAATCCCAAATTTTTTGTTTTTTTACCAAAAATCTTACAATTTCATAATCTATCACCGGTTAAAATTTTACTTCGATCTAAAGTTTATTTCATTTTTGCTACAGCTTCCTTAAATGACCAATCAAAAAAATTCGCTGCTCTCGCAATGGCGAGCTTTTGTAATATTCTGCAGAGTTGATTTGAGTTTTCGATTTTTAGTTTTATCGGGTTTTTATCGTGGTTTTTTCATTTCTCAGACATTATTAGGACAGCGTCTTATTTAATTGGTATAATAGGATAATTCTACACAAATCCTAAAAAGGCAATTATTTTAAGAGGAAGCTCTTTGGCCCCTACTACTTAAACCTGAATTATTAAGAAAGATTTTTTTTAATTAATATGATTTTCTCGTACCTTATACTTATAGGGGACCCCTATTTCGCTGTGTTTCCGTTTTTTCGTCATTACAGAATTAAAATTATATCGGTGTATGTATGTACGTATACATAGCTTGCGCTACTTGCATATCTTTGTATTCTGAGCATTGAGGCGGAGTTTAGAGTTGCGCTGCAGTCACCATTTACACGTAATTTTCATGGAAAAAAAAGGAAGCATCCGAAAAAAAATGCCAGCGTCGGCCGCTCGAGCTCAATTTTTTCGTATGGGAATTAAAACGAGAAAACACCACGTAACGTGTTTTTTACTCTGTAATATATAGATATTCTAAAAGGGGATAGATCGAAGTGTATGTAAAGCATCGGAATACATAACATCGCCGAGACGATCGAGTGCAGCTGCATTTTTACGAAAAAAAGGTAACATTTGGAACTTCCATTGCGTGTTCATTAGATTGCACATTATATATCTTAGAGTACTGGAGTCAGTACGACGTTACGATGTGATAGTGTAAAGAACAAAGACAGTTTGCAGCAAGTGATTATCGTAAAAAAAGTATTGAAAAATATCTTAAATTATAAGCTACTATGCATTGTGTGCGAATGCGCCAAACGATGTCTACAACGAACGACAAAAAAACACGGGAAAAGAGCTTACGAGAATTTCTCCATCAACTTCGTCGTTTACTCAAAAATTGGAATTACAAATTTTTAAATCTACGTGAATTTTTTCGAGAGGAAGAAGCTGTAGTCTTCTATTACATTCTGCATGTTTCAAGGGTCAAGAATGGTACAGTGATACATTCTTTACATGCCTATTTCGCATTGAGGTCGGACGCCGCCTCCAATTTGATAAATACGGAAGGCCAAATTTTGGCCAGAAATATCGAACGGAACATAATGATGAAGCGATTTTTTTTAAATTCAGATTAGCGTCTGGTCTGATGGTAAGGTCGTCGAACGTCTTGAGAAAAGCGGATACGAGCTGAATCGAAGCGACGCCTTGACGATCATGACGTTCTTCGCTTAGATTGTTCGAGAGAAAGAAGTTTGCGGGCCCTCTTCGATTGTTGGGTCTTATGAAGACAAAAAGTTCATAAACCACGCGGAAATGACAAAGATACATTCGAGCCTATCGCTCTTAGATCTGGTCCGAATGCGACCCGAAGAGGCGGAAAAACGAGTCACATTACCGGACTACTTTGAGCTGGCCTGGTCGAGAAAATTAATTGATCTTCCGAAAGGATCCATTGAACCCTGTATTGTGGGCTTGAGTGAGATAATGTTGAGAAGATTTTTCCAGTGCTGGGCTACGATATGTTTCATGGAGCTGCCGCGTTACCAGCTGCCACTTGAGTGTTGTAAAATCATTTTTATCACAGCGTGCGGGAAGTACGTAATTCCCGAGCAGTACTGTAATAACGATACTTCTCGAAATTACATACTTCCCGCAACTCGTGATAAAAAATAGTATACGTCACTCGTGCGCGTGGTGATTCTCGCCCTCGTCTCATTGTCACCCTCGCTGCGCTCGGGCGTCAAACTGAGACTCGTGCGAGAATCACCCACTTCGCGTACGAGTGACGTAATGTACTATATCGACGATTCATTCATGAACAAAGACTTATATCATATTTGCTTGGCCGCTGCAGTCCAAAACCCGCGATGACGATTAGCAAAGTGACAAGTAGCATAATTGCGATTTAGCCTTATTTAATGATGAATATTTTCTTTATCACGCAAATAAATAAATTTAAAAAATGATTTTTTGTTTCTTTTTATATTGATAAACAAAAAAATGTTCAATTGTGTTTTTGTTCTCTTGGCATCTCATCCAGAACAAAGTTTATACACATTAAAAATATAAATACCTACATACATCAAAAATATAAAAACATAAAAAATTATACTTCAATGCAATTGCAAAAGTTTAAATTATGGAAAAAAACACATTTCCCTGATTTGACTCGAATTTACGAGTCGAGCCCAACTCGAGAAAAACTTAAAAACAGCGAAACTTTGATTATGATTAAGTCTGTTTTTAGGACTATCGTTTATTCATAATAAATTAATAAGGATTCTCGTATGTGTGCATAGAACATGTGTGCAGTATAAACATAAGCACGAGCCATATACGTACACGTGTTGTACGAGCGAGGCATGTGTGCGTGTGACTCGCGGCATTTTTCGAGCACGACTATGCATACCATACGTAAACTGCAGGCACCTGTTTTATGAGTTCAAATTATAAGTAGGTTTCGGTGTATCGACAGTCGGCACGCACCTACAGACGTATTATAACTTTTGCAGTGAGCCGACGAGGCGCGAGACAATGACACGCAGGCGTAGTACCTTCTCGTGAACGAAACCTCGGAGCGTTCGGATTGTTCGAAGTCGAAAGTGGCAACGAGCGATTGCGAAAAGAGGAGGGCGATCGTATATTTTATCGCGCGCGCCAATACGGAAATCTTTGAGAACGCACTTATCAACGCACGTCGCAGCACGGGCACGCAGAGTCGAGACTCGAAAGTCTCTATAGCCGCAGTTATCCAGGAACATGGCTACCGCGAATCAGCACTGATGACGTTCCGTGTTTTGCTATCTACCTATCGTCGCTCGAGTCTCTGCTCATACCTGTATATAGCATTCGCGCTTGCTCCGAGCTGCTGATACCTTATATACATATGTGTCAGTCTTATATGTATGCACGCAACGTAAATATACGCGCGCGAGGTGTGCGACGGCCTGAACGAGTGTGTCGACAAGTGTTATTTAGCTGTCCCATCGAACAGCCAGTATAGAGTCTCGCTGCTGCGCTGCTGCTGCTTCGCGTAAGCCTGGCAAATTTGCCGTATGCGCGTGTGTCACACTAACGCTGCCGAGCCACAATACATTAAATATCGTGCATAAGTGCCCCGCTGCCCCGGAGAAAGAACCGACACCACGCAACATCTGGCTGGAGTTTTGAAACTTTCCTCTTCGTTTCATCGCGAATCCTTTCTTTTCGCCCGCAAATTGTAGTATTTCGCGCGATTCATTTTTTCCAAAACCTCTACTCAACATGATGAACATGTGGAAAGTGCGTGAATTGATGGATAAGGCGTAAGTAAAATTACGTTTGCACTGGTGCAAATACAATATTTATCATTTATGTCTTCATTCCGCGTCCTGTTAATTTCGTATAAGCAACGTTCACGATGGCTCGTAATTAAATGAACCTTGACTCGTGACTAGGATTTTTGCAATTATCTCTTTTCTAGATTTTAACGAATAATTTCATATCACTTGAACACAATCAGAAAATTTCAAGGTTTTTACATGTAGACTCGGTAACTTTGTTACATAGCGCTGCTACTTCGTTTCGCACGTTATTTTATTCGAGGTTTTCTTCTATAATGCAACTGATTTCATGATGGCATTTATTTACCTGAGTGTGCTTATCAGGTTACCTAAAACAGAATGTTTATTTGCAACTTACTACATTCAATTCAAGATACCATACAATGTAAACTTATTTCAATTTTTTAAATATCACCACAGCAATCTTAAAATTTTAACTTTAAAAATTATTTCTCATACTATTGACGCAGATGCTCACAATAATACAGGCTTGAATAATCTATTTATAGTCCTTTGATCAATTAAAGCAGTGATTATCATTATTACCTACATCAATATGAACCAATAAAACAAATATTCATCCTTTTATGTGTGTACTTGTTACACTTCTAATAAATACAGTCTTTGATTCCATTATTTAATAACACCAATGCTGTCAATAAAAAAATTTTGATCACTTGTCAAGTGCGTTAATCGTATTAGTCTCTGTTACTGCAATAATTGAACTTAATTCTATAGCTATTAAAGAAATAAAACATTTTTTTATTGATAATAATGTGTCATGGCCATCAGTTTAAGTCATCATAATCAATCATGAGATTTTTAAAAGCAAGTAAAATTGTAATTTTGAAAAATAATAAAATATATTAAACTGTTGAAATAGTTGAACATGTTATGAAACTTTATATGATTCAATAAATTTGTTTAGATATTTCTTTTGAAAATAGTTTAAATGGGATATTTTTGTATGCAACATGAATGTTTCCAAAATGTATTTTTTCAAATTTGTGCTCGCTGTTGTAGATAAGATTCAGCAAATCTTTATCTAAACCAAGGTGGTAATTTTTAATTTTTTTTTATTATTACATAAAATATATTCAACATTTAATTCTCAAGTTCTCTACAATAAATAATTCTCATATATTTTCATAGAATAAATTAATATAATAAATTTTAATTTTTCAACAAGTTGAACTTGCGTTTTCACATTATAAATACTAAATCGAGTAAACACGTTCACAAGTGGATTCGGCCGCGCACGATCGCTTTGTAAACGTTTTTTTATCTTATCAATATCTTTCGTCACTCGATAAAAAGTTTAATCTTGCTTAAAACATGGGTACGTTGAAGCTCAAATTTACCTGAAAATATTCAAATTCTAAGGAGAGAAAATAGCTACTTACTTATACCTAGTACAAGCAAGATTTATGCAATTCCAATCTATTCTTCAAATAAGGAAATGTATACTTCGCGTATAAGCAGTTATTCCTTCAAGGGTGAAAGGAGAAAAAAGAACCGTTCGGCATAAAGCAACACGTGACTGGAATAAAATATATTATTGTTATTTCCAGGACGAACGTCGTAATGAACTACACCGACACTGAAGCCAAAGTGCGCGAAGCAACCAATGACGATGCATGGGGCCCAACTGGTAAGCTCACAAAAGTCTAATCCTACTGATTTTCATTTAAACATTATCAATCACTTAACGAGTTATTGAAATGTTTACAGGTGGTATGATGCAGGAGCTTGCCCAGGCTACGTTCACATACGAGCAATTTCCGGAAGTCATGTCGATGCTTTGGAAACGTATGCTCCAAGAAAACAAAAGAAATTGGCGTCGCACCTACAAGTCACTTCTATTGCTGAACTACCTCGTGAGAAATGGTTCGGAACGAGTAGTCACGTCATCTCGCGAACATATCTATGACTTGCGTTCCCTAGAAAATTACACTTACGTCGATGAGTTTGGCAAAGATCAGGGCATCAACATCCGGCACAAAGTACGCGAGCTCATTGATTTTATTCAAGATGACGATAAATTACGCGAGGAACGCAAAAAAGCCAAGAAAAACAAGGATAAGTACATCGGTATGTCGAGTGAGGCCATGGGTATGAGGATGGGTGTCGGCGCGGCTGATCGCTGGATGGACAATCCCAAATGGAGTGGAAACTCGACCACGACCGGCAGTAGAGGCAGCGAGGGATATACCGACTGGGATAAAGATCGCCGAAAAGGAAGTCGAGGATTCGAGGATGGAAGCAATAGTGACGTCGAAATCGACGAATCCGATAGGCGCGGAATGTCGAACACGAGGTCTGTCGCGAATGCGCTCGACCGCCGCGAATATAAGGACGAGAATGCCGAACGTTTGCCAAAAGTCAGCTCAGTCGTATCACAACAGCCCAATGCTACGAGCATTGTGTCACCTACGAGAGCACCGAGAGTAATCAAGAAAGTGGATCTCGGCGCTGCAGCCAACTACGGTCGAGAACAGAATTTTATGCAGGAGCCGACGAAACCGCCAGTAGCGACACAAAAAAACAGAAATGATATTCTCAATGATATATTCGATTCGCAAAATGACAATAATGGTAAGAATATCTTCTAAGCTGGAGCTCGATATGACAAACATTTGACTGATCGAAGTTTATATTTTCAGGTGCTGTGGTGAAAGGTGACGACGACGACGACTTTAATCCAAGAGCTGCGGACAATTACGTTCCACTTGCGTCTGCAGCGCCTGTGATAGCTCAACCGACCGTCGGCGAATTTGGTGATTTTGCTTCAGCTTTTGATGCTACAACAACGACGGCAACCGCAACGACGACAACGAATAAATCGACGACAGACGAATTTGCTGATTTCACCTCAGCCTTTGACAATGGTCTTACAATCTCGCAGCATCAGACAGTTCAACAGCCGCAGATGTCTTTGCTTAACTCCTCAATGCCAAACATTGCAAGCAGTAACGCGCTGGACAATCTCATGAGTGCAACGCCAATGAGTGCACAAATCAACACTGGTTTCGGTGGAAATGACTTGTTGAATTCTCAGCCACAGATTGTCAATAATAGCAATAATAATTCCAGTTAGTATCATTTTTAATTTTTCTTCAATTGTTTATTTTGTGGGTGTACCATTAATATCGACTTTTTTTAGCTCTATCGAATACCGATCTTTTGTCGGACTTGACAGATTTTAACGCCCCGATGGTGCCTTCTTTGGGTCAAAATAATCTGAATAATGCTAACTTGATGAATACAAATCCATTGAATGCTCTTAATACTACAGGTGAGAAAATTAATTTGTTTTATTTTTCCCAATGGTGTCAGCTTTTGAAACTGCGTTATAAATATTATTTCAAATACTGATTCATTGCTAGCCTCGTAGTCTCGCAAGAACATAGGAAAATTTCACTCTATTCTTTTCTTTGCTGAATTGTGTTTTTTGCGTGTATACAAAATTCGTACATGGCCGACTACGATAGCCTATACTTATAGCTCATTTTGGCATTCAAGCGGAAAAACGCATGGGCGAGCAACTAATAGAAGTCTTACGAGCAGTGGGTTCATCCAAAAGCCAAAGCAAATTGAAAAAAATCAACGAGTATATCCTTGAATACGTTAAGTATCTACCAGGAACGTTGACACCTCAAAAATTCGTCGGTGAAGATTCTGACTACAACCTGGATGACGTCTTGTACAGTGAAGTTTTGAAGAATTTAATGAACACATTTGATGATAACTGGCCTGTGTCAAATGATCAATTGGATAAAATAGTAAAACATTTAATTGTTATTGATGGAGCCGATAATCGAATTCTTAATGAAATAATGTTGTGCCACCACGAAGCATTAAAGGAAGCTATGAATCTGAATGTCATTAAGTGTCATGCGTTACTTATGGAAGAACTTTTCAAAAGTGATGCTCTATATTCTGCTATTGTAAAATCGAGTCGGAAAATTGAAGAGGTAAATTTGGATTATCACTGTAATGATGAAATCTGGCAATCACTCTTTCAAGAAATATCTTCTGTACCTAGTCGGATTGCTAATAAAATGGAACGTGATTTTCTTCTCACTTTCAGGTCTGACAATTTTACAGATATTCTTTCGTTTCACGTTCTCAGAGCAATCCACTTTCTGTATGAAATTGATAAAGCTTACAAAATTGAAATTAATACTAGTGTAATTTCAAAATTTCTTGACAAAATGCTTTTTAGCATTAGATCTAATTGGACAACACTTGTGGATGTTCTCATAGAATGGTGTATTTCGGATATTAGTATGAAGAGCTTGATACAAAATATTCTCCAAGATATCAGTACTCAGAGCATTGATACAATAGCTGTTCTGTTTTTAGAGCACGATAAATTTAATTCTTCAATTTTATCTCCCTTAATTAATAGCCCTGATTGGCGTTACATTTTTATGAAGAAACTTCCATTTATGTCTTACTTTAGTAAAGATGTAATTGCCAAAAATCTCATTTCTTGCATTTACCAAAGTCAAACTAATGAGGACAAAATTCTTTTGGATCTTGCTACGGAGCTTCTTGAAATTTGGAGCGATAAAAGTGTAATGCATCATACGATCTTTGAACAACATCTTTACATTACTAAACTGATTGTTCTCTCTATGAAATCTATAAAGGGTAGTCTCAGACTACCTGAAAAAGATAGAATACTACAATTAATAATGTCTGGTGTTTCCACGCATTTATCCGCAATGGATCAAGATTTGAGAGTTGTTGGGATGATTACTGGCGAATTAATTACAAATTTGTTAATGGAGGACAAGTGCAAAGATGTACCAACGTTAAAATTTGAATATGATGGTCTGAAAGAGAGTGCCAGCAATATAGCGGAAGTACTAAAAACTCTTTTTAACGAAAAAGAAAGAAAAAATATTTCTATCATATCACAACAAAGTTTATTAATTGGCGATCTGGAATTTCCTAATCCAGCGAATAAGAAAGTTTATGACTTGGGTGTAAAATGCAAGATTCTTAAAGAAATTTCTGGTCTTGAAACTGTCACTGGTGAAACAGTTGACGTGTGCCCTAACGTTAGTTATACTGCTCGCAGCGTTGTAAAAAAACCAACAATCCACCAAGAAAGCAACGATGAGGAATTGGATAGTGACGATGACTTAGTACCTTATGATATGTCAAACGATGTTAAAATCACGGAGAAGCACAGACCAGTCTATCTGCGTGATTTACGAGATAATCTTGTAAATGTTGATTCACGCAATCAAGAACAAGAAGCCGACATATTCGAGGAGACACTAAAAGCCAGTGAGAATCTTATATTGGCTCAACTACCACGTGATGATCAAACATTCGCCGTAGAATTACTCGATATATATCTCAATCTTACGCAACGCAGTCAAGTGGACGATTTTGAAGTCCTCATTTTCCGGTCCTGTGTAGCCATTGTCATGTGCCATCCAAAAGAGACGGCAAATTTCCTTTGTCGAGAATTCCACACTGAAATATCGAGATATTCTGTTCAACAGCGCATTTTAATATTAAACATCTTGAGCGAATCGGCTCAGCGACTGTCTAAAATTCCAGTTCATGAGAATACATCGGAACCAAAGAGAAGAAAAGTCCAACCTAATAAAACCGTGAGTTTGATTATCAATACCGATAAATCGCGCAAGTACGAGACACTCTATGACGACGATTTCGACGACCCAGCTCATGATACAAATCCTGGCCTAGATTGGAAAGAGATCGTTGAAGAGAGGCTCCATAACAAGACCAGACATTTTGCTCATAAATCGAAGCCGCCCGTAACAACCATCAATCAATTCTCAAAGTTCGTAGATTCGTTCTTTTTTCCTCTAATTTATGGATTTTGCGACAGAAATAGTTTTGTTTACACTTTGCCGCATAACTTCCGTGATTTCGAAGATTTACTCTTAACTAAATACTTGGAAACATTGGCTACTATAATGTCAGCTGCCCAGAACTGTCCTAGTGCACCAAAAGTCGCCAAAGAATTGCTCGAAATTTGTTGGATGCTCAAATATCACGAACAAGCTCGAGTCAGATTTGCCGTAATCAAGTGCATTGCTTCGGTACTCGTTAGTGTACCCGAATTCATAATCAAGCAAGAACTCGCGCTGAATTTGGAAGACTTAAGGTCGTGGTTATTAGATGTTACTTCTGTCAACATGTTCAGAGCAGATACTGATGCCGACTGCCAGAATCTCGCCAGACAAGTTTTATACCTCATGAATTCTTTGATGTAATACTTTCCATTGTTAAAAATGCCATTTCGAACAAATGAACTATGTATTAGTATGATCATACAAACTTGAATTTTTGTTATTAAGTAAATAAATCGTTTTTTTTAATTTTTTAAATCAACGCAAAAAACACAATTCTTTTTATCGATTGTATATACATTTTAATTTATTTTATTACTATTTTACGCATTCCCTTTTATTTAAAATTAATTAATTTAAAAATTAGGTTTACTTACGCCAATGAATGCAACAACTAATAACAAACAGCAGCATCAATCGGCTATACAAGTCGGTTCCACGTGGAAAGGTGCAGGTCTTAATATCGATCTCGATAATATAATGAGCAGCAAAAAACAAGCTGGATCCGCTCCAACAATGAACCAGCTAGCCAGTAACAGTCCACAGCATCAGACTCGGCCGCCATTGGGTATGAAAATTGAAAAAAAAAAAGAATCTTTTAATGATTTACGTATACACTATAATAATTTAAATTCGCTTATTTTACAGGTACGTTGGGATTTAGCTCGCCTTTACCCCAATCACAACCGCAGCAACAGCAACAACCAAACGCAACATTCTTTCCTGCATTTCAATGATTCACCACAATCAAGCCAATGATTAGAAATAATAATAATGCCTTACAAAATCTTTCACATTCCTAATCTTGATCCATCAGAGCTACCGGGCCCCACGTCTTCATTCGTCGATAAAAGAAAAAGACAAAGAAAAAATGAAAACGACCTTTTTTCAATAGATTTAAAACCTTTTTTATCATTATATTTTCTTTGAAAACGATGGAGATTAACGTCAGCGTTTATAGTATAAATTGAATCTAGGCAAAAGACTCGTGTATGGATCTCGAGAAATTTTTTATAAATATTGTAAAAAAATACATTTAGTGTACTGTTGTGAAAAAATAAGAGATCAAGAAGTGTATAGTTCTTTCCCAGTGTGATCTAAAATATGGTAAGTTATATGAAGAAAATAAGTGCTTCCCAATCCAAATTAAACATCTAATTTTGCATCATAAATTGAAAGACACAAATGTAATTATTGAAAAAAAATATTTATTGTTAAGATGCATTTACAATTATGTGTTACAATTACGTAAGTATCAAGAAAATTTGAGAAATTGTATTTAAGTTTGATTTGTAAAATAATTTAATCAATTATATTTTGCTAGTTATGGATATGAAATGATTGCAACAAATTAATTTATTTAGAAAGCTGTAAAGAAAATTTTTACTTTTCAATGCACCAAAAAATTGAGTGAATGTGTAATAAATAAAATAAATTTTGTTGAATTTGCCATTTCCAGTTATAAATCTTAGATGCCAACATTTACATTGCAAACTGGAAATGCTTTTTAAAATGTGCATGTTACATGAAAATATTTTCAAGTGAACTAAATATGGCATAACAGTATTCTTATGATAAAAAAATGTGAATTTTAAAGGTGCAAAAATAGGGTTGAATATTTTACAATCAATATACGTTAGTTCAACTGTTATACTATTTATTGCACAAAAAGTGAAAATCCCCTATTTTATAATACTGTGGAAGCAAAGTTTTATTCAGTAAATATTATATTTATGTAATTGAATTTAACCATTGGACTATGTAAACAGGGGCAGTATGCATATCTATATTGTATGAAATGATTCATAAAAAAAATAAAGCACACATCATTTTTTTAAAAATGTATGTAGAAGTAAGCAGTTACATAACAGCTAGGTTTGCCAAGTTTCAATAGAAGTATATTAATTTTTGAAAGTGAATATATTTTTTATTCGAGTTCATTCCGGTTTTATAATGTTTAACTGTATTTTTGTTATTTATCTTGTACGACGGCTAGCAACCGAATTTGAATATCCCCAAAACAGTTATATATCAAAGCTAAGCATATAAATTGTGAGTCTTGTAGCCATTTATTGAAGGGCGATTACTGTTCAAGAAAGTAAATGAATTGTCAAATGCTTGCAGTAGAAGTGAAAATTGAGAGCAATGAATGAGAAAAATTGATACATGAGACTGAACTATTTAGGATAATCCTCCTTTCACCCGGCTCTTGATTGTAAATAGATTCACGATAAAAATAAAATAAGAAACTTGTGTATAAATTAAGACGTAGAAATGTCTTTAATTAACTAAATGATATTATGTAATTATAAAACATCCCGTACTCTTTAAGAGAAAAATTTTGATCAATTGTTAGCAAATGTATGAAAATGTGAGTGGTACATCAACTTATTTTTTGTGTCTCAAATGTTAATATTTTACTAAAAAACAACTTAAATATTGTTTGATATATATTATTTCATTATTCAGTTCTATGATCAGATATTGAATCGCAAATATTTGTCATCATTGAATTTTCGTCGGTGTTGGTAATAATTATTAAGTTCGAACTTTTAAATCGAGGCAACTATTTTTATGGCTTGTGAGCGAATTAAAAAAAAATTAATCCATTTTAATTTTTAATTTATTGAATAATTTATAAGAGTATTTATTTGCAAATAAATAAGTTCAATTCAATGGATTACAAGATGTTTTTATTATGTGATCATTTTTAAAAATAAAACAGACATTTTTTGCATTTCATTTCAGCTGAAAATATCGATGGCAGATGGTTATAAAAAACTTCTTACATATATGATTCATCGAAAAAGAACATAAACATTAATAAAATTTATGAATTTAGGTCATTTGACACAACTTCATCCACCTACACCTGCTGCATGCTGACAATAAATCGGTGAACTGGAAAATAAAAATCATTATATGTGTTAGCTTACTTAACAATTTCCAATAATTTTACCTAAACCATTGATTTTATATTATTAAAAAATTAAAGACTTGATATAAATCTTGTAAGATTCTATTCTCACAAGAAACCGTCAATTGAATTTGAATCGCATCAAGGTCAAGTAAGTTTTTGGGTCTTTTTTAATTTATTATTAGCTACAAACAATGAATTGTAATTATAATACGACAAAAAATATTTCGAAATTTTGTGAAAGGACTGAATAAAGACAATTGTTAAATAAGCATACATCTTTTACAACATTTTTTTATAAAAGTTTAAAAATTTTCAAATGTCTGAAATAAATTTTTTTTTTTGAATGTTCGAGAGCTCGCTATGAAAAACCGATAATTAATAATATAATTAATAATAATTAATTATTTGATCTAAAGTTAAAATATCGTTTTCGGAATATTTCGTTCGAAATACTTTTAAATTATTTTACAAGCATACTTTTTCAAAACAGATCAAGTGGAAATACTTTTTGCAGAGAATTGCTAACAGTACACTGGAAATCGAAAATAGAATGTCAGAAATAATGATTTGCTGTATAAGAATGTCGAAGATTCTTGCACGCAACAACTTGCAATTTATTAATTTAGCGAAATTTGACATGGTAGCGCCATCGTGCGGTTGCACGAACAAACGGGTCTATTCTGCTATACATGTTCGCTAAACCGTGTTGCTAACATTCGCGACTTGCGCATAGTCTACACAATTTCAACTTTTTCCTCGCCTTTTTCGACCCACATCGCCCAAGAATCGTAATCGTTGTTCGTCGTTGTAGTTGTCGTCGTCGTCGTCGTCGCCGTCGTCGTCGTCTAACTCGCACGCAACATATACGGAGCAGGTATACGCATTTAAACATACACTTGCAAACCATACGTGTGTAGGTATACAATATGTATACATATGCACATTATACATAGAATAGGAGCGAGCGAGGAGCGGAATCAGGCAGGCACAGTGCGGATACTGTACGTTGTCTTGCCCTGGGGGAGAAAAAGAGGCACTTTGTGTGTGTCTGTACAAGCCGTGCCAGTTGCCTCTGCGATTATACGGACATGAACAAAACCAACCCATCATAACATTAGATCAAATTTTTCAGTGACTCAGTAACGTAGAAAGAAAGTCAGTTTCGTCGGTGGTTGGCTTGTGAGTGTTTCGTCTATGTGCGTGTGAGATACCGCGCGCAGCACTGCAGTCCATCGTCACCTGCACTCATCGCTGCTGCTTCATTTCGCATCAAACTTATCGACATGAACAGCAAGTCAGACGTCAATAGGCGAGTTCTTGCCATACAGGCGAAAAAGAAACGACATAAAACCGGCAAGCGCAAGGGCAAACCTGGACCGCCTCCTGGTGCTGCATCCGCAGCCGCGGCCACCGCTACTGCTTCTTCCAATCAAAATACTAACCAGGATAATGCAGCTGATCAGACAAATGTCGACAAGAATCAGACTAGCAGAGAAGGACAAACAAACAATAGCTTCAACAAGGATAATGCCACGGATCCTGCCAAGTATTGGACTGGTAATGGCAACAGGTAAGCTTTTCTTCCAAAATTACTTTAATAGGTGCATCGGGTCAACAGTATGAACAATTTTCAAACACATTTTTTATTTCCTTCTTGTAAGTCTATACGTAAACCTTTAAGATTCTGGCTCAACACTATTGCATCTGATCAGTAGCTTATGCTACCAAAAGTCAAAAAATGAGCGCTAAAGGTCAAATGTCACCTTTTCATAATGTAAAATTTATTTTATTTATAAATCAATCACTTACTTTTGCATTATACTTTATTTAAAAGTCTTTATGCTTAAAAGCTTAATTTTGCTACAATTCTCCATTATGAAATGATTACAGTATTACATAAATCTAAGAATAATTAGATATTTAAATTTAAAAAATATGTTTTTTACATATGTGTTTATTCATCTAAAAAGAAACTGATTTGTTTCAAACATTCCATCAAAATAAAGGCTCTTCAAAAATGTTTAATTAAAACAGTAGTTGTTAGCAGTCTACCAGTCTACAGTTGTAATTACTACTCAATCTTCATTGAAACTCACTAAACTTCATGCAAATCTTATTTTATTTAAAGTCTTTGTTCAGGTAACTATCTTATTGAGAAAATCATTAAGATCTTTCTTATGATTTGTACATTTAATAATATATTCATTAAAGTTTTACCTACTTGAGAAATAAGGATACAAACTATTTCCTCTTATTTATTTATTTATTTATTTATTTTTTTCAATAAAGGTTACCTACTGCCCTTTGTTTTACTTATATATTTAATTTAATTTTAAAAAAATATTCAAGATGGGATATTCCCTAAATATTTATTTTATATACCATGTATTTTTATTGGTCGCAAAGCTCTAATGGATCTGTCCTGGATTTAAAAAATATTTATATGAAATATTCTTTATTGTGGAGTTCATTTTAAATTGTTAATATGGCTTTTTAAAAATCAAAATGATTTTATAACCTTTCCAAAATATTAAAAAAATACAAAATTATAGGAGTCAATTGTAAATTTATTCTGTATGAATTCTTTCTTGATAAAAACTTCTTGAAAAACTTTAAATTTTAAAATAATTAACAATATAAACATTTTCAATTTTTAAGGATGGAACCAAGTCACAGTTCAAGTAATGAAACAATAGAAGATGAAGAAGAAGACATGTTTAGTAGTGAAGATGATGAACAAGAAGATAGCCATGATTATTGTAAAGGTGGCTATCATCCAGTCAGAATAGGGGATCTTTTTTTAAACCGTTATCATGTAACAAGAAAACTTGGCTGGGGTCATTTTTCCACTGTGTGGCTTTGTTGGGACTTACAAGTAAAAAATTATTTCTCTGCTTTTTTAAAATCAAAATATTTCATCTCTAAAATTTGTCAATTATTTTTTTAGGATAAAAGATTTGTTGCACTAAAGGTTGTGAAGTCAGCCTCTCACTTTACAGAAACAGCTTTGGATGAAATCAAGTTGCTAAAGGATGTGCGTGATACAGATCCAAGTGATCCAAAGCGCAACAAAACCGTCCAGTTGTTGAATGACTTCAAAATCAGTGGGGTCAATGGCTTGCATGTGTGTATGGTCTTTGAAGTGCTAGGTCACAACTTATTGAAACTTATCATCAAATCTAATTATCGAGGAATTCCCAGAAATAATGTTAGGCGCATCATTCGACAAGTCCTTGAGGGATTAGATTATTTACACAATAAATGTGAGTAGTAAAAAGTAAAACGAAAATATTTTTATCCATGAAATTATAAAAAAAATAAACTTGCAGGTAAAATAATTCACACGGATATAAAACCGGAGAACGTGCTGATTTGTGTAGACGAATCGTATATTCGCAAATTAGCATGCGAAGCTACGGAATTACATTCTCTTGGTTTAAAGCTGCCAGCTTCCTTGGTATCTACGGCTCCGAAAAAATTTCAAGAACCAGTGCCCAATGCCAAGATGTCAAAGAACAAAAAGAAACGACTCAAAAAAAAGGCCAAACGGCAAAACGAATTGATCAAAAAACAAATGGAACAAATTGAAGAAATGGAAGAGCAAAGTAAGATGCCTACTCTGGTGACGACTGAGACTGCTAATTCAGAGAGCGGTAAACGTCTGCCAGTAGTGAAAATAATTGTCATTTCTAAAGTTAATATTACTAATTGAAATAATTTTTTATAGCTCCAAAAGAAAATGGTGAGTCAGTGACGTCGCCTGCGACTGAAGTAGCTCCGAACAGCAATGGTACCGAAACTGAGCTCAATTCTGAGAGCATCGATGAAAATACAGAGAGCAACAAAGAATCTCCTGATGAAATGTCAGAAGCAACTTGTTCTTCCTCCACAGCACCAGCATCTTCAGCAATGCATGTCAATGGCATCGATACCGCTGAATCTTCTGTACCTGCCGGAGGCGATACACCCGTTACCGATGAAGCAGGATCAATGCTTGAAGAAGTTGACCGTTCTAGAGTGAAATCGAATGTCGACGAAGAGGTAGACATAGAAGAAGATAAAGAAGATGAACAGGAAACAACAAAAATGGAAAACTCAATGGGCGAAGGCCGTCGCCACGAATGGGAAAATGTTCAAGTCGAATGCAAGGATAATGAAGATCGTGGGGATGGTAAGCGATATAATCAAATCTTTGATTTTCATTATTCTAATTTTTTCAAATTTTAATTAATAAAAATATTTTTTTATAAATTAGGTGACAGTATTCAGTCTCCCAGAAAGCCACTAAAACGTGCCTCGGTAGCGCCATTAGATCCAGCAATAGTTGACTGTGACGTTGAAGTTAAAATTGCTGATCTTGGCAATGCTTGCTGGGTTCATAAAAAATTCACTGAGGACATTCAGACTCGTCAATATCGTTCGCTCGAAGTACTTCTTGGAGCTGGCTACAATACTTCTGCCGATATTTGGTCGACAGCTTGCATGGCGTTTGAGCTGGCGACCGGTGATTACCTTTTCGAACCACACAGTGGTGAAGACTATTGCCGGTAAATTTGACATCGTGGGTGTTTTTAGAAATAAGTTAAATCAGTTTTTAAAATTTTTTTTCTTTTTTACAGAGATGAAGATCATCTTGCGCACATAATTGAACTATTAGGTGAAATACCGCGCCGTATAGCATTGTCTGGCCGTCACTCGCGCACATTTTTCACTAAAAAGGGCGAATTAAAGCATATTACAGGCCTGAAACCATGGGGTCTTTATGAGGTGCTTACGGAAAAATATGAATGGTCAGCAAGCGAAGCTCGCGAGTTTGCCGATTTTCTCACGCCCATGCTCGAATTTGACCCTCACACCAGAGCTACAGCTGCAGAGTGCCTCAAACACCCTTGGCTACAAATCAAGTGAATTTCTTTTTATTTTTTTTTCTTACTTACTATCTACTTTACTTTCTTATAAATCTTGGACATGAAAATTGACCAATTGTCACACTAAATTACTCTTTCTCTCAGTCTGTGTTTATCTGTGTTTCATAATTTTTTGACAATATACCTAGTATATTGCGAAGGACTTCGTAAAAACGATCGACTCTGAAGCGTTCAAACTCATTTTTAATATCGAAAATTTTAAAATCCATTTTTGTTACATTTTTAAGACAGTTTAATATTTACTTATTCCTCACTAGACGTTAAATGTAAAAATTTGTTTATTATAAATTCAAATATAACAATAATTTTACCGCGTGATTTGTTATTGACCAGTCAATGCTACAAAAATAGTTTTAAATTAAATAATCTCAACCGTAAGCAGAAAACAAAATGTTTTCCAATAAAAAAAAGCAAAGGATTAAAAACATTAATAGCATGTTTGAGATGATAAGGAAAATCACACCGGATACTAAAGTGAGGATTAATATAGCAATCAAAAATCAAAGCTTCCAGGTGTTGTAAGAGAAAGCTGTGACATTCCTGCCGTACTGATTATATCATACGTAAAATAGTAAAAAATAAAATAACCCAACAGATTATCAATATTGAACTCCAATAATATAATAAACACGAGGGTACGCGAAAATAGACAATTCTTTTTCTACATTTATACATGTGAACACTTTTCATTTTACAATTTTCAAATTTGGTCGACAACGAAAAAACAATTTTTTGAAAATTGTAAAATATCTTTAAATATGACAACTCATTAACTTCATTTTCGACCAAAAGCAAATAAACATTTGAGAATTTTCGCGTGCTCTCTTTGAGAAAAAAAATTATATACATTTAGTAAATGAAGATTTTACGATTCTTTGATTTAACGTTTTCTTCAAATCGCAATTTGGAAACTTGTGAAATCAGATGTAACAATTTTGGCTATGAAGCTATGCAGAGACTTTTGAGAAATCCAATCGTTGAAGATATGAATCAGACGAAGTGGATGAAATCTGTTTAAAAAATGGCATTTTTATTTTTTATTATTTACATAAAAAAAAAAAACTAATGGTGAAACCAATGGCGACTTATTTCCGAAGATCGCGCATTTACGATCACAATAATGACAAAAATTGATGAACGCAAACGAACTCATAGAATTATGATTTTTGACTATTTCTTAAAGTATTTGTATAACTTCCAATTTTCACCAATGATTATAAGACAAAAAACAACAAAAAAATGATTACTTGAAAGACACTCAAGAGACATCACTAATTGCATTAAGCGACTTTACTTAACAAGTATGATAGCCCATATTCTATGCACTTTGCGATTGACAAAAATGCATAATACAATACTCGTAGATGGTAGGGAAAGTTCATTACTAGCATAGATTAGTGATTTTCCTCTATCTTTTGCGCAAAATTTTAAACATAAAAAATATCGGACATAAAATTATATAGTTGAAGTATCCTGCCAGCCGGATAACTCTTTCTTTTCAAGAATTATTAGAAAATGCATGAGTAATATTGACTCAAGCTAATGAACTTTTAAATTATCGAAAAAGTCGAAGACATTATAATTGATTGCACACCGCCGCAATAATCACACAAATAATAAAAAATTGTAAGTAGTGAGTGTATTTGTTCAAAAAATTAATTTTTACTTGAAGCTCGTAAAAATTATCATCAATTATTCATGTCGTACAAATAGTCGAAAAATAACATTTTTTGTGTCGATTTTTGATATATGAATCTCCTCGTATAGGTAATTTTCGATTTAAAAAAAATAGATTATTGCTAACATGACAGATACAAACAGTTTATTTTTAATATATATTAACAATAATAAACCGAATACTCAAGATTTCCAGGATTAAGAAGCTTTAAAATTCTGTAGAAACTCTTAACTGTTTTGTAAATTCTTTTTCATGGTAGAAGTACTTCAATTGTGAGACAGGGTATATAATATGCATTCATAGAATCACTTGTATTTACAACAAAATAATTTTATTTTTGAAAGTAATTATTGCGAAACAATACATAGTTATGTAACTAATCGTAAAATATTGATATAACGTCTCTGACAATTGAACGTAAAATTTATGTAAACCGAAAAAAAAGTATTATATATTTATTTACAACAATTGCTAGATTAGTATACCTGCAGGAAATATTCAAATTTATATCAATATTATTATTTTATTTGTACCACTGTAGAAAAAATTACTTTAAAAAATTCATATCCGTAATAATGATTCATTTCCTAAATATTTGTTAAGCTATAATTTTGTAAATAATAAATTTTCATAACAAAATTCATCGTATACTTGTGTAATATTAAGTTAAAATCTAGAGCACTCTCGATACTGTGAAAAAAAAATAGCACGATTGAAGTACTTCGACTGTTCGATGTTGTCAAGACCAACGAAACACGGAATTAAGTACAACCAATTGTATTTTATCGTTTACATGTGGAGTATGTACTTTTTTTACGAATACCATCTTTCAAATTGATCATAATTGTCCACGTGCTACTATAAGTACGCACTTGAAGTAATTTTTTTTTTCATATTCATACGGAGCTCAGTCTTTGTATGCAATCAAGATGTAAAAATGTAATTATTACGTATTATGATCCTACTGATAAGTAAAAACGTAATATTTGTGTTTAAAGTTACATATTTGTTCTCTTCAAAAATTATATTATCAGTATCATTATTTGTAATCGAAGGAAGAGTTCGCAACAAGTTCATCGCGTGTAAAAAAATGACATTTATTAGTAAATAATAAATCGACATTCGTAAAATTATTACATGAAATGGAGAAGAATATATATAATAAAAAAGTGAAAAAACAAGAATATCGATTCAGTATTATTTGTAGTGATTAGAATTTATGATATGATAACCTTTAGATATTATTCAAGTGAGTTTTCACCTGCTAATGTGTCGGAATGAATTGAGTGAAAATCATTTGAGAATCTTTAGATGTAAAAAAATAGTATAACACTGCATTTATTTTTAATATTTCTTTTAGATGTATTTATTTAAATTTACTTTACAATTTGTCTTGAACTCCAATTTCTTTATTTTTCACATTAATTTATTCTTTTTAAACTTTTTTTAAAATTTTTTATTTTTAGGGACAGAAGCTCAATGGAAGAGAATGATGATTCACATGACACGAGTGAAGAATTCAAAGACGATTCTAGAGGAATGAGAGATGAAACGATGAATTGATCTAAATCAAGTTGTTAAACATAATTTTTTTGTCATAATTCATTAATACTGCATTTACAAGCACACGCATACTCATACGTGATATAAGGTGACAACTTCATATACTTAGATAGAGTCAAAGATTGATATTAATTAATAAATTGTGGCCTTGTTGAATAGACACACACCCATGCACACGCGCGCGCATACACATGTGCTTATTTATAATGCTATTGTATGTTTAATATATTAAAAAAATAGATGGACCAACTTGCCTATTAGCCTGGGCGAGTATTAGAATTAATGTTTTGACAAATGAGTTGTCTGCGAGATTTCTGCTTTTAAAAAACCTCTTAAACACCAGTAATGCATGAATTAAAAGTTGTAATTATACTATTACATTCCAAAAAATATAACTTTAATGTTGTAAATAATTAGTAAAATTTTGTAGGGACACGAAATTTTCATAATTAATAGTTATAAGCATCGAAAAGTAAATTTTTTATATAGCCTTGTAATAAATTCGTTTCTGAGCAGATATAAACAGCAGAACTCGGAGATAATCATTTTGATAATCAAGAGATTTTTGCATATTAAAATTTTGCAAATTAGCCACAATTTTGTTCGGTGAAATTTAATGCATCGTACTTTTGAAAAAAAATGTCTAAAATAACTTGTTATATTACGGAAAACTCTAAAGTGTGAACAACCGAAAAAATTGACCCTCGCATATTAAAAATTATTTTTGCACAATATTGTAATTTTAAAAATGACAACTAATTGGGCATAGACAAAAAAATCATTGTCAAAGCTACTGGAACTAAAAATGTTTTGCATATTTTTGAAATTTAATGAAATAATAGACTCAATTATTAAAATAATAAAAGTTTGTACATGTACAATAATAATGCAAGCGAGTTTTGACTTAATTTATGTGTATTTATAGTGTACTTTAGATGAATGTTTTTCATTTTTTTCTAATAATTATGCACTACCATAATTATTAAAATTTTTGACTTTTAGGTTTATTAAATGTGACTTAATTAATGAAGTACTGAATCTTATTGCTGATTGTAAGATCTATTCTCACTCAAAAAATTTTTTCATTTCAGTCATTTTCATTAATGCTGAAAAACCTCAAACCCAAAGATTCCATTTACTATTTTTGTGGATAAAAAAAATAGATAGATTTTTTCTCGTACGGTATTTATTGTAACATTCAACTGACAACAATATAGTATTTACATTTTTACGTATGTAAGCAATATTTTAATTATTTTTCTTTAGCATATATTTTTGTAGATGTTTTATATAATATTTCGAATTTTTTTTGGGTGTATAAGTAATCATTTTCACTTGCAATTTTATCGTGTGATTTTTTTTCAAGACGTACTTCAAGTCTTTTGTTTTTCTTTGTGATTGATTATTGCACCAAATTGATATTCACTAACTATTCTTTTAGAAAATAATGCGAGTGTGTATTTTTTCATTACTACTCTTACAATAGTTCCTGAATTTCACATTCTTATACAAAAGGTTTATAATTTTATAAACCTTCTTCTGATGGATGGATGCGAATTATAAAATACTTATCTGCACACTTTTTTCATCATGAGGCCAAATGATATCATATATAAAAAAAATTTATCGCTACAATTTTTAACTATAATAAAATATCAGAAGAAAATCACATATAAATCAAGAACAACATTAAAAGAAATAATTAAATTAAAATTCTTTCATATCATAATTTGATACTCATCTTTTTAAAAACAAGAGGCTTAGTGATTGGATAATTTACTTGTTATGATCTTTAACAATTATATAGGTTTCAAATATCACTGCCATATATGTAAGAAATTAGAAATTAAAGACACTGCGTGAGTTATTTTTTCCGTTTTATATTATTGCACGTCAAGGAATAGAAAGAAGACGACGTTCAATTAATTATTCAACAATATTTCGGAGGAAGATGTCAACGCAATTGAAATTTTGAAATAGTTTTACACACATTATTATAACTTTAGTCATCGTCAAATAACATCTATTGACATTAATTTTTATTTAAAAAAAGGCTGTTTCGAAGCAAAATTGCTTCGACTGGGTTTCCTAACAATATTATTCGTTTTTCAGAACTTTTCATAAGCCATATAGAATGCGTTAAAGCTTTAGCCGTTCTGTGGCATTCGTATGTAGGACATTGATATGACTTTTATCTAATTACTTTTATTTCTAAATTATAATTATACATATTTATAGTTCTATTTCGTCTGTGCGCATAAAATTTCATTGATTATATTTACAAAATGCAGGTTTTCATTATATAAATGTATTTGTGTAACTTTACATAGCACTCAATCATTTGTTTTTTAATTTTATTATACGGTCAATCATAATTAATCAATTCAATTTGATAGCACTACATGGCTCAACTTCGTTCTTATAGCGTGTTTTTCTGTGATTCAAGTTGTACATTGTAGCACCGTGGCATGGTTATTTTACCTATTTAGCTTGTACGATAGCTCACGCCGCTTCGTCGTTAAGGACTTCTTGTTTCATAGAAAATAAAGTCATAAGTATGAATTAGCACATTGCCATGAAATAAATGCACATATTATTACTGCGACTGGTGGTATCAATTTTGGACTGACTTGAGCCCTTGCCGCCCTCGAGCTTCAACATAGGTCGTGTTGTGAAGTGCTATTTACGCTTTCCGTATCTGAATAGTAATTTACAGCACTTTAGTCTAAAAATTGCATCTTTGCCGCTACTTTTAGGCTCTTGTGCTATGAAGTACTAGTAAGATACAACTACACATATATACTATACAGTATACGAATATTTATGAGAGTCTACATGTAATTATTGTCTTGAAAATGTATTTTTTATTATTCTTACCAGAGAACACCATATTTTTTCAATCAAATATTCAATACCATTCAATTTTTTGAGGTTTGCATTACAATTAATGGATTGCAAACAATTTTAGAAGTCGTTTTTCTCAAAATTCGCACTTTAAACATTAGGTGCTTATAAACTTATTTATTATTCACAAAGGTAAGTCTTAAGTAAAAGTGAATATTAGATGTAAAGCACCGTTAGAGCTAAAAATAACATTCAGAGTGGATAATCTGAAAAATAACTATTGCATTTGTTTTACACATATTTATCATTTTTATAGATATGTAGTCTTTTTCGATATGGAAATGTAATACAACAGTCAAAAGTATCGAGAAAAATAACCAACTATCTCCCGCATTATTTATCATTAACAACAACAGTATTTCAAATGAGATTTGCAGATTTCACAGTAACATCGGTATTTAATTCTTTGGATTTATAAAGCATTTGCCACTGATCGTCTTTTTGTACCTTATGTTCCGCGATGAATCGTGAATTCTGAATGAATCATTACAAATTTATCAATTTATGAAATCTTAAAAATAAAATTCTGTACCTATTTCCCTTTAGGCCTCTATTGTATGTTTTTTATGAATATATTTAGTACAACACATATTTTATTATTGTCATTATATCTCATTCGATCACGATCTTTATTCTTCATTTTCAAATTATTGTCAACAAGTTTTTTTATTCTTATTATTGTCGTAAGTAATTAAGAGTTATATATCTCGTTTAAAAATTGGCATTTATATTACAAAAATGTCTTTTGTCGCTATAACGAGAATTATCGCTCTTTTCGTGAAAATGAAGTATTTAATGTGGAATAAAATTAGAACAAATTTTGATGCATTCTCGTATAGCTGCCTACACTTCTTCATTTAATCAAGGTTTTTATAATTGTCTTGTTTTTTTTACTTGATTTCAGTTTACTTTCAACTTGATCAGACTACTTTATGAAGACATTCTAACCAATCAGTGTTGCTCTACACACTTTTTTCATCAACAATTAATTACAAATAAAATTTTTCACCGAAATAAGAAGAATAATATTTCATATTGAAACCAAATAAAGTGTTTCTTCAAGTATTAGCAGCAGCCTTTATATAGTAAAGCAGTTTTCATTTGTAAATTTATATAAATTTTCATATAAATCTCAAAATTCAAGCTTACATAAAAAAAATGCATCCATCATCACAGGTATATGTATTATATAATTCAAGATTGACGACAGCAATGATGTATAGATCCAATCACGAATTAGCTAGTAAAAAAAGTTTTTTTTTTTGTAACTATAGTTTTCAAGTTTACAGCAACAATTGCCTAAGCGATTAATATTCGATAAAATTCAATACTCTTGTAACAATTATATAATATATGTATGGGTCAAAATAATACTTTTTTACAAAACCGTGCGCACGTATGTCACCGATCTTGACGCGCTTTTGGTATGTTATAGTACATGGTAAAAAGGTCCCAAAAAAAAATTTTTAGACCCCCTCCCCCCTCCTACCCCCCACTTCCGGTATAAACGTCCATTTTCGATCTATATTTTTTCTGAGGACATGAAGCAAGTAAAAAATCTGAAAAAATTCATAAAAATACTTTTCCACAATCCAAACAACCTTGAATTTTTTCAGATTTTTTGAGTGCTTCAGGCCTTCAGATAAAATCATTGAAAATTTCAAAAATCGAGATACGGCGGTATGAGCCGATGTAGTACTCGGAAATTTTTTCAGTTATTTTTCGCATTAAAAAACATAACCTCAATTTTTTTCAGATTTTTTCAGATTACCTAACGCACCTTTTGAAGCCAAAAACCGATTTTTTTGACGAAAATAATTTTTTTAGGACAGTACGGAGCCTCGAAAAATCTGAAAAAAATTTTTTCTTGTTTTTTTCATCAAAATACGTAATCTCAAATTTTTTCAGATTTTTTAATTGAAGGCGATAGCTTCTAGGGCCGAAAAATGCTATTTTTAACAAAAAATGGTTCCTAGAACCCGATGGTTCCGGTGAAAAAATTTGAAAATATTTTTTTTGAATTCCTTGTCAAATTTTAATAAATTTTGACCGTTTCAAAAGTTCGATTGAAGCTTCCTAGCTCATTTTAGAGCATCAAACGAGTTTTATCATTCCTTAATGTCTTCAGAAACGTCTTCAGATATTTTGCACTAATCTTTGTCCTGCTCTAAAATGAGCTAGGAAGCTTCAATCGAACTTTTGAAACGGTCAAAATTTATTAAAATTTGACAAGGAATTCAAAAAAAATATTTTCAAATTTTTTCACCGGAACCATCGGGTTCTAGGAACCATTTTTTGTTAAAAATAGCATTTTTCGGCCCTAGAAGCTATCGCCTTCAATTAAAAAATCTGAAAAAATTTGAGATTACGTATTTTGATGAAAAAAACAAGAAAAAATTTTTTTCAGATTTTTCGAGGCTCCGTACTGTCCTAAAAAAATTATTTTCGTCAAAAAAATCGGTTTTTGGCTTCAAAAGGTGCGTTAGGTAATCTGAAAAAATCTGAAAAAAATTGAGGTTATGTTTTTTAATGCGAAAAATAACTGAAAAAATTTCCGAGTACTACATCGGCTCATACCGCCGTATCTCGATTTTTGAAATTTTCAATGATTTTATCTGAAGGCCTGAAGCACTCAAAAAATCTGAAAAAATTCAAGGTTGTTTGGATTGTGGAAAAGTATTTTTATGAATTTTTTCAGATTTTTTACTTGCTTCATGTCCTCAGAAAAAATATAGATCGAAAATGGACGTTTATACCGGAAGTGGGGGGTAGGAGGGGGGAGGGGGTCTAAAAATTTTTTTTTGGGACCTTTTTACCATGTACTATAACATACCAAAAGCGCGTCAAGATCGGTGACATACGTGCGCACGGTTTTGTAAAAAAGTATTATTTTGACCCGTATATATAACGACGTGGTACTGGTAAATTCCAGAATAATTTCTCTTTTCATCCGTTGAGAATAAAATTTTTGTATTTATATCTATGTACGCATATTTTGACGATGAATATGTGTATTTATATATTTTATAAACTGTAAATAACAATCGGCTTGTTGAGCTTTTCATACCTTTCGTTAAATGGACTATAATAAGTATATATTTAGTTTAGTTCGCTTTTTTTTCTATAACCACGCGTAAATGAGTTTGCGTTTGATTAATTTCCCATATAGTAGAAGTGTAGACGGCGTTAACTTACGAATAGATTATTTCACCAATCAAACGAGTGAAAACAGTTTTTCTCTCCCAGTAAATCCTATTGACTATGTTAATACCAGTAGCGAATCGTTTTTAATTCTTCTCTCTTTTTCTTTCTAATTTGCACTCTTTTTTTTAACAGTATAATTGACTGATGCCGTTCAGAATATAGATAATGGAAAGAAAGAAGAAAAGAAAAAAAGGCGCGTGAATAGAGCCTCGTTGTTTTCTTTCGGCAAAGTACATACAATTGATCGTGCAAGCAAGCAATTGTACATAAGTTGAGGAAACGGAGCGACGGATCGATGGATGATTTAGGTGACGTCGGTGTCGTCCTCCTCGTCGTCTTCGCGCGGTCCACTGGTCGGGCAGCAAAGACCCTCGCTGCCGTCCGGCCTGATGCAGAAGAGATATTGCTCGGCTTTGGTTGTCTCGTGAGGGACGATGCCGTGGAACTCTTTGAGATCGGCCGCCGGGAACCAAGCCTTCTCGTTGTCCTCGACTATCAAGATGTTGAACATTCTGCCGAGGCACAGAGACGACAATTAGTTTCAAGTTCAATTCAATCGGTCATTGGTCGAATAATAGAGAGAGAGAGAGAGAGAGAGAGACGAGAGCTCACCTGCAAATGCCGACCACCGGTATCCAGAGGATCGAGGCGAGAATGAGCACGGCAATGAGCACGAGGGCCCAGGTGGGCCACTCGAGCCGCTCGGTTATGCCCTTTTCGGCGACCCAAGCCTGGTAGCCGCTGCCCTGGACGACGATCTCGACGATCGACGCCACGAGGATGCTCAGCATGGCCAGCGGCGACAGGTACTTCCAGCATATGAGCCAGTAGAGGCCGGGCCGAGTACCGGTCATGAGCTCGATGTCGTCGGCGAACCTCTTGATGCCGTAGACGTAAGCCACGCCGATGCACTCGAAGAAGGCAATGATGAGCAGCGGAAAGTTGCCGCTGAAATTGTCAAACAGGACGAAGACGTAGCTGCCGGCGCCGTGCGCGAACGCCATCGATATCGAGCAGCACACCAGACAAATGCCCCCTGTAACATCGTGGTAGATCGTTTCAGCAAATTGCCTATTAAATATATGCGGCTCGAGACTATATTCGAGTACTTGGCCAACCTACCCGTGAGAATTTCCTTGCGCAGGTTCGGAAAGAGCTTCATGTCGACGATGCTCGTGACGACGCCTTCGAGGGTGCCGAATTGCGAGTCGATGCCGAGCGTGAACAGCATGAGGAAGAACAGCACCGACCAGAACTGCGCGCCGGGAAATTGATTGATGGCCTCGGTGAAGATGATGAAGGCCAAGCCGGTGCCCGACGCCGACTGCAACACACACGATCCGTGTCAATTTCATTGTTTGTTGAGCTTCGATAAAATAAGCTCCGCTGGCCACGAGTGCAGCTTTGCCTAGCGCTACGTGATTCGATGCCGATGCAGTTTCATGTACAACGAAACGGCGTGCCATTGACCGCGGCAGCAAAGGGGGACGCGCGTTTGTAATTTCTATTGGCACTTGCGCGAATCTGTACGCTTATCATTACGCTGTAATAGTCGGATCCACGTGGATATATATGTAGAGACCGGTGAGTAGTATCGATTTTTTCTTCTCCATGGAATTACAAAGGCCATGATTTATCGTATCATCGCGTGGAGCGTTGTGAGAAAGTCAAACGAAAAGAAGAGGCAGAGATCCATCTCGAGTTTCTCCACTTGCGTTCGGCGCTATGTCTCTCGCTCTTTCTCTTTCTCTCGCGTCAGTCGGAGTGCAAGTTGGTAATCGAGCATCGTCGCATCGTCGATGTCGCGCGACAACGAGCTCGTACGATTCGTTACTTGGATGTGTCTCGAGCTACGAGTGTAGGTGTTGTTCGAGCGATTAGCTTCGATTCTCGATCGACTGTTATTTGTGTTATTCGCGTCATCGAGCCTAAGTCATCCGGCGAGCGAGCCGACATCTAATACATACAAGTACGAAAAATTCATTTCTTTTTCAATTAAGGCTGTGTGTTTGCAACGCGCGCAGACACGAGCTCCATTATCAGTGTTTATACACTATTTTGCTGCTCTTTGAAGTTTTGATAAGCTATCGTTTGTCTGTTTCAGCAGGAAAAAAAAAGAAGAAAACGATAAAAGCTCGCTAATAGATTGATTTGCAATTATTACGAAAGCTCTCAGGAGCTTGTTTACATGCTCGTGCGTCGGCGCGTGGCCGGAGAAAAATTTTTCAGCCAATTATTTCGACGAAGGTGTTTCGAATTACGTATCGGTTTGCGCGACTCGCAGCCAACCTCGAGTGTACAATTATCGTGCGGCAATTCTTATTGACATTTCCATCTGATAAAGCAGCATCGATTTCTTATCTCGCGCGCGATCGCAGTTCAAACGTAAAAGTGAGATGAGAATTATTCGATTGGGGCGTCGCTGAAATCAGCAACGCACGAGTACGTAAGTTTAGAAGCTAGCGCCAACGTGCAGTGTGCGATTTGCTGCGGCGAAAGGCGAGAGATCGTCGAGTCCGATACATACAAAAGTTGTTGGTCTCATCATGATCGAGCGTCGAGGAAGGAATTACTGATCGGCGGCGCGTCGAGTGCATGTGTGCTGCTGCTGCTGCATGTGCGCCGCGATAGTGTGTGCGTGGGTGCGCCAAAGCTCCTCTCCTTTATGCAATTGCCATTCGGCTTCGTTCAGCTTCGCATCCGATATCATATATTGACGCAATTACCAATTGAATTGCCAAGATGGCCGATGGCAAGGGACACCCGTACGAGGAGGCCCACCCGATCAGCCGACTATTTTTCCTGTGAGTATATACGATACGCGTCCCAGTGAAACGGGCAGATACTTTCTTGCTTTACCGGCGCCTCTCGCCGACACCGACCTTGGGGCAAGCCGCGCGTTCAAAACAGTCGGCTGTTTTGGTCGCTGCGTGCGACCAAAATAAATGAGCAGATATATGCATGAAGCAAGACTTTTTTTATAGATGGTTGATATCGATCTTCAAGAGAGGCCAGGCGCTCGAGCACGCGGATCTGTCCGGAGCGCTGGAGCAGCACGACAGCGAGCTAATCGCCAAGGAGCTCGGAGTGTAAGTCGGCCTCCCAACTTGAGCCTCGATTTCGATCGCCAATTGTCGATCTCACGCACACGCACTTTTATCGCACTTTTGTAGCCACTGGACCAAGGAGTGCTCGAATGCCCACGTGAAGAACCGCAAGCCGAGCCTGTTCAGGGCCGTCTACTGGATGTTCCACAGGGAGTTCTTGTGGTGGGGCGTGCCGTCCTTTTTTTATCACTTTTGCATCAAGTCAGTGGACGGCGTTGAAGTAACAACAAAAGAGTCGGCCCAAAAGGACGTTTCGTTGGATGTAGCCGGTGTCGTTGTTTCAGAATCGTCATGACGTTCACGTTGGGCCAGGTGATCGGCGCCTTCGACAACAAGCAGTCGCCCAACTGGTACGTCATAGCCGTCGTCGAGACCTTTTGCTTCATCTGCCTGACCCTCTTCGACATGGTCATCTTCAATCAGATGTCGGTGGGACTGAGGCACCTGGGCATGAAGATCCGCGTGGGCTGCTCGGCTCTCATGTTTCGCAAGATCATGAAACTGCCGAGCTCGGCGAGGAAGGCCAGCGGGGGCAGAATCATCAATCTCATGTCGAACGACGCCATGAAGCTGGAGACGTCGGTGCTGTTTCTGCACACGCTCTGGATCATGCCGCTGCAGGTCACGGCCATCACGATCCTCATGTGGCAGTCGGTCGGCGCCTACGCCCTCGTCGGGGTCGCTTTGCTCCTGCTCCAGACTCTTCCGTTGCAAGGTACGATCACCACCGAAGCTAATCGAGTACTTTTTCCCGCATTTTCTCTCTCTCTTTCTTTCTCTGCCTCTGCCGTTGACAGCTGGGAGCGGTAGAGTCATCGCGAAACTGCGCAAGAAAATAGCCGGCAAAACCGACGAGAGGGTCCTGCTAACGGCCGAGGTCGTCCGAGCCATTCGAGTGATCAAGATGTGCGCCTGGGAGAAGCCGTTCGCGCGACTGCTCTACCAAGCCAGAAGGTAAGACGAGAATAGATAACGATCTGCACACGATTTCAACGAGTCGCAATTAGAGATCTCACACGAGCTCGCCTCGATCAGGAACGAGATGTACGTGCTGGGACTGGCCTACAAGCTCAAGTGCCTGCTCTGGGCCGTCGTGTCGTTCGCCCAGCGCAGCCCCGTCTTCGTGACCCTGATGCTGCACGCCCGGAGCGGCGGCCTGCTCAGCGCCACTACGGTCTACACCCTGGTGCAGTACTTCAACGTGCTGCACGTCATGTCGGGCTCGTACTTCCTCAGGACCATCGACACCGGATCCGAGGCTCTGGCCTCGCTCAAGCGCATCCAGGACTTTTTGCTGCTGGACGAGCAAAAGTCGCGCATCCTCTACGCCTTCGAGCCCAGGAAGGACGAGACGATGATCAACGTGGCGGCCGTGAGCTGCGGACAGGCCGCAACGAGCCCCACGCCACTGGCCCACTGCCTCGACGACATCAGCTTCAGCGTCAAGCGCAACATGCTCTACGTCGTGGTGGGGCCCGTGGGCTCGGGCAAGAGCTCCCTGCTGCGGCTGCTCCTGGACGAGCGCGACTTCACCAGAGGCCAGATACGCATCGACGGCAGCTTGTCGTACGCGCCTCAGGAGCCCTGGATCATTCAGGACACCGTGAGGAACAACATACTGCTGGGCAGCAAGTACGAGGAGGAGCGCTACAGGCGAGTCGTTCGGCTCTGCGAGCTCGACGCCGACCTGGAGGCTTGGCTCGAGGGCGACGACAAGCTGGCCTTGGAGAACGGCGCCAACTTGAGCGGCGGCCAGTGCGCCAGGATCGGACTGGCTCGGGCCATCTACCGCGAGGCCGACGTCTACCTGCTGGACGATCCGCTCTCGGCTTGCGACGCCGCAGTCGCCCGGCGTCTCTTTCACCACTGCATCAACGGGCTGCTGAGCGCCAAGACGCGAATCTTGGTCACCCATCAGCTCGAGTACTGCGTCGAGGCCGACGAGATCATATCCGTGGACGGGGGCAGAATCGTGTACCAGGGCGACTTCGAGACTCTGCGGCGCGAGGACAGCTTCTTCGAGCGCACCGACTCGACCGACCGAGAGAGCCACGAGGCCGAGTACGAGGCCGGCGAGGCCGACAGTCAGGACGATCGCAGCGTTTCCAACGAGGAGACCACCGCTAGTATAGAGGACGACGTCGATGCGACGGATACCGAGGCGCGACCGAGCGACGACGTTGCCTCGACCGAGGACGACAAAAAAGAGCCCCTCGAGATAAACGAGTTGCTCGCCGAGAATAAGGCTGAGGAAGAAGAGAAGGAGAAGGAGCACGTAGATAAATTCAAGGGACTAGTCAGAAAAGAACAAACGAATAAAGATAAATTCGGTAGATGCAGAATCTATAGAAAGTATTTCACTGGCGACGGCCAAACTCTCATCTGCGTTTTGACTCTGCTCACATTTGTTTTGGCGCAAACGCTCACGTCCATGTACGACGTCTGTCTTTCCTTATGGTAATTCCATTCATACTCCCATTAATCAGCTTGACATCTTTTTTGACACCTTTCCTCTTTTTCTCAGGGCCAAAAGTTACTCCAACAGCCAAGCCACCAAGCCCAAACAGATAAGCGAAGAGTACTACGAGTCTGCGTTTATAAACCCAGAGCCTCCGAATAGAGACCCCGAGAACGACATTCAGAATTTCATTTATCTCATGATCGGTATCGTGTGCCTGACGATACTCAAGTCGCTCTACTATGCAATGACTTTCAAAAAGATCAACTCTATATTGCACAACAGCATGGTCAGAGGGATCTTGCAAGCGAAAATGAGCTTCTTCGAAGCCAATAACACAGGTATGGCAATGAACCTTTTTGAATGCGAAATAGCTATTCAATGATTTTTTTGCATCCTTGTCGCAGGCAACATCATGAATCGTTTCACCAAAGATTTGGGAACCGGAGACGAAAAGCTGCCGATGATGTTGCTCGAGAATCTCGAGTTCATCTTCATCATTTGTGGCATAGCGTCCGTCATAGTGTACGTGAATCCATATTTCTTGGTCCTCATTCTGGCAATGGGGTATCTGTTGTACAAGCTACGCATGAGCGCCGTGAAAACGACTCGCGCCCTCATGAGAATCGAGGCCCAACGTAAGTTATCAACGTTCTCTCCCTCTCTCGAATCGCTCCTAATGTCTCTCGACGCTCCGTAGGAAAGAGTCCCGTTTTGCAGTTCGTCGACTCGACGTTCAGCGGCATCGAGTCGATTCGCGCCTTCAAAATCCAGTCGAATTTCAATTACACGTTCGACGCGCTGCAAAACGAGCACAGCGCCGCGGCCTTCAGCTACATCTACGCCGTGGGAGCTTACGGCATGTGGCTGGACCTCATCACGCTCGGCTTCATCACTATTGTCAGCTTCACTTTTTGCCTCTTCAGCCCGGACACGCAGAATGGCGCCGACGTCGGTATGACCTTCACCCAAGCTCACATTTTGTGCGGAATTCTCGCCAGAACCGTGAGGGTCACGGGAGACGTGGAAAATATGCTCGTTGCCGTTGAGAGGACCTCCGAGTACGCCTACCAATTGGAGTCCGAGAGCCAAGATATCAACCCTCGATTGCGGCCTAAATCTACTTGGCCGGAACTCGGAAGAATAGAGTTCAAAAAGGTCAACTTTAAGTACTCGAATAATGGACAACAGATTTTACGGGACATTAATTTGCGCATCAGGGCCGGCTCCAAGGTTAGACATTACTTTTCATTCATTCGATGATTTTTTTGATAAAATAAAAATTGCTTCGCTCGTTAGATCGGCATCGTCGGCGCGACTGGGGCGGGAAAATCATCGCTCGTAACGATTCTATTCAATTTAATGGATTACGATGGACAAATTTTCATCGACGAATGGAATTGCAAAGCCTTGCGGCTGGAAAAATTGCGGAAAAATATGTCGATTCTACCGCAAGAACCTCAGCTTTTCTCAATGACTTTGAGGAAAAATCTGGACCCCAACGACGATTACGACGACAAGCAGATCTGGTCGGTCCTCGAGGACGTCGAATTGAAAGGGATCTTCTCGTCGTTGGACCAGCCACTCGATCAGACCGGCTTGAGCACTGGTCAGCGTCAATTGCTCTGCCTGGCTCGGGCACTGCTGAGGAAGAACAAAATTCTCATTCTCGACGAGGCGACGGCCAACGTCGATCCTCACACCGAAGCTCTCATACACGCGACGATTCGCGAGCAATTCAGCAAGTGCACCATCATTATGATCGCTCACAGGATCAAGACGGTACTCGATTGCGATAGAATCGTCGTGGTGGATCAGGGAAAAATCGCCGAGTACGGAGAGCCCAATTGCCTTCTAAAAAACAAGAATAGCCGTTTTGCCGCGTTAGCTAAAGCTGAGCCGAACGATGCTTGAGCCAAAGACATTTCACTATCGTTGTTCTATTCTTTATTTTTTTACGATTTCTAGTCCCGTAAAATAGCCATGTAAGTTGTTGATTTATAAACGCAAAAAATCAAATGGACGAATTGTGTGTGTTGTGCGTGTATTTATAATTATTTACGATTATCGAGTCCGAATAATATTTTTGTATATATAACTGATACGAAGATGAATAAAATAAATGTCACTTACATTATCGAGTTCTTTCTGCAAATCGCATTCGGGCAAGGTGGGCATGACGAGACTCGTTAAACTTCCGTTGGGATTCGTGAGGTTGAAGACGCTACCGTTGGCAGGTAGATGCAGTGGTATTTTCTCGAAGCCTCCGAATAAACTGATGAGGGATGAGTTGCGGTCTCTCAGGCACGCCTCGTACGTCATGGTTGCTTTGAAGCCTGTAATGAAAAGCCTCTCTGTGTGGTAGCTAAAATTTGTGGTTTATAATTTCGAATGGACAATTTATGAGCATGCCGTACCAATGATGGAAAAAACAACGATGCCGGCGAACATGGAAGTGAAGCAGTTGGTCAGACTGACCATTATGGCGTCGCGGTAGCAATTGTTGTTCACTGGATTGTAGGACGAGAAGGCGATCAGACCACCGAACGCCAGGCCGAGGGAGAAAAATATCTGCGTCCCGGCCTCGAGCCATACGACTGGATCGGTTAGCGTGTACCACTGAAACGAGAGACGATCGTTGAAAAATTCGCTCGAATTTCGACCGCGCCGGAATAAGAATTGCACGAGCTCTAGACGTACTTTCGGCGTAAACAAGTGGCGCAAACCGTCCGACATGCCGGGCAAGGTGACGCCTCGGAAAAAGAAGATTATCAGGACGATGTATGGAAAGGTGGCCGTGACGTAGACGACCTTGCCCGACGACGCGATTCCCTTGATCATGCACATGTAGACGAGTATCCAGGCGACGACCAAAGCCAGGGCTATTTTCCAATTGAACACGTCCGGTGTGTTGATGTCCTTCGACACCATGAGGGTAGTGCGATACCAAAAATATTGCGTTGGGCTGCTTTGCTGTGGACACCGAACGTTCGTTTTTGTGAAAAGAAAATTCGAGTCATGAAGTTATTTTAAGCGATATATGCTTTGCCTACCAAACATTCGGGCTCGGGTGAGTAGGAGCCGTTTTGGAAATATTTGTTGGGGCACTCCGCCCAGGGTAGCTCCGATTGGAAGCTCTGAACGAAGTAAAATAGGCACCAGGCGATAATGGTATTGTAGTAGAGGGCCACGTTGAAAGATACGACGGCGCTGCTGACGCCTATGCCACCCATGAACGGCGATACCTGCCAAGAGACGACAAAAGCGTGAATTTTTTGTACTACACAATTTTGTGGATAATTGTTGATCGACGGCCGACCTGATTCCAAACTCCGATGGCGCCTTTTCGCAGTCTCTGGCCGATGGCTAGCTCCAGGTAAAATATAGGGATCCCCTCGATAGCCAGCATCACGAAGTACGGTATCAAAAAAGCACCTTCAAGCACAAAGTTCAATTATGCGCGAGCTTGGACCGGTATTTATCTCTCCTTTTGGAGCAACAGCGCTTTTTCCGATGTCGCTTCTTTTTCCGATGTCGCTTCTTTCTCCGACGCTCGCGTCCGACCGACTCGGCCACGGCGTCGATCACTCGACTCAGCGCTTCTTTCTTATTTTCCGGGCTCAAACTCGCTAGCGACTCGTCCGGATCCGATATTATGATCTTCACGTAAAGCCGCTTTGTGTGTTTGCGACTCTCCGCGTCGTTAACAGGATCGTTCTTCGACATGAGCGACACGGCGAAGGTTTTCGGCTTATTACCGGCAATTTTTTTCGAACCAACCCCAGTCACGCCCATCAATTCAATGCAACTTGATACGAAAAATACGATTTTCACGATTTCCGTATACCTGTAAAAAGTTTACAACACACAATCAGCTTTTCCAAATATATTGGCAAAAAGTGCGAAAAAAAGTCCATTACTTCATATCAAGTAGTATGTTTTTTCAATATTGTTCTTGATGTACGAGCTCACAATTGAAACGTTGTTGATTGTATATAATATTACATACCAATTAACCTACATTTTCATAAATCTTGCTATAGTTTCGAGAGCATGAAATATTAATTACGTGAATGTTCTTCCTTATATTTAAAATTCAACGCACATATTTAATGATTTAATTACTAATTATTCTTATTGCCGGTATTGTTATTGATGAACGTATTAAATTAAAAACTAACTAAAAAGTTTGATTTATCGATTAGCGTCGGAATTAACCTTTTATTTTAAAAAGGCTATGAAAATAAAAAATATATAACGTTTTTGTTGAAACCTCGAAATTGTGGATTTTTCGAAGAGAAAAAAAAATCGAACTGAATAAATTTCAAAAACTAAAAATAGAAAGTAAGATTGAAAAGATAAAATAAAATTTTGATAAAAATATTTTCAATTAGTTGGACAATTTTCAATATTACCGATAGCAACGAATATAAAAATTCCACGAAAATTATGAAAAATTAAAATATTTCATATTTTTCTCATCAGTTAGTGCAAGTACAATTTGCCGAATCATCAAATTCGGTAAAATACTGAGAACTAATTATTCTATAATGCGCTCGCTACAAACGTTTATGAAAAAATAATCCAGACTGATTTTAAAAATAAATAATTGTTGCGGCAAAAATAAGGAATCTGGAAATGATTAGTTTTGCACAATGGAGCTATATATAGGGAAAAGCCGTTCGTAATTACAGATACATTCGAAGCAGCCAAAGGAGTCTCGGCGGGGCGCAAGTGCATTCCCCAAAGTATTCGAATACCTTGTATACTATGTCGGGGTCTATAACTCATAAACTTATTCGTAAATATCTCTCTCTATCGAGTGACCCAGTTTGCCGTTTTTATTCAACGTTGTGGAAGTTTGAAAAATCCTCGCGCACATGTGGCCAAAGTATATAGTTATTAGAGGGATACTTACCACCGCCGTTCTTCTGAGCGAGGTAAGGAAATCTCCATACGTTGCCGAGACCGACGGCATAGCCGACCGTTGCCAGGAGGAAAGTGAGCTTGCTGTCCCAGTTCTCGCGCTCGTCCTCGCCGGCTTCGGGCTTGAATATGCCCTTCTCGGTGCTGCCGAGCTTACTGCCGCCGGCCGAGGTGGAGCCACCCCCGCCGCCCGCGTCGCTCACCGAGATCGTCTGTTTGCTCTGGACATCAACGAAAGGATTTGTAGACTGATGCGCCGAGTCGTCGATGATTGCGGCGAATGAGGGGTGGTGTGTGCGAGTATGAAAAATGACGCAAGCGTGAATCGCACGAAAGCAGCTATACATAAACGTGCTCTTATCTACAACTAGTGTTGTGCGCGGATTTACCTTTGCGCTTTGGGCGGCGCGATTGGGACTGGAGTCGTCGAAGCCGGCGTTGGTCGCGCCGTAGCTGAGGCCTCTCTCGGGCAGGCTCCTCTCCCTGCGGCTCTCGCCGACCAGTCGACCTCGCAGCTCCTTCATCTCGAGCTTGTCGACGCTCTTCTGGGGCTTGAGGTCGCGCGAGCTCTGCCGGCGCACCAGATGAGCCGTGTTCGCCATTGTGTCTTGCCCTGATGATTCCTTCGCTTCTGCTCATGCAATTATTTCCGAGATTTGTCGCGCCTCCGCTGCTGCTGATGCTACTACTGAGAGCCTGTAAAATAAATTCAATAAGGACAAAGTGAGCCTTCATCGACAGGTGTGTGCACTTATTGAAACAAAAGTGACCCGAGGCAAAATGACACTTTTTTCAAAGTAGGTTAACGGCAAGTCCAGCTCGATCACGCACACTTTTCATACGATCGACCGAGCTTGTGTCTTTTTCACGAGCTATTTTTAATTCCTCTCCTTTTAGAAGCACTTTTATCCTTTCGTGCTGGAAAATTGCTCGCTTCTGCGACGAGCTCGTGGATCGTGCGAATAACTGTTGCATGTGCCACGTATTTCGGAGCCCCGAGCAAGGTACTCGATGACAATAACTTTTCGAGTGGCAACAATTTTTACTGCTCGCTCCAAGGGCTGAAGGGCAGCTTTTCAAAATGTCATTCGCTTGTTCGTACGAAAATTCGCACGCAACAATATTACTTTTGCATTCGCGCCCAGCTGGCCAAAGCAATTTCTTAGCGACCGCTCCTTCTCTTTGTTTTATCAGCTATAGCTCGAGTTGTAAAAAACGTATTTTTTTTTGCCGTACAGCGTATGCAGTGAATTCGTTTCAATCGATAATTTGATTTGTTCAGCGTTCAATGATACATTAGCGCGCTCAAACAATCGCAAGCTCGCTCGCTCGCTTGGCTGTGTCGCAACGGGACACTGGCAAAGTGCAGCCTGACGATATACATATAGCTATATTCGAGGAATATTTAAAAGCTCCATAGAGGCGTCGTTGAAAACCTCACGCGTCATTAAGTCCCGCTTAAGCTCTCTTGTGTTGCGTAACCGGCTGGAAAAAATGTATACCTTTCGCCGCGGCTCTTTTCACGACTGATGTGACGTTTCCGACTTGATTGTTGGCGCTCGCTTCGTTTTAATTGACGTATATCAGACTTTTATTATATTTTTCACAAGTGCTAATTGCCATCCACTCGACGAGCTTGCAGACAGACTGGCTCAAATCTCGATATTATATTTAACTGATTTTGACTCTTTGATAATCATGTTACAGCGCCGATAAGCTCTTCATTAAAACTTTCCCATTCGCAGGTGGTTTAATTCAATTTTTCCTTTGTAACTTTTTTAATGCAAATGAAACAGCTGCGTGTGCTAGAGCATCGTTCGCAGGCTCTTATCGCTCTGGATCGATATTTTTGCACATGGAAAGAGGCGCGTTGCTCGACGAGAGATTTATAAGATTATGCACTCGATAATTGCACGTACTCGAGCTGTCGAGGAGCATTTCGGATCGATTCTTTATATCAGACAGCTATTATGTGTAGGAGGCATTATCGCACTCGTATATTAAGAAAAGACTAGCGGGCATAAAATGGTGTCATCGTGTAGCGCGTGCAAACTTAGTTTTTGCATATCGAGTGGCTACGCACACAGATCGCGAGGCCTGAAAAACACGAGGTCTTTAGAGAGTGGAAAAAGCTGAGTAAATGCTTTCGAGTGAGGCTCCGATCGAGCGAGTATTACGACTGAACGTTTTGAAAGACTTTGCGGAGTTTCTTCTCCCTTTCGTTACTCGCTGCGTGACCCTGAGGGCCAGGCTCCACGCGGATCTCTGATTGCAAGCTCGAATTGATACGTTGATTACTCCAGTCAGACGATTAGCCTCGAGAATTTAGTGGTATACTAATCGTCACTGATCTATTGTTTTGATTCGATTCGCGTAAAGCTTGCCGTTGCCGCGTAAAAAGCTCGAGAGCAGCTACTCCTTTTCGATGAATTATCGCCGCAGTCATCGACGAGGAGGAAGACTCGTTTCGAAACTATAGTGCCATAAACGAGCTCGTGTGAGTGAGCGTAAGCGAGAAAAGGCAGTAGGTAGCATGCAGGCAAGAGGGCAAGAGAGAGAGAGAGAGGGCGAATTCTATATCGATTGCTGGAAAGGACTGAATAGAGCTTGCGAGTTGCAGTGTAGGTATATAGTCACGCGCGCGCACATACAGGGACACACATACGCTTCAACCCGATCGCAGGATACAGCGAGAAAGTAGATTTATCAACTGATATAATTGTATTACTTGCCAAGACTGGAGAGCGAGCGACGACTTGCTCAAGCGAAACGTGGCCTGCTTCCGAAACCAGTGAGCGACTTGCGAACGATCGACGGATCCGCTGTCGTATCCATTGGCGGAGGGTAATGTGCGGGAGGCCAGAGATTCAGCTGCGACCGATTGCTGGAAAGTCGATTCCCACGTCGACGAAAGCTCCGCCACTGCTATTAGCACTATTGCTCATGGTAGCGGACCACGCGCAAACCCCTCTCGATCGAGTTTGCCCTCGAGCTTTCCAGCCACGATCCGAGCTCGGCTTCCCTGTGTATATTAATTCGCTGACACTCGCGCGCAGCCAACACAGCTCTGTGACGCTCCGACTGGACGATTATCCCCAACGGCTCCGTGTTGTTGCCGTCGACGTCGCAGTCGTCGTCGCTACTGGAGCTCGCCAACGAGTTTCGACTTAAATCATCATGCAAGGACCCGAGTTTACTCAGTGCGCCCCGCAATGCGCAGGTGCAGCAGCAGCAGCAGCGCCGACCTTTACATAAAACCCATCGGTGCATCGTGGGAGGTGCATATGGGGGATGTACGCGCGAGTACACGCGGACTGCGCCGAGTATATCGGGATATATGCATCATCGATCTACCGTATACGGTTTTTACTCTTCGCCTTGGATATTTGAAAAAAGCTTGGATCAACTTCATCTTTTGAACTTATTTTCATAAAATTGCCCTTAACTCTGCGAGTTGCATTCCGGATTAATAGCTGCAGCAAGCAGATCTCAGACTTTTGAATTCTGTCACGACGAATGATATTTTAATTTGTAGCGGCTCTCAAACAGTTTCGCTAAGAGTCTCAATTTTAGATACTACGAGCTTAAATATTAATCGTCGGGTGCCGAGATGACTCGTGCTACTCGATGCTACCACTGTTTGTGTGTAGAGTACTTTTAACCAGTGGCACCATCTGAGGGTGGGAAACGGCTTGTTGTGTCTCTGCCAGGAGGAGGTCACGAATCAATAGCTTCACCAAGTCATAACAATAACTAACGGATACTTGGACTTCCAAATAAATACGAGCTTATTTTATGTGACTGCGTACTTTCAAGGTTTTTTTTATATCATCATTACATTCCATGTACACATTTTTTATGCGCTTACCGAATATTATTATAAGTCTATAATCTGACACCTGTAGGGCACTTGCTCTGATTGGTTTGTAATCTTTCAAGTTTAGAAAAAAGATATTAGAATGAGAAAATACAAATCCCTTTCAAAATTAGTATAGTTTTAGAGAATTGTCTACGAGACTTCAAAGCATGTCGAAAAACTGACAAATATTTATATAAATTTTTATGTCTATCCTACGAGGATATGCGCCAGGCGTGTTGAACTTTATCGAACAGGGTGCGGAGGATTGATTGTGTTGAGCGAGCTTTTTATCTGTCAGCAGTCTCGTTAAGTATACCTACCGTGTAAGAGTCAAAGTTTCACTCGGAGACCGAACGTGTCTATAGGCTTGTTTAACTTCAAAGTTTAATTTAATTTATTACAATACGACCGCAAAAAACGTCCCATGACGTAATTAGGCGTTAAGACGAAACCGCACAATTTTCTTATCAATCTTCTACTAGAAAGCAACAATACGGCCACCGGCATAAAAAAACATTTTTTCCTCTAGGAAGAAGCTAAATGTTCTTCATTTTTAATTCACCGCTACAAGAACACTTCATTAATGAATTATGAATAGTTTACGTGAATGTATTTTTTACATAATAAAACCCCTTGAAAGATTCGCTACAAATGTTCCATTGAAAGGTTGGAAGCTACTTCGTACATGTATTAAAAAATGACAACGCTAGCACAACAAAAGGATGTCTGAAGAATAAAAAGACGGTAGCAAATGCGTAACTTTTAAAACAAACATTCAATTCAAGTTTAGCAATCACATTTTTGTTATTTGTCAAATAAATATTTTTCGCGATAAAGTTTGTGTAGGATTAAGATTTTTCAAGGTTCATAAACAGTAAAATAAAATAATAGTATTTTTATTTACAAAAAGTAACAAATATTTTTACAACTATTTCTTTAAATTGTTAATTTTTTTTAATTGGTTTTGTATAGGTCCCTAGGAGCATCACATCTAAAAATGAATAAAAATAAATGCAATAAATGTAAATAAACTCTCATATTAATAATAAACTACAAAACTTACCCTCCATTTCACTGTCTTTTAATTTATGTTGTCGTTGAAATTCACCTTCCAAATCTTCAATGGTTTTTTCCTTATAGATATTTAATTCTTCTATTTTTTCTTTTAATCTCTTATGCCTATTTAATTAATTCACGGTTAGGGAAACGAATTTAAATAAAAATTGAAATTGCAATTATTAAAATAAAAGGATACATATCGCTTAAAAATTTGCAAGCGTATTTTGCACCCAGCATAAGCGCATCAAACGTGGGAGTGTGTGGATTACCATTGATAATTTCTTCCATCTCTTTAGATTCGAAAGACACATTATCAATGGATTTTTCTAGTTTATCATATTTTTGTTTTAACTCCTGCAAGAGAATTATGATAATTATTATAGAGTTATAAAAAATAAAAATGAGAAGCCTGTCAAAAGTAAACTCACTTGTGAATCATTATGTAAGTCTTGGATAATTTTGCGAATCTTTTCTATATGCTTATAGATATCTTCTTTAATTCTGAAAATCCATGTATCGCGCGCCTCTGGAAACCGTTCGATGTTTTTTCGATTAGGATCGATATCGTCGCTAGAATAGTAAATAGCGGCCTCTGTGGTTAGATTGTCGAAGATGTTGCGCGCAGCAGTCGGCACGTGTGTACTCAATGTAAACATGTGCACGGTAAATGCGTTTGTTAGTACTTTATTCATCGGGTGTGAATATGCTTTTTCAGCAAAACGAGGGGTCACAGTATGAGCTGAAAGCGAGTCTCGAGTTTGGTTGAAAAAGCATATTCACACAAGTTGTCTCGAGAGCTTAAAACTAGCGGCAAATTTGAGGTGTTTAGGTTAGAGTGTTGAAAAATATGTAAAAATATTATTTACCTGTCCGCAAAGTTTAGTTCTTCTGTAAGATTTCTCAGGGCTTCCATATGATCTTTGACGGTTTTATAAATGTTCCTCCATTTCGGATAAACACTGTTGAGATATAAATAAAACTTTTGTAGGCAGTTTTTTACTTCAGTTGCCATTTTTGTAAGGTGTGTGCTTCTTTTTATTGAGCTCGCAGTCTAAAACTAGCTGCCGGATTGCTACAGTTCAGGCTCTTTACTTTAGAGACGCATACAAAATGCACATGAGTGCAAGTCCCGCTTGAAATACTTAATTCGCTTGTGCACGAGACCCAAAAAAGCTAAATCACTTAAAAATAAACAAATACAAAAATATTACAATTTCTCTAATTCTAATTTTGATAAAATTAAAATTGATGTAGAAAGTAATTTTTGTGAAAATTTTTTAGTTTTCCTTTTTTTTATATGAAGATTTATTTATGAAAATCTAATAATGCTATCATTTTTAAATACAAAAAAAAGTTACGATACGTATTTTTTCTTAAGAGACTATTATAGGAATAAATTTTCAAAAATGCCCAAGGCCCGCTCAATTGCGTGTGAAAACTTTGAACGCATTTGTTTTTTGCACCGATGTTTTTTGCATTGTGGACAGTTAATCTTTGGATCTATTCGGACAAATCATACACATTTTACACTATTCTTCATTAACACATAATGCAGGGTAATATACCAAAATATAACGAAAAAAAGAAAAAGAAAAATTGTTATAAATATGAGATAAAAAGGGACCGATTAAAGGGTTATTTGATAAAAAGTTGTTTACTTCCGTTTTATTAAACAATTTAAATTTTTTCTGGTATTTTACCCTGTCTCATATGTTAATAAAAAAGTGTGCAATTTGGTAAAGATCAACTGAGTAGATTAGGAGATTAAGTGACTATCATTGAAAAATCACTTTTTACAAAGAGGCGGCATTCAGAAGATGGTGTTGTTCTACCCATATATCTTGCAAAAAGTTAGATGTAAATAATTATTAAAATAATCCAGAATAAATGGTGATGATAGATTTTTTTCATTTATTTGGTTAGAGACCGGAGAAATTATTTTTTATTATTGATAATTTTTAAATTTATCAATTACGCTCAATTAAGATTTTTTAGGTCATTGCAGTATCTTCGTGAAATTGATACCTATACGTGGTGAAAAATGGTAAAGTTTTCAATTTATTGGAAATGCATGGTATGGCGCAGGCGTTTAGTTGATAAGAGATCGGTAATTCAATATTTTAAAATATTGCAAGAAAAAAGAAGAAAATTATTTATCGAAGAATCGTCTCGTTATCAACTGGTCGCAGAGATCGCACGTATCGGCAAAGTCATCGCGACGGAGCAGTCGATAGGTTGCTGCGACTCGCGGCGCTTCCGTTGCGGCCTCGAAAGCACAACGTGCAGATGCTCGCTGGCGTCGCTCTCGAGCTTTCGCTTGGCGGCAAAGCAACCCCGTCGGCCGACGCAGCCCCCGTCTATCGATCTCCGCAAGCTCGATTTGCGCATCCGCGAAAATGTCGATCCGGTGGCTCGTGTGCTGCAGCTGCAGCTACACCTGATCACGCCACTCGCCTTAACCCCCTCCTCGTTGATCCTCTGGCGCGAGAAGTGTATGTGTGTATCGTACACATATACATATAGGAATAGAGTCGGTGCAGTCGCGATCGCGCCAGAGCCGCAGCAAGTGCATAAAACGTATATATATATGCATATAGGTATATAGCAGCCGCGCGTGGATTCCCTTCACCACTGACTCGCCGAGGAGAGACTGCAAAGTCGGCGGCCGGCGCGCGCGCGCAGCTTTCGCGACGTCGAGACGCGATATCGCGGACGCCTGGCGAGCAGTCACTTTTGGCCGCGACGCCGCTGCGTCGACATCGTCATTCAGCAGCAGCAGCAACGTGTGTGTGCCACGGGCCTCGTCCAGTGCACGTTTCTCTTTTCCGTTCTTCTTCCGATACACCAGCAGCGCGACGTCCTCGGGACAGAAAAGAGGACACGATCGCGAGCAGTGCCGTCGATAATTCGAGTCCTGAAAAATATCGCGATTCGTTCGAGTGAGCCGCCGAGTGTCTCGGATCGATCGATCTTTGAGCTTTGACGAGCTCGCCACTCTGTGATTATAGCCGTGCGCGTTGCTGCACACATGCAAAGGCCGAGCTGGCCAGTGAATGTTGAGTGCGTCGATTGAGCTTCGTGATATTTCGAGTGCGCGACGCAATTCGCCAAAGCTGTGCCGAAAATGAGGTACAGGAACGAGGAGATCATCGAGCGGGTCGTGACGGCCGACGAGATAATCAACGAGGCGGAAAACGGCAAGTTACGGAGCGCGACGAAGGACAACGCCGAGACGAATTACGAGCAGCAGCAGCAGCAACAACAAGAGCCCGTGAGCAGCGACATAATCAACCCCTTCGTGCATCGGCTCGAGCTCGAGACGACTTACGAGAAAATCAAGGTAAGCACGTCGTGCGAAGGGGGAGCTTGCGCAAAGTGTCGCATCGCAGTAAAGTAATATAGACCCGTGCGGAGCAGCACGTGCAGCGGTCAGCGAGTGCGACATTTTTGCGTCGACGCGTTTCTCAACGAACGATCATCATCATATATAGATCGAGTCGGAAGTCACGCGATGCGCTGCTGCTGGCCCACGGCATATGGGAGACGAGCGTTCGCAGTTTACCTCATGCATATATAACGGCACGTGAATTCCCGAATCGAGCGGGTACTGCTATGTGCTGCACCGTCGACTGCAGCCGAGTAATCCGCAGCTGCAGTGTACCTACATGTGCAGCAGCAAAGAACGCGCATTACGGACTCGCGGACGCCTCTGCACCCAGAGACGAGGGACGGCGCCTCTGCCATCCGGGACAATCGATAGCCGGGCTCCTGGCAGCTCCTTGTTGTCCGTTTTATAATTTTCCACTAGCGCACCTACTCGTAACATCGGCTCTCGCTTATCGGATAAATGTGGCGCGCCCAAAACCTACTCCGGACTCCTCGTTGATTTCGGCGCCTTTATCGCTTTTTTTATCTTTTTTGGCTGATCGAACATCTCGAAGTTCCTTATCGATCGTTCGTGTACGTAACTTACGGATGGCAATTACGTACGGGCCGCGCTCGGCTTTTGGTTCGTAGCATCTGCGCGCCTCCGACCACAAAATTCATAGAAAAAACAACAAACAATGACGTAGGTACGTGGCGCTGTGCTCCGATTACTCACGATACTTAACGAGCTGTCCGCGGAGGAGACCTTGAGACTCGAGCCGAGCTGGTGCGGTGCAGACGTGCTGTGCTCTCGGATAGCTGACGCGGCCGCGATCGGAGCCGATTGTACCTGCGTAGCTGCAGCTGCACGCGTGTAGCCGACGCGTAATAATACAAACTCCGTCACGCTAGTGCGCTCGTGCCAGCTGTTTACAGCTCTGCATGTATAGATCTGCAGCAGTTATTAGCCCATCTCGAGCGATCGACAGCGTCAACGATGAAAATTGTTAACGCGAAAAATTGAAGCCGCGCCAAAGCGCCTTAGTAATAGTGGCGCGCACATCACGACGCGGCGTAATATACTCGAGATTTATCGTAGGCAGCTTTCTAAGACTGACCTGCGGCCAATGGCGAAAAATCTCTGACTAGGCTAAAGTTACCTTATATTTCGACCGATCCTGCACAGACAGCCGCGAGCAACCGGATGTATCATCCTCGATGTTGCCGCCTTAACGGCATAAACACTCGGCGCGAGCTATACGAGCGTTTCCGCTTTGTAGAATAAACATAGAAAGAAAAATCGAATCGTTGGAATATTTGCTCGCTTACACGTACTCTCTGCACTGCGCTGCTCGCGTGTAAGTGGAGCGATTCGTACAAATATACCGAGGTGCGCTATTTAGCAGGTTTAACTAGATGTGACGATTTTCACTTGGAAAACTACGCTCAATCTTTTTTTCTTCTTCCAAACTCTTTACTGTCGATTGTTTGCCAGCTGTATTTTCGATATCGAGCCAAATGATCGTGAATCATCGACGAGCGAGTCGAAAAAATCTGGAAAGATATACATTTCCAGTGCATGTATAGCCAGGATAGTAAATCACAAGGTACGAATATGATAGAGCGCGGCGGCGGCTCCGATGGAGATGCTGGGAAAAAATAATTAGCTGGATATTTTCTATACAATAATCGCCGAGTATAATGACCTAATGACATAAAACTTTCTCATCCATACGCGCGTGCTGTTTTTTGAACTCCTCTGCTGCGGCGCTGCAACGTTGCGATCGTAGCGCGTTTTTCACTAACTTTCACCGTTTGAAATACGTATGCATGCTCCTGCAGTCCGAGTACGATCTCGCAGTTATTTTTATACGAGCAAATTCAATTCTCGTTTGTACTTGAAGCGATAATATTTATCGGAATAGCCCGTGTTTTATTGTTTAGTAAACTATATCGTGTCGAAGAACGGAGCTAATCGTTGCCCAGAAATGAGTTAATCCGCGTCGAGCGCTTATCGTGGATATAAATGAATTGCACCAAGAGAAACCAGACGCGGCGGACTCTTTCTGTTGTCCGTGAATCTAATTGTCATTGGATTCGGGCTCAATTAGTTTTATCGTTTTTCTTTCGCTTTGCCGATCTTCCGACGAGCAGCGAGCGCTACGATCGAAAATCAAAAATGAAGTCGGAAGGAGCGCTAAGATTGGCCGGCGGTCGCAACGCGGAAAACAATCGATGCTCGATCGGCGCTCGAACGAAGAAAAGCCGAGTGCGCTCGCGAGAGAGGCGGCCGATGTGGGCCATGCCGAGCGAATGTGGGTCGCCTCGCGCCCGCGTCTTCGATGCCAGCAGCAGCAGCAGCAGCAGCTAAGCCACGTTATAATCCTCACCGCGCACCGTTATATCTGCGTCGTATGCGCCGCTGCGCATATTATACGTACACAACGAGAAATTAGCGCGCGAAAAATCCGCGGCTTTCTTTGGCGTACACGACGTAGTGGCAGTAACGTCTGCGATCGCTCAAAGGTCATCGGATTTCGAAGACGTACAAGACGAACTGCAGTCGAGCGTGCAGCAGCAGCATCAAGGCCAGCGTGGTCTTATTCGTGCACGCGACGCCAAACGGACAAATTCAGAGCCGACAAACATCCTCGCGGAATGCGCGACAATCCTCGGCAATTTTCTCTTTAGCGATTGGCGTGCGTTGGCCGTTTGGATATACGTTATAGTTATACGTGTGCGCCGCGATACGTTCGGTGCAGAGCTCCGCGCGAGCTCGGGTGTACGCAGGCTCGCTCGCTCGGGAGAAACTCGCGACGATAGTCACGTGGGGGGCTTCGCGGCGCGCGCGAGAAAGCCAGCCCACTCGTTCGGCGATGTATAGCTGCGCGCGCGAGCTCGAGAAAATATTTATATTCGCGCGAGCTGGCCGAAAGAAAAAAAAATTATGTAATGCGCGCGAGCCGAGGTCGATTTATAAACTCCAGCTGCAACTGTATACTGGTCGTGCAGTCGCGTACGCAGCGCCGCGTCCTTCCACCAACAACATTGACATTGAACTCTCTTGCTCGCTGAATAATTCGATCAATTATAACAACCACGTGCGCTCGTGCCGATTGCTTTTATGGATGCACCTTGTACGATGTGCAATATCCAAGCTGCTACACACGAATATTCTAAATAATTCTTCAAAACAATGAGGAGTTGCCGCGTCATCGCGATCGTGCTAAGGCTGAGAAAATCTATTTAAAGTCGAGCATGAATTTTTGCGATAAAAAAAACTCGTCGAATGTGTGAAAAATCAAACAAGAGCTGGCGCGCGCGCGCGAAACAAGTTCGTCCACACGACGTGCAGTAATGTAGGTCACCCATAGCGGAGCAACTTGCCGCGCCGGTCAATGAGCTCTCGATGCAATTTTTTTGCAAGAAAGATGAGTCGCGTATTCAGAGCCTTCGTTATTCGTCTTTTTTTTCCTCATTTTTTTCATTCCTTCCTTTTTTTTTCGTTTTATTTATCGACCGTTATTTACACTCGAATTTCCAACGGTAAGGCTGCCTTCGACCGTGTAATATTTGACTGAATATGGAAAAAGCTTGATTTATTTCTTTCTGTAATCGAATTTGCTCTCGACAAATTTGTTTTTCATTTCAAAAATGCAATACAAGCTTACGTGATATTGGAAAAGTAAACGCGCAATGAGAAAAATGTTAATTAGAAAAAAGTAGAGGAAGTCCAGGAATCTGTTTTTATCCGCACGTGCTTCTGCATGTTCCTGCAAATAATCATGCTCGAAGCTTTTCTGCGTCTAGATTAAAATCGTGGTTTTTGCTTGCTTTTGGTGATTTGGATGAAAAAAAAAGCGGTTGAACTTTGCACGGACGGCTCATACGTATGCTTCGCACGGCGCGCGACCTTGAACGCACTGCAGCGCGTTTTATCTCTCTCGCAGCTGCTATATACAAGTACCTTTTGTATGCATATAGAGTTTCCGAGGCATCGATTGACATTCCGGCGTTGTTTGATTGCGTCACAGGCGTCGAGCTCGCGAGCTCCGTTATATTGTCATCTTTGACTCGGCGGCGCATCAATGATCGTGTCGAGCCGCTCCGCGTATAATCGTGTGCACATATCGCGCGACCGAATTGATTCGATCAAGCTAAAATGAAAACAAAAGTCCGCAGCTACGTTGTTGTGTACACTTGAGAGTTACGCAAGGGCCGGAAAGTTGAGTCGGTGGCTCAAAACCAGTCCAGTGTCGTCGCTCGATTTCGTCGTCGTCGTCGTCGTCGTCTTTTGTATTATTTGCACACACAGAAACACATTAGAATTGCAGCTGCGCGGGACTATTGGCATTCGTGCATATAAGCAGAGCCCCGGGGCTTCGTAGCATATGCAATTCGACGTGTGAAATCTAATCGTTTCGACACTGGCCAAATGTAAAAAATGATTTTCGTGCATTACTGCAACGGACGCGCGCGGTTGCGACACTTTATGGCTCGAGGAAATAGCGCCGCGTGTGCAGTCGTGGTCTCGTTGCTCTGGCCAATTCAGCGCAATAAAGGCATATTGTAGTCGATACAGTGGCTTATCGGGTTTTTTCGTGGTCTTTTGTCACCTTTTATCGGCGCTTCGGCGATGAGACGCGCGTGTCGAAACGCTTCCCGTTGCGCACTCGAGCGACGAGTCACATATGCCACGCTTACAAAAGGTAAAAAGCCTAGATTCTCGTGCGACCAAGCTATTGTATAAGGCGTTTTAGCAAAAGTTTGGCGCACTGCGTCGAATCGGGGCTGCCTAGCTATAGGTCCTCCGTGTATACGAGTTGACGCGTCGCACGTGATCGATAGCGGCCGTAATTACCTGCGCCGAACTGCACGGACACTCGACCTTGAGCCGCTGTCGAAGCTCCATCGAAATTGGACTCGAATTCGGCGCGATCGGAAAGAAAAAGGAGCCTTTTTACGGGACACAGCGATGGACGACGATGGCGAGGATGAGCGCTGGCAAATCGAGCCGCGAGTTGTACATTTATCATTATACACGCTCGGTGCAGTGCGCGCGATCGGAGAAAGGCAGAAGGCTGCAGCAGCAGCATCGAGCCGTACCGTATAAGCGCACACCGCCGATGAAAAGGCTTTCCCTCATCTCGAAGACTCGCGCTGTATAGAAAGAGAGAAAGAGCTCCACTTTTTCGTGCGCTGCTGCCGCTGCAAAAGGGGGACAAGTATAACCTCGATCTTGGCCGTTTGTTTCTCTCGTCGGTCGTGACAGCAGCGCGTGCCTCTGCAGGCTGGCGATCGGCAGCTGGCTATCTTCCTCCTGCGCGACGACGGCACGCGGCAATTTCTATTCTATACGTATGAGCCGTGTGAATGGGGATCCTTGGACTATCGTTGCATCTGCGCGTCCCTCATTCGCAGCCCTAAAATGAAAAACGAGTCGCGCGGCTAAATCACAGCTATCAGCGAGACGCCGCGGCATAATTTTCACTCGACAATTTCAAGCATCAATCATATAGCTATCTCGAATTGCCACCGACACATTGAGTAATTCGATATTATAATGTTTTGCTCGTTGCGGACGCTCGACTAAATCCGTACATATATATAGCTCGCGGCTTTTCCACCGACTGTTACTTGCGTAATTACTTTGGCAAAATACTGTATCAATGTCGGCTAATCGTTACTTATTTGTGGTTTTATTTCTCACGAATATTGTAATAAAACGCAAGAGTAAGTGGTTGCACCGCGAGAGCTCAACCAATTGAATACTTTTCGATGGTTTTTATTTTTGTTTTTTATCTTTTCGTAATACTTTGCAGACGTTGGTGTTGACGGTGACGCTACTTCCGATTCGTCTGGCGCTCATAACAGCCCTCGTGATAATAGCCTGGCTGCTGGCCTGCGTCGGTCTACACGGCCTCTCCGAGGAGGACCTGCGACGAGCACCTCTCAAGGGATGGAGGCGGTAAGTCTCGACCTATATCTCTCGCTTATTGACTCGCACGCATTTCTGTGACGCTAACCAATTTCTATCTTGGGCCTCTCTGGTGCTGCTGGTGCTGGGCAAAAAAAACAAACAAACAAACAAACAAACAAACTTTGACTAACAACTGGGCTGCGCGCCACACAGCGAGTTGCGCACGCTGGTCTGCTCGGTAATGCGGGTGTTCTTCATCTGCGGGGGATTCTGCCACGTGCGGGTCAAGGGCCGCCAGGCGACTAACAAAGAGGCCCCGATCCTCGCCCTGGCACCCCACTCGACCTTCTTCGATTCTCTGCCCGTCATCGTGCTCGGTGGGCCGAGCATCGTCGCCAAAGCCGAAGTCTCTCGGCTTCCTTTCTTTGGCAGTACGTGTCCAACTCGTACATTTAGCACGTATATATTATTAGCTTGCACCCTTCACGTAACAAAATCATGCATAATTGTAACAAGTACTAACACGGTGAATGGGATAATGCATGCATCGCGAGCGCAGTTAACCGAGTCCGATCCAGTTAACCGCGATCGTTCGTCCGCGCGCCTTTCCTTATCGTAACGTAAAGAAAATGTGCGGAGGCTAACCGATGAATATATGATATTGGCACCGAATAGAGAGGTAGTGCCATGGCTGTGCATGCTGGGACGCTGGACCTATCAGGCGGCCGGCATGAGGATCGTCATCAGAGGTCGGCAGGCGAAGCGCGAGGAGGCCGCGATACTCGTCTGCTCGCCCCACTCCACTTTCATCGACGGCGGCATCGTCTACATCTGCGGATTTCCCTCCATCATCGTGAGGAGAGAATCGGGACTTAATCCCTTTATCGGCAGTACGTTTTTATTTTTTTCGACACCGTACCATGATCTTTTTTCCTGACGCTATACTCCTCGATCTTCCAATTTTTCTTCTCGTCTCTTATTTTCTTCATCCTCGCTCAACGCCTCTCTGATTATGTATTACTCCATTCACACGCGCTCTACGATAAGAGTATATGTACTTGTGCAAAAGCCGTAAAAAAGTTGGCATCTCGCGCCCGCTTGGAATCGCGTACACAGCTGATGATGATATTCCTTTTTTCTTCGTTTAGAATTGATCAATTACACGCAGCCCGTGTACGTGTGGCGGGATGATCCCAATTCTCGACAAAACACCGTCAAAGAGATCATCGAACGAGCTACCTCGAAGGAGGACTGGCCCCAGGTAAGCAGTTGACTCGCGTCGAGTGTGATCAACGCCAGCCCCCCGTCGACCTGGACCCAAAATAATAATGTCTTTTTGGCTTTTATCTCCGTTCAGGTGATGATATTTCCCGAAGGCACCTGCACCAATCGCTCCTGCCTCATAACGTTCAAATCCGGCGCCTTTTACCCGGGCGTGCCCGTTCAGCCCGTCTGCATCAAGTACCCCAACAAATTGGACACCGTCACTTGGACCTGGGAAGGACCCGGAGCGTAAGTTTTCCCGCCGAATCGTATCTCGTATTGCATGGCCGCGGAAAAGTCAGGCAGCGTCTGTACTTTGTTGCAGCTTGAAAATATTGTGGTTGACCTTGACTCAGTGGAACAGCATGTGCGAGATCGAATTCTTACCGGTCTACAAACCGAGCGAGGCTGAAAAATTGGACCCCAAGCTTTACGCCAACAACGTCCGACGTCTTATGGCCAAGTAAGAACCAACGATTACAAATGATATATCTGAGAAAGATCGAGTATGCGTCGGCGAGATTTGTGAATCGTTCGCTCGTTTTGCTTTCAGAACGTTGGGTGTACCGGTGTCGGATTACACTTACGACGACTGCAAAGTCATCAGCAAAGCTCAGCATTTACATATTCCGCACGCTTCGACCATCGTCGAACTGTACAAGCTTCGCTCTAAACTCGGGTAAGTCTATTGTCCACCGAAATGTTATATTACAAAAACTACATTCGAATGTAATGATGAACAATCGTCTCTTAGTTTGTTGAAAGAAAACACGGAGGAAGAACTGGTCATTAAGAAGTGTCAACGATTCCCCGAGTTGGTCGATTACCCCAAATTCGTGAGATTGCTCAAACTCGACGAAAACAACACGGCTGCACAACATTTGTTCAAAATCAACGATAAGGTAAGTTTCTCGATTAGAATTTGGAGGGGCAATCAATTTTCACGCGACTATAATCCCATTTAATTTAAACAGCACAATCGAGGCATGATCGATTTCGAGGAGTACGTTTTCATCGTCATGGCCATTGCGAACGCCAACGACGAGCTCGACATGGTTCGAGTTGCATTCGAGGTTTGTTGACAAAACCAACAACAACGACAAATAATCCTTGTCGTGAAAAAATCATCGAGTCAATTATTTTGCTGCAGGTTTGCAGTTCCGATCCGACGTACCACTTGAACGCTCAAGAGTTGCGCAAAGCGTTGCACATGTCGCTTTCTCTCAACGCGGACGATTCCGATAGGATATTCCAACAGATACAGAGAGACCAAAATTGCACAACCGTTAATCATGGTTTGTATTCCAAAAAAAAAAAAAAAACAAATTTTCTGTTTTGACTTCTTCGACCATCTTGCCAACGCGATATGATTCTTTTTTCTCGACAGATCAAGTACTGGCGGTGATGAGCACGAGGCCAGAGTTCAGTCACTTGTTTCATGAGAGCAACGAACTCAAACGCAAGAAAAAATCCATTTGAGAACGTCTATTTGCAAAATCACAAAGTCCTCCAGAAGACGAGGGAGACTCGCATAAGAAACCCCTCGTGCGCGACATGTCCTCGGGATTCTGTCAGCTCGTTTAGTGCAAGGCTTTTAAATATATTAAATATATTCAACTATCCATCAGTTAAACGCGAAGCCCTGCTGTCGTAGCTCGAATTATCAACAGAAAGAGTGAGGGAGAGAGAGAATAAGTGAGAGTCAATTTTTGCCTAGAAATAGATAAATATTATTCGAGCAATCGTATGGTAAGCATTCGGCGATGGTATATTATAATCTTTGTAGTATTATCACGACGTAGTCGAGAATTGTCGTCCTACTCGCGAACGAATTTCCTCCACTGCGTAAAAAAATGTTGCCTTCGACTTGACTCTTTTTACATTCTGGATGAAAGCAATAAATGGGAGGAGGATCCAGTTCGTTGGGAAATTTCAACAAAATCACAGTCATGTAAATAGATAGGAAACCAAGTGAATATTTCTCGCATTATTCAATAGTTGTTATTATGTATATGAATTACTTTATAGGTGTTAATTTCGAGGACTTACTTCTTTGCTTTCCAACGAAATGTACGTGCAATATAATGTCTTGTAAATAGGTGACATCCATTTCTTTGATACATAAATGTTATTATCTTTTTACACCGTAGATAGAGGCTAAGTTGTATATATCAATAATTTTGTTATAAAAGTTTACTTACTCCCTCTACCATTACGGGTCTTATGATTTTTAAAACTCTATGCAACGGCAATAAGAATAGTGTTACATTTTTCAGAAACGATTTCCATTACATTCGTTACAAGTAAACTAGTTGCGACCGCTGTTAAACTGTACCAGGACTTTTTTATACTAAAAAAAATACGCGCTGTGTATTTTTTATACAATAAAAAGTCAAATGAAATGTGAAACAAGAAAATTATACAGAGCGACCTAACATATTTAGAAGAACAAAAATTAATCTCTATCGAATAATAATCTATATTAAACATAATAAAATATTATTGCTGTTTTTCTGTGAAAGAAGACAAATTGACAACGGCTTAATATGACGAAAGAAAAATAGAAAAATGTTTTTTTTACTTAAGCAGACGAGCACTAAAGGTGTTATCGCACATTTTATATCCATTTATGAATCATATTTAGTTTTCTAGCTAATTTGTTCAGAAAAAAATCGAAATGTTGGCAGTTATTCGTTTTTTTCTATCGTTTCTTTGAAAGCGTGAATGTGAAATAAATATGTTACGATGGTCGGTGTTATACGTTATGTTGTTAAAGTTATTATTATTGCAAGATATGAAAATATTTAAATTATTAATTTATATTATCAATAATTTATCGTACTTTATATAGAGAATTTGTTGTCTAGATAAATATATGAACGTGAAGTGAAATGCGTAAGAGCTTGCTCATGTGCGTGAACATTGTACATGTAAATAATACAAATAAAATATTCTTACTAAGAAAATTATTATTAAGAATTTTGGAATTTTTTATTAGTCCAATATAAACTATATAATAGTTGATTATCACAATTTAAGATAACATCCTTTTCCATCAACTTGTAATGATTAGTTAACTCATTAAGCTCTTAATTAGTTAATATGATTAAGAATATGAAACAAATATTTCAACACACCTATATTATTTTTTCATAAAAATATATACATTTCTATCGCAATATAATCTCTTTATCTACAAGATCAGAGCAATATAAAAATTACTTTAAGCGGTTCCTTTAATATTTAAAGAACTATATTCATATTTACAACTTATCTATCAACTATAATAAACAATACAACCCCAATGTGACATTTTCTAGATTTCTCGGATGATACTGCAGAAAATGCTAATATAATCAATTATTTCCTGCTGTGCGCTTTGATATTATTTCAAAACACTCTCCTTTATAGTTTTCCTGTTAATTTCACGCGGAAAAAATTGTTTTTAAAGATATTTAATCATTTTTATATCAATTCATCTCGAAATAGTTGTAAAATTTTTTATACCATACATAAAAAACTATACTCATAAATATATCTATATTTTTTTACAAACATGCGATATAATTACACTAGACTATTTTTGTATAAAATACAATTTTTTAAAGGCAGTTTTTAAAAATATAAATTTCTAGGACATAGTCCACTTTTTTCATTACACTTATCTAGCAAGAAATTCATGAATGTTCAACTACTTCGTGAACATGAGAAATTTTAATAGAAAAGGTTTAGATTCAACAGTTATTTAAATATTTGTATTGCACCGTACGTAGGCACTGAATATAAAATCCTCTGAATCGCTTGAAAAATATTCTCATCATAACGTACTATTCTAACATATACGAGATTCTGTGATCATAATACCAAAAATAATGAGATAAAAATATTATACTCGAGTGCAAGTTAGAGTTATGTTTTTTTTCTAAATATACTAGGCATACTCGGCGATGTAGTTTTTTGATGAAACATCTTACTCATGCGCTGACGCATATCTTCTACACCTTGACCAACGTTCACAGATGCCATTGACAATGAGATTCCACTTCCCATTGATGCAGATCTAAAGATAAAATATGGAATGTTAAAATTTGATAGATGAACTGCACAATCTATGGTCAATACCTGTCTAATTTGCTAGGTGTATCTTTTTTGCTATCCACTTCACGCAGCAACGCGCGCACTGTGTCTTTTTGCAAAGGCACTACTTGATTAACAAGATTATCTAGGTACTTGAGTCCAGGAGCAATCAAATTTACCATACACTGATTTGATAAATTACAGTAGACTATAACCGAATATGCCTCCACCAAAGCATTCGCTAATTCGACGTTTCGATATTTTTGCAACGTTGATGCTGTTATTCCAGTAAGTTGTGTGGCTATGACTAAGGCATATATACCCATTTAATAACATGTGAAACAATAAGTTATAAAAATGTCAAAATTACATGAACTTTTTACCATCTTCGAGATACGATTGAGGACAATACGGTGCAGCAGCAGCTATGGCTAGAATTAAAGGAACGATCAAAACATCTGGTATACCAGAGGGATCTCTCAAGATAGATTCAAGGGCTCCTCTAGCCTTATCTTTGACGTCTCTCGTATCGCATTCTGTTATAAGTTTTCCTAACAGAGGTATTGCTGCTGCTTTCACGGTTCTGTATCAAAGATTGACATTTAAACGTTGCTTTACAAGTATACAGAATAATAATTTTAAGATATAAGCCTTACAAGTCGCTATCAGTAGACAAAGTTACAACTGCTGGAGCTATCCGAATGTCGACTAATTTATCGGAAATTTTGGAAATAATTGTACCAAGAATAGAAGCAGTTGCACATTTGACTCGTGGATCGTCGTATACAACGCCTGAAAAAGCATAAATTTTTCAAAATGTTTAGTACTTACAATCATCTTATAAATATATATAATAATTACCATCCCAAATGCCGGATAAAACAAGCTCTTGCAATTCTGACTGTGCACAGTACTTTACTACCATAGTTTCAAGACCACTTAAATCCTCACTACGCCTTGCTAAGGAAATTATATATTGCTTGAGAGCATTGGTAAATTTATTACTATCTAATGTAGTGAGTATGGTTAAGTACGCAGGTACAAGATTCACATTCGTTAATTTTTTAACATCATTTACTTCTGAAAGCTCAATGTCGATACTATTTATTAGCGGTTTGAAAGCTGCTGCAATCTACAAATAAAACGTCTCATTATTTTTATTGCTATTGTAAATAAAAAATTTACGTGTTAATTACCTTATTTTGTGTAATATATTTACCAAAACCCGTGCACAAAGACTGCAAGTAAGTGAGCAGCCCATTCATAACACTCTCATGCGTCGATTGAACAAGCTGCATTATTTCTATGTATTCGAATATTCTGAAAACAAAGTACATGCTTAATACGAGACTCAAATGGAGGATGTACTCATATGATTTTAGAAAAATTACAGTTTATCAACAATCCAGTCAAGCTCCAGCCATGTGCAATCATCCCAAGCAGTAAGAAGAAAAGTATTTAACATAATACCTAAATCGACGTCGCAATTGTGGAATATTTTTGGATTACTCAGTGGTGTAGTACAAAGATTAAGGAATTCCGTAGCTGTTAAGTAAAATAAAACATATTTAAATAAACTGTTTTATTTTTAAAATTAATCAAAATGACTTACGTATTCGTGAGGGTACACTCTCTTGCATGCGTTGCCTGACGGGCTCGACATCAATTGTACACACTATTGTGTGAGGCAAAAGATATCGCATTACTTCGATCAACACCAGAGCTCGGTTATCGTTGTTATGATATTCTGGCCTCATACCAGGGGAACTAAGATTTGGCTTCAGTAGCGATTTTAGTTTAGTCAAAATTCTTGGTAACAGATGAGATTGCAGGCGCTTCATCGATAACGCCCATTGAGCCAAAATCGGTATGAGAATCGTAGTGGCTGCTTCAACTACGTCGTCTGACACATCATCCAAAGCTGTCAATGCCAACTCTTCACATTGAAAGTATTTGTCGGAATCATCCATTAGAGCTACAAGCAGTGCGAGGCTCTTAATGACAGAGCACCGCACGCTTGCATCTTGATCGTCGAGAAGCATCTGCTGAAGCATTGAGATCATCAAAGAATTCCTTACACCACTAGTTGTATAAAGTGCCAAAGTCGCGCAGCATTCAGCTGCTAGGATTCTCTGTTCTGGGTATTTGTGCTGACTGTATTCCCAGCAAAGATTCAATACCTCCTCATTTTCAGATGGTTCTGGATCAAGTCTTGCAATCGCTGACAAACCAGCAAGGATCATATGTCGTTCCTCATCTTGTGGTCGTTTTTGCAAACCAAACAATAGATGATATAATTTTTCTCGTTCTGCTGGATTTGCGTGTAGCTTGATCGCACTAAGGATTAATGCTATGACCTCTTCACGTTTATTTAAAACAATGTTTGGAACTAATCGAGGTAAGACATAAGACATAATTTCGGCAATATTGTCGCGAGTAATATTATCTTTTAGTGGTTCATTGATGACTTCTGCTACACAACTAGGAGTTTCGATCAGGCAGAGTTTCAGTACTTCTCTGCGAAAATTGGTTGGCAATTGTCTGTAGAAATACATACAATAATTTAGCAGTGCTCTATAATAAAACTACAGGAAATGCTTGATTTTACCTTGAAGGAGAATTTCCATTAGTAACATTGACATCATTCTTTAAATACTGTATTCTAGTCCAGTCTCGTTCACTTGCTTCCGTCTCACCTATGCTTACTACAATTGAACCACTATCATCTTCTTCTGTTTCTGGTAATTGCTGCGAAATTAGACCTTCCTGCATTGGAGGTGATTCAAGCAATTCAAATTTATCAGGTGTAGTAGAGTTTGAATCCGAAGTTTGAGTTGTCCCTGATCTACCCGGTTGCTTGATTAAACATAACAAACATTTTATTGTCAGTAAACAGAGACATTAAAAAAAAAATAAGAAATTTTTTACCTCATCAATAATATTGGTAAGGTTGGAATTTGCTATCATGCTTTCTAACTGAGCTGTTTTTTCCTTCAACTTTTTTATCTCTTCTTCTTGATCGCTTACTAACTTAGTTAGTGCATCTTTTTCTACTCCGTCGACAGAATCTTTCTCATCTGTTTGAACAGCAATACTACTTTGTGGTGGTTTATCATAACCAGTGGACCTCATAAATTCTCTGTATACTTGAATCAGTTCAGGTGGTTTTGGAATATTTAAACCTACATCTTGCCAGTCTTCAAAATCTTGATCATCATTTTCATCACTGAAGGTTATAGAAGTTAGTTTATATAAATTAGCTAACAAATATTCATTCACAAGAAAATTAAGGGCTCGTTTTTCATGAGGTCTAATTGGATGATCCAAAATTGATTTGTCTGACCCTTTTTCAGGTGTGCTGACTTCAGACTCTAAAAACCCAAACATAAATCATATTCTTAGCCATACAAAATATATAATAGAGTTATAGAAAATTACCTGTAACTACAGTTAAATTAGCTCGTAGTGAGTTGATGTTTTCTTTAGCTTTTCTCAATTCAAATTCTAAAACAGCTACTCTTTCATCAACTCCTCCTCCATCCTCAGAAAACCGAGTCATATCGAGTGAGTCCAATGTCGCTTGACTTCCAGACCTTGCTATAAAATAATAAAGAAGGTACATCAAAGAATTATAAGAAATGTGTTGTACACTAAATAACAATAATTTTTACCAATTGATAGACAAGGCTCTGGTTTGATATTCAGACATTCAAAATTATTAGGATTAGAAAAAAAATCTTTGAGGATAGGTAGTTCTCTATCTGCTTCACAAAGCTCGGCATGAAGTTCTAAAGCAGTTAAAAGAAGTCTTTCATTAAGAAGTTTTGTAGCTATTTCTTCGTATGAAATCATTGCTGCTTTTTCTTTATTGGTTTCTGAAAAATGAACAGTAAAGATATTATACACTGAGAATTCTTTTAATTTGATGTGGAATTTCCAAAGAAACAAAAAGTGTATTGAATGATTGATGATTAAAATTAATATCTAAGATTATTTAAAAGCTTTTTCTGAATTATTAGTACATGAATAGACATAGAGGGCTTTTAATTTTATTCTAGTTTTTCTTTTTTAATGATAAGAATAAGCTAATAAAATGCATCAATTGATTATATTTTTCGAAATTTTCATTATTCCACAAGCAGATAAACGTAAAATAATATTTTTCATTACTCTAATTGAGTAATTATTACTGGACGCGCAATGAAAAGTCATCAGCTGATGTGAAACAACAATAGCGAACACGCATTGTATACACATAGAAAAGTCAACAGATCTGCGTGTAAACACTCAGTGTCAAAACTAAAGAGACTCGACAACTTTGACAGTCAACTGATGCACGCGACACATCTATGTTTTCATTTATCAATACGTTCAGATAACAGGTGTCATAATATACTCGTGTCCAAAGCTTATCGCAACAACTGAGCAATGCGTGTCTCACCTGTAGGTCGGGGACAGGATGTTCTAACCTCATGCTCATTAACGATACCCGAAGAAGCCATCCTGATGCGTTGTTGGATCTCACGCTCGTTTTCAGTAAGTCATGACAACAATTGCGGAGCATAAGCACAAAAGACACGTAAGACACGATGGCAACGGAACTGCGCAGCTCACCGAGTACACGACTGTCGACGAAAACATCAATGATGCTAGCAGCAGCTCCGAGCGAATAACGATGCACTTTTCGCGTGTTACCTACATACAGTGAACGTGTTCGGAGCATGCCAATTGCCTGCAGCCCAGACTTGGCTTTGCTTTCGTGCAGAGAAGGAGGCAAGACGTAGTATACCTGCAAACAGCTAGCATGACTGTACGCGAGCCTAGTGCACTGCGCGGCATACCTTTATGAATGATATGTGTAGGTAACGTGTGTCATGTCAGTACCTATCCAACAAATCCACTTCCCGACTACCCAAGTGCTTTGGCAAATGACCAACGATCGTGTCTTGTATCCTAAATGCGGATCAATGTAAGCTCATGTTTTATTATTTTTCAAATGTCAATGTGCTTACAAAAATAAGACAATCGTTTTATTATGCTCAGATTGACTTGTCAAATTTGATTTTTCATTGGAGATTCATTAAGCTAGCATACATTTGGAAAACTTAAAATTTTTCGGGTCCGGTGATATACCTGTCCCAGTTTTCGTTTATTTGCAGAATTCGCGTTATTTAGATATTAATAATTAAAAATATGAAATTTTTTCGCAAGGTTAAATTGACTTTTACTTTTAAAATCAAACACACATCAAATTTTCAATGGTACCATTCCCAATGTCAACCAAAAGCAAATAAGGATCAATTTTATAAAGGTAAAATTTACCATCTGTCTGTGTATCTTGTGGATAATTGATGCAAATATTTCTGTTCACAGCCAGTACTTATATTTGTACTATTGTTTGTACCCTGAGGCTTCAAGCACATTTTTTAAAATATACATTAAACATGACACATAAAAAATTTTTAAATTTTCAATTTTTTGGAAAAAGAAACTTTTAAAGATGAGTTGTTAGTTTATGAAATCGCGAAAGTTTCAAAAGTTAACTTATACATTTAACATGAATTAGGGAGAGTAATGAAGTTTTTCAAAACTGAAAAATTAAATTCTTTATCTTTTATTAGTCTTCAAAACTTTTTTTTATAGATTATCTTAATTAACATTAATTTGTACCAACACTAGAAAAACTTTGGCATTGATTAATATCGCAGAATTAAAAATTATTGTTAAGCCTGGTAAAATGTATGAAATCTTTGGTACATACTTTAAATCGCAAATTAATATTATACAACTAAAAACTGATGAAACAAATTGTTAAATATTTTTTGGGGAACTTTAAGAAATTTCCCAATGCAAAAATGCCCATAGGAAATGCAACTTTTACAAATAAAATCGACACAATTAGTCTCGAAAACGTTAAACAGGAACTTTAAAGTCATTAAAATTAATTCATTATCATCGCCTTTTAACTAGATTGATTTTTCGTTTTTTCCTATTATTTTCATCACCATGTTTCATTTTGATATGATTGGTCAAGTGATGTTTGGTATAGCTATAATAGGCACACAGAGAACATCGAAAGTTTGGCTTCTTGCCGCAATAATTGCGTTGGTGGAGTATGAGTCCTTGCTTCCGAGCGTACTTCTTGCCACAAGTGTGACAGATCCAAGAACGGGCAAAACCAAACCGGACGCCATGTTCGTGCACCAAGTGATATCTCATTTCGGTCATGTGTTTCGTCTTCGTGATGCAGTACTTGCATTGATAGACTGACGATTCGTTGCATAATTTCATGTGACAATTCAGATCACTGAGGTAGGCAAACTTACGGTTGCAGCGCTGACACGAAAATAGTTTCGGTCCGTGTTTGCGATTGTAATGCATGCGGAGTGAGCCGATTTTTTGAAATCGAGTCTTACAGCCAAGGCAGGTATAAGTATAGGACTGACGACATTTCGAACATTTGAGATCCTTTGCATTAACTTTTTTAACGAGCACTTTGCATTTGGTACAAGATACTTCAGCCATATCATTTATATCTGTCAATTAAGAAAAGAATGAATAATTTTTATGCTTTAATTTTGAAGATTTTGACGTTCAGTTGAAAAATTGATGTTTTCACAATTTTTCACTTGAATGAAAAAATCTAAAAATAAATCTAAGTCTAGTAAAAAAAACTTACGCATTTGAGCAAAATTCATGTTTAATACGTTGCTATTTTCATTTGCCAAGATTGTTTGCCTAACTTTCATATTTTCTGCAAAAATAAAAATGAATTAAAAATAAATAGATCTTGCAAATAAATAAGATAAGTTTTAAATAACATAAAAAACTGTGTAAAAACACGAAGCATACTTTTTTTAATTTTCTTTTTTATTTCTCTTATCATAATACTTAATTCCTTTCCATCCTCTTGTTTCCCATGTTTTACAACAAGATGTTCTCTCAACTCTTGCTCAAAATTGACAAATTCTGGACATAAAGTACACTGAAGCATTGGTGTCATGGTGCATAGCTTTTCATGTCGTTTTAATCTACTCAAACATCTATAAGGACGCCCACACTTTTTGCATCTTGTAATAGGCTGAATTTTTCCATCATACATATCTTGTTTTTCCTGCCAAATTTCTTGATCAAGAGATTTTAAGTATTCAAATTCTTTAGTGTTTTTGAATATTGAGTGGTGTAATTCTTTTACGTGAGAACTCATTTGTATTATAGATTTGGAGCAAAATTTACATTCTTTACATGAAAAGAAATATTTATCTTTACATTGAGCACAATTTTGACTCAAAATTTGATCTGTCAATGGTTTCATAGAATTACAGATTTCACAAATCAATTGAAGAAATTTATTTATTATATCTGCAAAAAAAAGTATTATTTATTCAAATGCTATTAAAAAATTGCTAAAATTGCTTACCGTAACTAATCACATTTTCTTTATTTACTATGGAATCAACTTTAATTTTTTTATTTGCAGTAGTCAAACTCCTTAAATTTTTCTTTACATTACAATTTTGAATCTGATTGTTTAATGTACGATTCCTTGCAATTGCTTGTAGTAAATCATCAACTATGATTAAATTAAAAAATGTGCAAAATTAATTTAATTGTCCAACATTTAATAAAATTTAAATAATGTTTAAATTACCAGTGAAATCTGTAATATCATAAAACTCATAAATTTCCCCAGGTTCCAATTCAAGTTCCAACTGATTCATTAGATCTAAAGTATCTTCTTTTGAATTATATTCTTCTAAAATATTATCAAATATTAATTCATTATTTATAAAAAAATGAGATGTTCAGTAAACGGTAACCATTTATCTTACCAAATTGAAATTCATCATCAACAACCCTTAGCTGTCCATTATTTAATTTTTCTAATAATTCAAATCCATCTTGAATGTATACATCTGCTTCACTAGTTTTATCTAAAATTAAAAACCTTAATTCATATTGTTTTGAAAATTAGATTAACTAACAATAATGCTTTGAATTATTTTTAATTGAAAATTTAATTTGAAAAAAAAGTTTTCATTAAACTTTTTATGGTCAATGGCATAAACTATATTTAAAGGAATGAGAAATAAAATTACTTAGACTATATACACACCGTATTCATCGTCAGAAATGTCAATTTCTTCTTTAACTATGACATCTTGTTCATTACGAAAAATACTTCCATCTGTGAAGAGAAGCGTTATTAAAGCGCGAGAAATCAATACTTTTAAAATTCCGTTAAATTCATCAAACTTACCCCTACATCCGTCATTTTTAAAAAAATTATTTGTCAGTTTGGAATCCATTTAAATTGTCTAAGATTATTATCTATAAAATTCATTGAAAATAATCTTCATGGCTTATATTGACAACATAGTATTAACAGCACTGAATCGCGTCACTATAGTCACCAAATGCATAATTTCAAAGCCGACAGTAAATTGATATTAGCCTCCCGCATAACCTAAAGATAATATTTATTATTGCGCGTTTTTAAGAGCGCAGAAACTTTGCCGAGTATATTTGAATAACAAATGAAAATCAACTGATTATACATTGACAAAGCCCACGCGAACCGGCTGAACGGGCTGTACTAAAGTGCCAGACGCCTAGCAGAGCAATCGCCCACATAGTAAAAGCGTTCTTATCTTCCTTTTGACTTCGCAAATAAGATAAAACATTTTAATGGTTTTGTAATAAAGAACAAAATTACTTTACTGTTTCTGACTCAAGTTTTTGAGTAATGTTCTTCTTGGTTCATTCTAAGAAAATCCTTTATGGCGCTTTGCTTTATCAAAACATGTATTTAAATGCAGACGACGTGAAAATTTAGTGTAAGGGTAGCAGAGAGCTTTTATGGCAACACAATTCCCCAGTGAGGATCTCACTAATGTGTATTAGATGTACATATCATTTTTATTTAAATAAAAATTCTGCGACCAGAAAAAGATAAATGATTTTTGCAGTATATTAATAATAATTTAAAATATTTTATTTATTATTGAACATTGTCATAGTGTCACTTAATTTAAACTTTTAATGACACTCAAACAGTACACTTTGTTATTAAAATCTAATCTCCAGAACAATCCTAAATTATTTAGGCACACTATGTACATAAAATTAAAAAACAAAATAATATTCAACTTTAAAATACTAATTTCCATACTAAGCATTCATGTAATTACTTTGATTTACACCCCATAGTTAAATGCTTCATAATAGTAAGATGAGATTTATAGGTAACATTGCAGTCTGGACAAGAGTGTTTTTTACGTGCAATATTATGAAGTTTATCTATGTGCTGCTTTAAATTGTAATGATATCGAGTTTGAAAGCTGCAATAGTTGCAAGAAAAATTTGGTTTCTTTCCACATCGCTTTACATGCTCATTGAGGTCTCCAAGAAACGAATATTTCTTAAAACACACATCACACACATATTTCATTTCTCCATGTGTTCTTCGCACATGTCTGTATAATGGTGATTGACGTGGAAATTCTTTTAAACAATGACCACATTTGTAAAGCAGCGATCCTTTACAATTAGGACATTTTTTCATTCTTTTTTCATAGTCATGCATCACCCTGCATTTTTGGCAATACATTTTACGCATTTTTAGTAATTCTATAAATACAAAAGTAATCAATTTAAAATAATATTTCATACTATACAATGATAAACAATATCAATAATTTGTAGTACTTACGGACATCTGTTTCAGATGAGTTTGAATTGAATGTTTTATAATGACTTATATCAGTTGCATCTGAAAGTATTTAATGAATATTTATAATTGAATGAGAATAAAACCTATTCTGGATTTATAGCATAATCAAAATTAGAAATTTTAATAGTACCTTTGCTAGTTAGTTCACTGGAATCAATTTGATCAGAATGTTCATTTCTGATATGGTGAGTGAAATTTATATTGCAAATGGTCTTGTAGCTACAACTATCACAATAATATACTTTTTCTTGTGGTTGACATTTTTTGCGAAGATGCTTATAAGCTCCTGAATATGATATGTATGCTTTACCACAAATTTTACATTCAAATGATAGTCTGACTTTGCATTTTGAACAATAAAGCCTCTTAGATGAACGTTTTGGCTCCGCCATAATAAGTTCTTCACATGTGAGGCATTTGCAAATTAACAATGATCTCATCACTGGAAAAGATAATGTTATTTTGTACTACAATTAATACAATGACGCATAAATATTTTTGCATTAAAATTATTATCATAACTTACCCTGTTTTTGTTTACTCAAATTTTTCAAATTTTCACATTGCCACTTTTGATGCCTATACAAAGCAACCATTGAATCATATTTCAAATTGCAATCATTACATATAAAATACATATCAATATTGCAATCTGGACACATAGCTGTAACTGTGGTACAAAAAACCTTATCCAGTTTATTACATCTAGGGCAATTTAAAGTGATTTCTTTTAAGGAATCTGTAAAATTATATCATAAAATTAAAATAAATTGATTTTACTTCATTGATAATGTCATTACTTACCATCTTGTAACTTTTTCCTATTACTTTTTTTCAAAATTGGAATTTCATCTGTGAAATTATAAAAAAGGATTTCAATTAAAATAGTTTTAATAAAAATATCATGTTGAAAAATTATTATTAACATACTTGAATAATTAGAATCATCGCTCAAGTCTATAATTTCCTTCGAAGAAGATTTGGTAGCCAAAGCTAAAATATAGTTTATTTTAAATTTTTTGTTAATTATTGAATTAGCATTAATTTTTACCTGCATGTTTCAGGCGAATTTTTTCTCTAATTCTCATTCGCAGCCTACGTATGCAGTCTTTGTTGATTTTATTTGCAATCTTGATGTTTTTACGAATATCTACTATTTCTATGTCTAAAAAAAAATTTTAATTAATGGTAATTGATTATGTTATGACAAAAAGGAAGAGTATAAAATCTTTACCAGAATCATGAGAATCATCAATATCAATTTCTTCATTTTTAAGCAAAGAATTAAAGTCACTAGTAGTTCCATTGCCTAAACCAATAAACAGTAATTAAAAATGATGAAAATATTAAAAAATCAATAAAATGAAGAATATAATTATTAGCATTACCTGATTCTATATCAACGATGTCATTGTAATCCATTGCAAAGATTAATTTCCTTAATGCAACTAGTACAAATTACTCCACACGTTGCACCAAAATTCAATTCAACCACGGCACAAGACAATAATTATTATAACCTGTAAGGTTTGCTTCAAGAACAATGCAGGTGTCGAGGTTTCGGCTACGACGAATTTCATAAAAAAATCACCTGCAAATGTCAAGAATTACTGATCATCACATGTCATTGACATCAGATAGTTGCATACTTTTCTGCCGGCACAATGAAGATAGCAAAGTCTTAGTATATTTTGTCTGTCAGATTATCAGTAATTTGGCCACTGCTATACTTATGCGATGGACGCGCTCCCCATCGTTCACCCACCTGAACTACTAATTTAACACTTGGCACTTGGCAGTGGTAGCAAAGAAGATAGACACGTATAGAAGCACAGAACTATAGGCGTGATTGAGGCTGGCTCGTATGGTACCAAAACCAACTTCAAGGGGGCGCGGCGAGCAACCTAAGCCTGTAATGTATAACCAACATTTAGTCTCGTTGTTACCATAAGTCTTCGTGGTCGAGTGGTCAAGCGCTCGGCTTCGTTTTTTGCGTCGAGCGGTCGGGCCTTGGTTCAATCCCAGGCCGCAGATATTTTTTTTTACATTTTTTTCTCAAATTACAAAGAATAAAGTAAGGATTTCGTTTTTAGCTGATATTGGTCGTAAAATTAAAATTGCATTGATAATCAAACTTTTTTTTCATGTTCTTTTTTCTACAAAAAAATAAAAAATCACATTTAATTCAAACGCAAATTAAATTAAATGAATGTATATTTAGACGCCTCGAAAAAAAATGTCGTGTTAATTTCGTTAAATGAAGTTCCTTTTTTATGAAAATATCTCTGACTCCAATTTTAAATGGACCGTATCGCTTGATTATTATTTTTCACATTTAAAAAAAATCCTTAATAAATAAATTTATCAGAGTATTTTTAATTTTATAAGCAATATTAGCTAGAAGCGAAATCCTTACTTTATTCTTTGTAATTTGAGAAAAAAATGTAAAAAAAAATATCTGCGGCCTGGGATTGAACCAAGGCCCGACCGCTTGAAGCAAAAAACGAAGCCGAGCGCTTGACCACTCGACCACGAAGACTTTGGTATCTATGGGACTAAATGTTGGTTATACATTACAGGCTTAGGTTGCTCGCCGCGCCCTCTTGAAGTTGGTTTTGGTATCATATGAGCCAGCCTCAATTTTTAGTTAAGCTCTGGGCTTCTATACGTGTCTATCTTCTTTGGTGGTAGTAAGTTGTCCGATTTGATTTGATGGTGGCTATTGGTAATTGGCTTTTGAATTAATTTAGACATCTGGCGTCGTAGACACGTGCTCATAATTAACAATGCATAATGAATATAGTTAGAACAATTAATGAAATTAATTAATCTGTCAGTGGAGCTGACATAAAGTGCGAATATCGATGAGATAGATGTGAATCGATCACAGAAAGGGTGCGTGCTGATTTATTATATGTTTTCTCAAATAATCTTTCCTATTATAACTCGATCCACACAAGTGACATTTAAGTTTAATCTTGTTAAAGCAATGATGCCGCTTGTGTCTCGTCCAGGAGCTCGAGCTCTTGAAAATTTTGCCACACTCGCAGCTTCTATTTGGAAAGTATACGCTGAAATGTTGAGTCCTGGCGTGACTCGCCAAGTTGGACTTGATCGGCGTCTCGTAGGGGCAGTGCTCGCAGCGGTAGGTCCTCACGGCGGCCGAGCAGTAGGCCCTCTCGTGATCTCGCAGTCGCTTCTTCAGCAGAAAGGACTTTTGGCACTTGGCGCAGTCGTAGCGCTCGACGCTCGACGTCGAGTGGTGCTTGACGATCGTATGCCTCGACAGCTCGTTGTAGCTTCGATAGGACTTGGAGCAGGTCAGGCAGTCGTAACGGATCGGGGCACGGCACAGCTCGCACTTGTTCCTGCCGTAGACGACCTTGGAACGCGAGCCGCAATTCGAACAGACGGCCTCGCAGTCGCTTAGGACCCAGCTGTCCGAGATCGGTTTCGCTTTTCTCTTCCTTGGTCCTGATTTCACTTCCACTTTACATGCTGATCCAGCAGATTTTTCGATGATCTACCGAGAACAAAACGTATCCATAAACTATTTGTCGACTTAAAACTGACGTAAATACATTAAATCTTTACGTACGATAAATTTGCAATTTTCCAACTTCATCCCACTTGATTATACTGAATATAGTTCTTCGAACAACAGTAATGAGTTTGAAAATTGCTCAAACCAATTTTAGAGCATCGATAGTAAATGCTTGGCTGGTGCGAGATGCTCGTCGTCAGACTGAACATTTTTCAAATTTTCTCATCTCCGCTCGGAAGATTAATCTCGGTCTTATCTCTCTTCATTCTCTTATGAATTAGTTTTTTTCGTCGATTATGACCTATCAAAACTTTGTATCAGTTGTCGGCAGTTGATATAAGAATTATGAAAAAAAGCAAAAGAATCAGAACTGGTAAGTATGTAAGAAGTGTGTTATACTCAGCTTATACGAAACTTAATAATTCAAGTATGCATATAATTATGTACGTTAATATGAGCGTGTCTACGAAGAGTTTACAATCAAGAGTTTTAATATATAATAAATGTTAGTTTATTCAAAATTTCGAATCGCGCTTTGTCTTGCGCGATATGATATGTTTACATATGGCCGATTCTCTGTCAAGTCGAATGGCCAAAAAAATTTTTTTTCTGCAAATATGAAAAACATGTATTTGATGTCAGATTTGTCCAAAAACATGTTTAGCAAAATTAGGGCCTTCTATGACACTTTTTCAGAGGCCCAAAGTTGGCCATTTTACCATTTTTTGAAATTCATGAAAAATCACAAATATTCAAATAATTCCTGGATCAGGGTAGAACGATTCATAAGTTGCGTTAAACTTTAAGACCCATTACAAAACTTTATCAGGCAGTAGTTGACATCTTTGGGAAGCTTTTTACATAGTTTAGAAAATGAAAGTCCGGTTCGAACTCGATTAAATTTTTTCTTTTATGTTTTTTTTCATGTTTTCCCATTATTACTTCTTTAGCTGGCTCCAATCACTGTGGTATCCTTTTTTTTTTTGAAAATTTGGACAATTTCCAACAAAAAATTTGCTGGGCACTTTTACTTTTGAAAATGTAGACGTTTTCAAGGTACTCACTCATTTGATAGAGTATCAGAAATTTTATTTGACATCAATAACGACTACGATCTCTTAGAAAACGTCAAAATTATCGGCACAGTGACCGATAATGGCTACAATTTTGTTAAGGCATTTAATACGTTTGGTCAGCAACATGATGATTCAGACGATGAAGACGAAGTAATGGCTTCGATAATTCAACAAGATTCTGCTGGTGATACAGAAGAGGAAGAAAATTTCGATAATTTTGACAATGAGGAGGAAGTGATGGAAGACGATCCTCTCGAGGCTATTTCTTTACCCGACAACTGTATCACTCTGTCGCGCCATTTTCGTTGTGCCAGTCACACTTTGAACTTGCTGGCCACTACTGATAATTCTAAAATAATCGATTCGATAGAAAAACTAAAAACTGCACATACTGCAGTTTTAAAAAAATGTGATATACTGTGGCGAAGTTTAAAATCAGTACAAAAACGTGAAACTCTTACTGAGTTTTTCGGGGAGAGCATTAAAAAACCGAATGCCACAAGATGGAATTCGTTGTTTGATGCTCTTGCACAACTTAGTCGCCTAAAATCAAAGGTTAAATCGCCCGAAACTGAAAAAATAACTAAAAAAGATATTGGGTTTTGTGATAGTGACTTTGTTCACATGGAACTTTACATAAAAATTATGTCTCCCCTAGCGACTGCTATTGATGATTTGCAAACGGAGGAAAATTGTTATTATGGGGAACTTCTACCATCGCTGATAACAATCGAACAGCGATGGTTAGAAGAGATCAAAATAAGTAAATTTCCTGAATTATTTTATAAAGATTATATTAATGGGCTGATAAATTCCTTACATACTCGCTTCAAAGCGATATTTGCTATTGAAGGTGTTGGAAAGACTGCTGCTATTGCATCATTGAGCCATCCATCAACCAAAAAAGATTGGGTTCATTCTTTATCGATGGAGGCTCAAAAAAATATCGAAAACCTCATTCAGAAAACTAGCCAATCACCAGAAGAAGATGTAGCGACAACAGCTTTGAGTAAGAAGCGTTGAGTAATTTGGCAAAGCCGCAGAGCCGACGAATCTGGATAAGATAATATCGCTCAAGACAAGTTGCAACGAGCTTTTGCGGTTTCTGGCTGGACCCGTGACAGATGATCTATTGGAGTTAAATAGATATCCTGCAGAGAAAAAATTATTTTTAAAATATAACACGCTCATTCCCTCATCTGCACCCGTAGAGCGACTCTTTTCATATGCAACACTGTTGAATTTGCCCAATTATAATCGTATATCAGATGATCAGTTCGAAAATCGTTTATTATCTAAGGTTAATTTAAAAAAAATATTATATTCAAAATGTAATTTAAGATATAATCCTACATTTACAATAGTGTTCAGAATTAATTATTTTCAATATTACTTCATCGTGTGATACCATGTTTATTATGATTATTATACTATCAATAAACTATTTAGTCCTTAAAATTTTACTAGACTTTAATATGTGCGCGCTACGCGCGCATGGAACTCTTATGAGTATGTAATTTAATATATGAAAGATATTATTAACTACAGACAGAGGGCGTACATAGATGACACTAAAATATTTCTTGTACTCACATGAAGTTGGCTCTAAGAGGGTTCAATTCGATCTATAATCGCAATGGCTCTTATATTAATTAGATTAGATATTTTTCCAATTTTTATCGATCAATCATTGGTTCTATATACTTGCGGCTCGCTGTACTAAGTGAAAGTATCGCTTTTTATTTTGTAACTAACCAACTGTTTGATAACCAACACAGCGGACCTCGCCATCAACAATTTATGATTTTATTTAATTTTTTACTTACAATTGCAGGCATTTTTAAAATTTTATTGAATATTATAAAATATTACTTCACAATCACAAAATACCAATTCCATTACTCAAAATTAAAAAATAAAATTAGTCTAATTATAATTATCACCCATTACCAATTACATTTAATGTGTAATGCGAAAAATTTTCATTACGAATTGAATTTAATTCGTAATAAAAAATCAATTTCATTACAAATTATATTGAATTCATAATGGAAAATCAATTTCATTACAAATTGAATTTAATTCGTAATGGAAAATCAATTTCATTACAAATTTTATTTTTAATGTAATTTTTAATTGTTACATTACAAAATTATGCAACCCTGTAATAGAGAAGCGCTCCAATAAGAAGCAGTCCTCGTAGGCGAAGTTGAATGGTTAAGCCAGGGTGATACTTTTGCAAGAATACCGTTACTCTCTAGCAAACATCGTCGTTAAGTCCATATGTCGACCTGAAAGAGTCGCGTATACACAAGAATACGATCCCTTTTATTGATATAATTTTTTATGAGGAAGCTCTTTGCCAATAAATTGGCAGCGATTCTTTTGGATTTACACTCAATTTATTTTTATTTCATTCTTCCATTTTATTTTCCACAACAATATAAGATCGGTTGACCACATCGAAAAAGCTGCAAACTTTTGAAGTAGAAACCTATCAAAAAAGAAACTCCTTATCTACTAATTTAATTTTAAGAGATTGAGATTGATTGTGATTGTGAGATTGATTTTTTTACCAAACGTTAATAGAAAAGCTAAGTAATTCAAAAGACATTTTTTGATATACTACCATGTCTTTTTCTTGTGAGACGAAGTCATGCTCTACTATATATTTCATAGGCTCTACTTGATGTTAGTAAGATGGGTCTGAAATTCTTCGCGCGGCAAGCTCGGCCCACGACGTGGCGGGTCGCCAGCAGCGATGCCAAAAGCAGGAGAGAAAAAAAAATCTGACGGTCGCCGAAACACGAAATTTCAAGATCTCATGTTTCAATCTCATTATCTTATTTTCATCTACTGTTAGCCAAGCTTGTGCTTAAGATACTTCAGATATATTTTGAGGGATCGGCATGTAACAGAAACATTTCGAGTGAAAATTTTATCAATGAATTTGATAAAGAATCTGAAACTCTTTCAAATGGTCACAAAGATGCACGCGTTAATACAAATAATAATGAATGTGTCATGTGTCAGGTTATATGCGATTAAATAAATACGTGTATAAATATCAAAGCTAATTTCATTATTATAGCTGAGAAGTGATATTAAACTTCATCGATCTAAAACAACTTAGTTAGACAACCTGGTCAACTGGACAGTTGGAAGCTGAAAGGATACATTTCATAACGGGAAAAGATGATTTGTGTAAACTCTCCAAGGTTTGTTTCAAAAATTTCATTATTTTTCAAGTGAACTTGATGCTATTGCATGCTGTCGATAAAAAAAATGTATGCAAATTAGTTTGATCCTAATGCAACACATTGCATATAGGCTTTCTAGACACATAAGTTGAAGGATGCATCTACTGGAGCTAGATTTGGATGTTTGGCAAAGAACCGATGGAGCATGGTGTGCTTGAAGTAAGTGTGCAATAGGCGTATTAGTAAAAATAAACAAACTTTAAGAGTTTGTTTTACTATTTACTTATCATAAGAATAATTCGTTTTACTGTTGAATTGTATATTTACAATTTAGAGAAAAATAGATCGAGCCTTATTATGTAGCTTAATCCATAGTTAAAAGTAAAATTTTGTACTAAACTTATCAATGACGAAATTCTGTTATTTGACGACTCATTTATAAATTTAAATAATATGTAACATTGTATACATCAAGTTATTTGATCAGTTATATCGTTTTTATTAAAACGTTATGCTAATGTTAAAATGAATAGGATGTTAGTGAAACATTATTAAAAACCAAATATCAGAGTAAAATTTTATATCAATTATTTGATTACAGGTCAAACCAATCACTGTTGTTGTTGTTGCTGCTGCTGCGAGAGCTTACTTCCTGTTGTATCATTCGGCTGCTGGTTCAGTACTTGACTAAAACCAAACAGTTGATCGGAGACTACTTGACATTCAGCGAATGATAGATATTCTTAAAGGAGTTGTTGTGTTATGGAACTGCAGGATCTTGCACTTCTCTTACTTAAAAGTTAGAAAAATAATATACTTTAAAACATAAAATTNGATGGTACATCAGCTGGCCTTCAAAATATCAAATCTTTGAAAGAAGAAGAAGAAGCCAAGAAAAGACGTGAAAATGAAATGATGGAAAAAATGTCAAGAGAAATGAGTGGCTATGGTCAATCTACTGTTGTTCGTGATAGAAAAACAGGTAGAAAAAGAAATTTGGAAAGAGAAGCTGAATATCATCATGAGAAGCAGCAAGAACAAGAGGAGATCAATGCCAAATATGCACAATGGGGTCGGGGGTTGAAACAATCTGATGATCACATGAGTAAACTTCAACAAGATCTCAAAGAGATGGACAAACCTCTTGCAAGGTATGCAGATGATGAAGATTTAGAAAAAGAATTAAAAAGTCGTGACAGAGACGATGATCCTATGTTGGCCTATATAAAAGAAAAAGAAATTAAAGAAGGCAAAAGAGCACCAAGCTATTCTGGCTCATTCATGCCTAATAGGTTTGGTATTAAACCAGGTTTCCGATGGGATGGAGTGGACAGAAGTAATGGGTATGAAAACAAATGGTTCGAACAGCAAAACATGAAGAAAGCAGTTAAAGAAGAAGCTTACAAGTGGAGTATTGCAGACATGTAAATTACCACTAAATAATAAGTAGTGTAAATAATGATTTAAAATCTAAAAGCAGATTTGTTCCAGACAAAGAGTTTAGTGGAACAGATAGAACTGGAAGTGCAAGGTCTGGACCAGTTCAGTTTGAAAAAGAAGAAGAAGTTCCATTTGGTTTAAGTAAATTTTTAAAACAAGCCAAAAGAGCCAGTAGCAGTGGAACTTCTTCTAAAAGAAAAGATGATGATAGAGATAAACGAGATAGTAAAAAAAGAAAACATTAGAAATAAAATTAAAGTATAACTTGATCGTACTTTATTAATATATTAAATATATATTATAAAATCGGCAATACGAATTTAATGTAAATACTATAAAATAATCGAATAAAAAAAATTATTTTCATGAGTCTGCTCTATTTCATTTTTTTACCTTTATTGAAATTTTCAGTCTTTTATAATTTTTAGCAAATGTTACATCTAAAGTAGATTGTAATCTTCTTTTGCGAGAAAACATTAATGAATTAAGCTTGTAATATATGCACAGTAGCATTATAAACAGCGGATTTCAAAAACAAGTTTCAAAATAATAAAAAAAAAACACAATTGCAACTATCACAGCTATTTTAACCCATGATTTTAAAACTCTAAATGCACCAGACATTAAATCAATATTACAAATCTTATCTGGAGTAAACGTTGAATTTACCTATTTAATATTTAATAAGTAGTGTAAATAATATACATACAATTATTAAAATTATCTTTTTTAAAGAATCATAATTATTTTTTGTTATTCAATGAGTCAGTTTTGTCATTCCCAAAAAATAAACATAAAAATATTTGATTTTGCATGAATTAATAATGTAGTTCATATTGTTATTTTTTGGGGTGTTTTAAAATTTACTGCAAATCAAAAACAACTTGGGCACTGATACTTCAGATTCAGATTAGATTGATATTCCTAAATAAAAACCATTGCGTTTAATTACGAGGAGAATAAATATTTCCAATCATTCTCCATGTTATAAAAAGTTTCTTAGTTTACTTAGTGATGCAATGAAAGCCTGATCTTAAAGTAGTTTGATTTTTTGACATTTTCATCGTTAAAAAAGAACCTTCCGAAGGGTGATTATGAGCTTGTGAAAATTGTATGATTTTATGATCATTTCATTATCAATTTATCTAGCAGTTCAATATTTACTTTTTAAAAAGTACACAATTCAAGGATCACAATTTCAGGGTAATCATCATTAGAAAACTAGAAAGAATTTAGTAAAATCTTTTTTATTTTTACAAATATATAATATTTTACATTTTTTTGTTTCTACAAGAATTTAACTTGCTGCAAATGAAAATTATTTTTTGAGTAATATTATATTTTACTCAAGTATCATTTTTACTTGTATTTTTAAATAATGATTCTTAAATTATTTGTGATAAAATAATCGCTTTATAGGCATCAATCGTTTATAATATTTAGGTACATATCACACATTATCTCTGTACTTACTCACACAAATCTGCATTATTTCATGCATATTATGATTATTTTTTAACTTGAACAATGTACCCTTTGTACACCAGAAGATGATCCAGTACTATCCAATTCTGTTTCACCGTTTATGTCTGCCAAAGAACTTCTTCCGGGATTATCAACCCCAGAGTGCCTTAGAAAAATAGATCAATTAACAAAATTTTATAAATTCAAATTTGTCGATTTTTAAAATGAATATCCTGTACTGCAAAGAAGTACTATATTGTTGTTATTTGCTGTACTTTCAACAACCAAAACTTTAACAACTTTTTTGGCGCATTTATCAAGAGCCTCTCTCCTTGAACTTTGAAAATCTTAATATTAGCAGCAAGAACATCTTGACGTTACATCCCTTGTTTTTGTGGCATGGAGTCTACTCAAGATTCAGCATCAGCATCTGGGAAAGCTGGCTTTGGATCAGCAGTTCTTAATCCATCTGAAAATTTATAATAATAATATAGTATCAAGAAAATAATGAGAAAAATTGTAATTTTATGTTTTAAAGTATATTATTTTTCTAACTTTTAAGTAAGAGAAGTGCAAGATCCTGCAGTTCCATAACACAACAACTCCTTTAAGAATATCTATCATTCGCTGAATGTCAAGTAGTCTCCGATCAACTGTTTGGTTTTAGTCAAGTACTGACCCAGCAGCCGAATGATACAACAGGAAGTAAGCTCTCCGCAGCAGCAGCAACAACAACAACAGTGATTGGTTTGACCTGTAATCAAGTAATTGATATAAAATTTTACTCTGATATTTGGTTTTTAATAATGTTTCACTAACATCCTATTCATTTTAACATTAGCATAACGTTTTAATAAAAACGATATAACTGATCAAATAACTTGATGTATACAATGTTACATATTATTTAAATTTATAAATGAGTCGTCAAATAACAGAATTTCGTCATTGATAAGTTTAGTACAAAATTTTACTTTTAACTATGGATTAAGCTACATAATAAGGCTCGATCTATTTTTCTCTAAATTGTAAATATACAATTCAACAGTAAAACGAATTATTCTTATGATAAGTAAATAGTAAAACAAACTCTTAAAGTTTGTTTATTTTTACTAATACGCCTATTGCACACTTACTTCAAGCACACCATGCTCCATCGGTTCTTTGCCAAACATCCAAATCTAGCTCCAGTAGATGCATCCTTCAACTTATGTTTCTAGAAAGCCTATATGCAATGTGTTGCATTAGGATCAAACTAATTTGCATACATTTTTTTTATCGACAGCATGCAATAGCATCAAGTTCACTTGAAAAATAATGAAATTTTTGAAACAAACCTTGGAGAGTTTACACAAATCATCTTTTCCCGTTATGAAATGTATCCTTTCAGCTTCCAACTGTCCAGTTGACCAGGTTGTCTAACTAAGTTGTTTTAGATCGATGAAGTTTAATATCACTTCTCAGCTATAATAATGAAATTAGCTTTGATATTTATACACGTATTTATTTAATCGCATATAACCTGACACATGACACATTCATTATTATTTGTATTAACGCGTGCATCTTTGTGACCATTTGAAAGAGTTTCAGATTCTTTATCAAATTCATTGATAAAATTTTCACTCGAAATGTTTCTGTTACATGCCGATCCCTCAAAATATATCTGAAGTATCTTAAGCACAAGCTTGGCTAACAGTAGATGAAAATAAGATAATGAGATTGAAACATGAGATCTTGAAATTTTGTGGTTCGGCGACCGTCAGATTTTTTTTTCTCTCCTGCTTTTGGCATTGGTGATCGCCAGCGATGCTAGTGCTACAACTACTCGGCCATGTGCGCGCGCGTTGCTTGCACTCAAGTTAACTCTAGCGGCCTGACGGTCTGAACTCTGATTGCATGACGCACGTGGTAAGATTCAGACATAGTTTCAGTATCTGTTTGATTTGCTAACAGTACCGGCTCGTGTGATCTCAACTGACGTTGAAAGTGGTGTGTGAAATATTGTTTCGTAAAAGAAACTCTTGCAGATCTGCATTAAATTACGTACACCTAAAATGAAGAATCTTATAGTTACAAGAGTGACATCGGTAAGTCATTTATAATTATATTAAAAATGATTGCTTGGATGCAGGACCTCCAAATTCTTATATATGTTACTGTTATTGTAATTTGACTTTTGTTTTTTCTTCAAGTACTTGTCTGAAAATCCAGACTTATTTGTGGATATAAATGATATGGCCGATGCTTTACAAAAAAAATATCGAGATTTCAAAGGTAAAAAGAAAGGTCCATTCAGAATTTTAGTGCGTCAAGCCTACAATGAAATAACAGAATCAATGACCAGAAATGATAGCTTTATCGATGAAACAAATAATGAAAGTGTAGTGGAAATTGAGGTATGTATAGAAAAATCGAATTAAATGTAATTACAATATTCTATTGTATTCAGTTAATTTATTAATTTTTATTTATTTTTCTATTGTGTCATATTAGTCAAATAAGCAAGTTTCAACAATGTCTACGGATTATCTACCAGTTTACAAATCTAAAACCCCGGATAATGAATGTACTCAAGAAATAACACAAGCTTCTAAAAAAGCTAGATTATCAATCAGTGCCAACAATAATAATGCTAATGAAGAGCCAATTTTGGTATGAATACATTTGAAATCCCATTTTTTTTTTCAACTTAAGTAATTACAACATTTAAGTAATTTATGTTAATTAGCTGGATGTAACAATGGAAAATGGCAGTACAACTCCTGTTAAGCCATTTCAACAAAGTGGAATTGAAAAATTAAAGAAGAAACCTAAACGTAAAGATGAAGAGAGTGCTATTCAAGATATTTTGTTAAAAAAAAAACCTAAACTAGCACCTGTAGTAATCCCTGAAGTTAAGTTTAAAGATATTGGAGGTAATACAGAAATTTTAAAAAAATTCTCTGATTTTATGATACATGTGAAGCAGCCAAAATTATATGCTGAATTGGGAATTTCTCCCTTGAGAGGTATCTTGTTGTATGGTCCTCCAGGTTGTGGCAAAACTCTGCTGGCTAATGCATTTGCAGGAGTAAGTACAAAGTTTAATGACTTGTATATTTGATTGCCTCCCCTATTTATCCATATGTAATACATTTTAATTTATTTTCATAGGAGTTAGAAACACCATTGTTGAAAGTAGCAACAACCGAGTTAATTGCAGGTGTATCAGGTGAAAGTGAACAAAGAATAAGAGAATTGTTTGATCAGGCTACTGCTATTGCCCCTTGTATTTTATTTTTGGATGATATTGATGCAATTGCTCCACATAGAGAAGCAGCTCAAAGAGAAATGGAAAAAAGAATAGTTTCTCAACTACTATCTTGCTTAGATGGTATGAATAGTTTTATAAATAATAATAACTATTATTTTTATAATTTTTTACTAATATTTTTTTTTTATTTTTTATATTTTTAATTTATAGAGCTAAGTAAAACAGAAAATGGTAACAAGGTCTTAGTAGTAGGAGCAACTAATCGACTTGATGCAATTGATCCAGCACTACGAAGAACTGGTCGTTTCGATAGAGAAGTTTCGTTAGGTTTTCCTGATAAAGAAGCTAGAGAAGCTATCCTTAAAGTTCACTTATCTGGTGTAAAAATTTCACCAAAAGTTAGTTTAGAAGAAATTGCTTTCTCGACACCTGGCTTTGTTGGGGCTGATCTTGTAACACTCATAAAAGAAGCTGGGTCAGCTGCAGTAAACAGGTAAAATTTAATTTTACAACTTTTCACACTATTAAGGAGATAATGTATACAAAAATTAAATTATGTTTTCAGGGTATTTCATGATTTAAAAAAAAAACAAGAATTGAAAGAATCTGATGATTATATACTTTCAAAATTAGAAAATGGTAAGTATTTTTAATTGTATCTCAAATATAGATTTGTACTTCAAAATGATATTTACTCATATTTTTTTTTTATAGATAAAACAAATTCAAATTCTGCGATACAATCCAACAATAATGTTGCTGAAAATTCAATGTTGCCCATGGAATCATCTGTAGATAAATTACACGAAGAAAGCTCTAGCTTAAACGCAACAGAAATTACAACAGAAGCGTCTGTGAACGAGTCAACTGAAGTTACTTCTAATTCGTTATCTAAAACAGAGAATATAATGAGTTCTGATATAAAAAATAGTCCTGCTGCGGCAATCAAAGGTTTATCAAAAAATGACTCGATAAATAAAAATGATGATTTCTTGTCATGGTTACTAAATGTGCCTGAGCTCACAGCTGAGCAACTTGAAGCAATATTTATTGAGGAAGAAGACTTTAAGATAGCTTTAAAAAATGTTCAACCTTCAGCAAAAAGAAAAGGATTTGCCACAGTACCAAATGTAACATGGGATGACGTTGGTTCATTACAAGATGTTCGCAGTGAATTACAAAGATCAATTTTGGTATAGACTTAATTTTATCTAACATACATATTGTATTACCAATAGTTTTACATGAAAAATCAAATTTTAGGCCCCAGTTAAGTTTGGAAAACAATATGTTTCATTTGGATTCAAGACTTCAATGGGTATTCTTTTATGTGGTCCTCCTGGTTGTGGAAAAACTTTATTAGCTAAAGCTATAGCTAATCAAACTGGTATCAATTTCATATCAGTTAAAGGACCAGAACTACTGAATAAGGTTTGTATTTAATAGCATTAATTTTATGAAATTTCATAAAATTTTAATCATTGCAATATTGAATTTCCCATTTAGTACGTTGGAGAGAGCGAAAGAGCTGTCAGAGACTGTTTTGCAAAGGCACGGGATTCAGCACCTTGTGTAATATTTTTTGACGAACTTGATGCTTTGTGTCCCAAACGTTCAGAGGGTGATAATTCATCCACATCTCGTGTTGTTAACCAATTGCTTACTGAAATGGATGGAGTCGAAGGTCGCAGTGAAGTATTTATATTAGCTGCCAGCAACAGGCCAGATATTATTGACTCAGCTGTTCTAAGACCTGGTAGACTTGATAAAATTCTTTACGTTGGTCTTCCTAATCCTGAAGATAGGTTTGATATTCTTCGTGTATTGACAAAAGTAAGGTTGAATTTAAATTCTCAATTCATTCATTAGTTATGTTTTGTATGTTTGAAATATTTTCTATTTTATTGTTCAATTTAGAATGGAACGAAACCAAAACTTGCTGCTGATGTAAATCTGAAAACCATAGCTGAAGATGAACGTTGCTCTCGTTATACGGGTGCTGACCTGGCAGCTTTTGTTCGAGAAGCTTGTCTAGAAAAAATGGATGAAATTATAAGTGGAACATGTACACTAGCTGAAGTAAGTGCTAGTCACTTTGAAAGTGCATTTAGCAAAATCAGACCCTCTGTGTCTGAAAAGGTAAGTCTTCATTTACAATATAAATGAAAAGATTCAACAATAAAAATTCAATTCTGAAAAAAACTTTTAACATATTGATTATGGTTGTTTACAGGATTTAAAACACTATGAGAAGTTACGAAAGCTTTATTCGGTTGACAGTAAAAAACCTCAGACAACGCTTACGTCTGTAAAACCAGACATACCAAGTCAATCAAGGATGGAATGTATGGATATATGAATAGTTTTTTTAGAAAACTCCATTAATTGTATAATATTGTATAAATATGAACAAATAATTTGATTTTTACTGCATATATATTTAGAAAGTGTATTGTAGTCGCTATTGTAACTGTTAATAAGTATGTTCAATTTCAACATACTTTTTATTTTTATTTTTGATAATTGGCATACATTTTTATAAATAAAGATTTATAATAAATTGAGTAATTGACCCGTTACAAATTGAAATAACTTAATTCTATAAGTTAAAACTTGATCTTAATTATTTCGGTATGATTTATAAAATTATGTTTACACTTTGTACTTTTATTTCTTTACTATTCAATGTACTTAATTCACTATTATTACTTTACTTAATGATACATTTTTTCAATAGCTCTAATGTAACTGTATTGAAGTAAATGGATGTTTCAAGTGAAAATAACATCTGCCATTCTATGCACTCTTTCATCAATTGAAAATGAATCGTTCCTAACAAGGCTAATTTTGAGAATTTCAAATCAAGGTTAAAATATTTTAATAAGTATGAATGAATGAACGATGGAATAATTTCCAGCAGTGGTAAATTAATATCAATAATGGTAATTTGTACGGTTCAGCTAGGAAACGAGCCGAAATATTTTTGAAGAATGGGTACCCGAAAAAAATTTTTTTTGAAAAATTTGTACCCTAGTAAGAAGATTTCACTTTGGTAATATTGATGGTTTGTACGTGTGGTAGCAAATTAAAATTAATCGAAAAAAGCATCTTTTAACATTGAATAATAACATTTTTTATTGCAATCCTTACTGTAGCTGATGCTATGAGAGTTATTACAAAATAATGTTAGTCGCCAAAAAGTACTTGTGCATCTTTTGCGTACTAAAAAAGCAATTAAATTCATCCATAACTGATGAGGAAGGCACTTTATTAATTGAGTTGTTTATTCTTTAAATCTTAGCATTTAATGTTATGAATGAAGAAATGTACGGCATTACATTGTCGTGTAAATATTTTACGATAGCGTGGCACGAAATGCACGTTTCTAATTGCTGACAGCGCACTTAATCGTCACAGCTTTTTAATTTCTTAAGTTAAAAAAAATTATTGTACTGAAAATATTAATGATATTGAACTCTGTCAGAATTTTTTGCGTTCACATTACATAACAAGTGATGGCAAAATCCAAAAATGCACCAGGTGTGTTCTGACCGAGCCAACGAATGAATTAAGTGCATTTGAACATTGCTACTTTATACATATTTATAAATAAATCTCATTGTGCATCTCGATTTCATATTGTTCGTATTTGCTTATGAGTAAACGTTATTCCTTACATCGATTTTTATATTCATTGTCTCTTATTGTCTTTGCACAATATAATAAGTAAACGTTAGAATATGAACAAAACACCACATGAACCAAAAACGTCACTCAGCCTTACTATCAAATATTGTGCAAATGATTCAACATTTGTCGGTTTGTACAAAAAATTGCAAATGTTTTGAAATGTACGCTAGTGTCAGGATTTTCCACTACAGTGAAAACTTCTCAACTCACAAACAAAAACTCACAACGAATATAATTAAATTTAATTAAATATATCCCTAAGCCAGGCTGAAATGATTGTTTTCAAACACTATTTATAAGTTGTAAATATTTCTTTAAAAAGCTACGTGGATATCGTCATGTTGTTTTTTTTCTTTAAGTCTTTGTAGCTTTTTAGTAAAATATGTAGGAGTCAGAAAAAAGCGTGGTTTGAAAACATTCATTTGGGCGTGTCGTTGATAAAAAAATACAGCCGAGGCTCATTGACCAGCAATGTCGAGTAATAAAAGGAGATAAATGAATTAAAAGAGAATAAAGACGGTAAAAAAGTTGTAAGAATAAAATCGACGGAATATTGGATCACAGTCAATGGTATATTGATAGGGAGAGACGCATAAGCTTTGCCGAGGAGGCAAAGGTCAAAAGAAACGAGCCTCCGGTCGGTCGATGTTGTCTTCAGGCTGTTGCAGGCAGATGACGAAGGCCTCCCGAGCCGAGGAGAACTTGCCGCCGAGGTGTATGCCGCACGAGGGGCATCGGTGTATGGCGTCACGCAGCACCTTGGAGCAGTAGGGAAGGACGCAGAGACTGGAAAACAATGAAACGCATCGTTATGCGCGCGTTTGTGTGTGTGTGTGTGTGTGTGTGTACTTTGTCGCTCGGGCTCGGAATCGATCTTATTACTTTTTTTGTTCCGACTAAAACATTAAAACTGTTGCACGGCGGAGCATGTGTATCGATTCGCTGCACAGTTTGTGTCATGTTCCTCCCAAATCAACAAGTAGAGCTGTTATTATTATACGGGCGGTCTGCACAAGACCTACTTTCGTTTTACCCTCGCAACTCGTTGGAACGACATTAGCTGGCGCTGAAATAAAAAAACTCGTCCGCGGGAATAAGAAGGAAAAAAAAAACGAAACGATATCGTCGATGAGGAATCGGTGTCGAAGCTGCACTCGCTAATGCGCGTTTAGCTCTCGACGCTGCATGGCAATGAGAATCGTGCTCGGCTCGTATACGCACGAGTCATAACAATCGTGCACTGAAATCGAGAATTGGCCAATCGATTCGCATAATTCGCGCCTTTGGTCAGTAGCAGCAGCAGATATAATCAGATAATGGCTCGCGAGCGATAGTGAGCTGCCGAGTCAAAAATGCTCCAGGAATTTGAGCACTTTTATCGGACGACACGTTGGCAGTCGCGCCGAGGCTCTAATTCGCGATAATTCAGCGCTCCGACCGATGCAACGTCATGTTTTGTCGTTTCTTTGAAGAGTCTGCTTAAATATGTACTCACCAGACGGGCAGCAATAGCAAGGCCGACAGATGCGTAGTGCTGTTGTTGTGTCGCTCGACGATCGTTTCGACTCCTCTGAGACAGTTGGGACAGGTCAGCTGGGCCGGTTCTCTCCGCAGGTAGGTGTGTTCTGCGTCGTTGAAAAAAAAAAAGAAAAAAGGAGGCGAGTGAATGTACGATAGGCTGCGAGCCGATCGGTAGAGAATCAAAATGGATCAAACAGATTCGATGCCATCGGCCGATCGAACGATAGAGCGCCAAAAGAAAGGCTCGGAATAAAAGTCAAGGGTGATTACCTCTGAGAAACAGGATGGACTTGTTGCTTTTGGGCTGGTATCGATCGTAATCCGGATGCTCGCGGGTACTGGCGAGTGACTCGGTGAAAATGGCCTCGGAGCCGCTGTCCCGCTGGAGGTCCTCGGTGAGCTCTTGGCTCTTCTCGATGGCCATAGTTCAAGCGAGGAGGACGAGGTGGTGCATGCTCGTTCCGTAAAATAAGTCAGCCGCGAGCACGTAAACAAAGAAAGCAGCGTATAACCTCTCGATCGCTCCGGCAGCCACTGCTGGTGCTCGCTGATTGGTGGTGTGCTGCAGGCGAGGAGAAGAGAAAAAATCGTCATGGATCGCGTCGAAGGCCAACAACAACGAGCGCTGCGGACGACACTGGGTGAGGAGCTTTTTTTTCTGCTGCTGTTGCACGCTCGTCGCGTATCGGTAACTATACAGACGAGCTGCGAATTGGCGCGCTAATTTCGAGACAGCTATAGCTGCTCGCGAGTCAATGGTACTGAGCTCTGCTCTGCTCGGAGCGAGTGCAACGGCACGAGCCAACCGAGCCAACTGAGCCAAGAACGAAGTCAGGCGGCAGGCTGTGTCGGACAGGCCGAATAGCTATATAAACTGCGCATTACGCGTGCTCGGGACTTTTTGCAGCGGCGGCGGCGGCGGCAAACGACGATGACGGACACCATTCGACTGTGGCTGTAGCAGCGACGACGAGCTCCGACGGTATAACCGAGGCACCGCAGTACTCCGGTGGCGGTCGCGCTCATGGTGGGGCTCGCCAGCAGCAGCAGCAGCACCGAGAGGTATTATTGGCCTCGAGATCCGCGAGGGAGATTCTCAGGTGAGCGGGAGGCCAGCAGCGGTGCACGCCAACTAAAAGTGCACCTATACATAATAGTCCGAGCGAGCCGCCGAGTGCACATGCCAACCATCCGACATACAGCGATACACGTATATACAACGCAACGGCTATACTCGCGCGAATCGCGATGCGTATCGCGCGCTGCAGCCGAGTTAGTGCACGCGACCCCGCAACACCACGTTATGCCACTGTTATGCACACGCCTTCTATTGCTCTCTGTATTTAGCTTGGACTCTCTTACCTTTTCTCGCGGAGTTTTTCCCTTCTTTCTTTCGGCGCCCAATGTCCACTCGCATTGATTTCGACCACTCGTCGACGTATATGGCTAATCAACCCGATATCACTCATCCAACTGTCGACTTTAGCAGTCGGAATGAATTTACGAACGATTAAATTACTCTTATCCCAAGGCCATTTATTTACAAAAATATTACAAATTGTCGCTAGCTATATCACTATGGTCGTAAAAGTAGTTTTTTCAAGTAGTTCTAGCAGACCGGGCCAGAACTGGACTCGCTCCGAACAACGAGCCCGTCTCGGCTCAATATGTACAACGACGAGCCCGCAGCCCCGAGCTCGTCTCGTAAAAATAACGATAGTTTGCCTAAAAATTTCATCCGATGTGACTTGTGCTGCTTGGGATGCGCCACGCGGTCGGTCTCAGGCCTGCTCGGCCAATATTCGCTCCACCAATGACCTGTATCGCTCGACCATCGGTGCGTAAATCTGCCGATCGAGACAAAAAATTATAGAAAATTTGCCCGAGCTACGTCAACTGTATATATATGTAATTATATATGCAGTTAACTCACGCTGTTGGCGTCGTCGTAGGGCCGACAAACCAGCCTCGGCTCCGGCAGACTCTCGAGCACGTCCTCGAAGGAGAGCTCGTGCTTGCGGAGCGCGTGCTTGGCCCGGTAGGCGCCCCCCATCATGGCCGAGTTGGGCGTCTCCGCCACGTAGACCGGCGCGTTGAACACGTCCGAGAGCACCTGGAGGATGGCCTGGTTGGCCGAGGCGCCGCCCGTCGCTACGATCCGCGTCCGCCGGCCGAGCTCGAAGCCAAAGTCCTCGGCGTAGGCCCGCCTGCCGATGAACTGGCCCTCGACGAGGGCCCGCACCTCCACCTCCTTGGAGCTGTAGCGGCCGACGCGATCGTTGGCCTTGTTGAAGCGGTGGTCGCCCACCGCGGCCGGGGCTATCTCGCGCTGGTCCAGGTAGAGCGCGCAGTTGCCGAAGTTGCCCCGCGGCGTGTTGTCCAGCAGCTCGTTGAAGATCTTCCAGTCGCCGCCCGCCGCGCTGTTCCTGATGCGCTCGCGCGTCAGCGAGCCGTTTTTCGAGCTATACATACGATCGGTCGAATCGGATTAGTCCCGTTCCCGTACTCGATTGCGAGCGTTTGATACGTTACCAGAGCACGGCCATGTAGGCGTCGTCCTCGACGGGGTTGCAGAAGACGTGTCCCTCGCCGACGACTCTGGGCTCGTTCAGCCAGAGGAAGAGGACGTCGCTGGTGCCGAGGCTGCAGGCCAGGTCGCCCTCCCTGCTGAGGCGCAGACCCGCCATCGAGGCCGGATTGTCCCCGGTGAAGGCCACCACGCGGCACCTCTCGTCGAAGCCGAAGCGCTCCACGAAGTACTTGGCGATGGGGCCGCAGTCGCTGCTCGACGACACGCTCGGGCCCAGCTTGTCCCTGAGTCCGGGCGCGCACGCCTCCAGCAGCTCGTCCCGCCAGTCCTTGCTTCGCAGGTCCAGCAGGTTCATGCCCGAGCCGTCGGCCCAGTCGATCGGCGCGTAATCACCCAGGAACAGCGACGCCGCGAAACTGCTCACCAGCGAGATTCTCTGTTGAGCCAATATAATTTTACCTTATATCGTAATTCGGATGAGAAAAAAAAGCGACTCACCTCCGTTGCTTCGTAAGCCTCTGGCCTCTTTTTGTAAATCTTGGCTATCTGCGGCCCCGAGAAGCGCTCGTAAGCCCTCGATCCCGTGATTTCGGCCATTCTCTGCAATCCGAGTACTCGGGGTTAGCAAAATAATAAACGAACGCGAAACAAGATCGAAATGGCGTTGATAAATACTTGGGGGCCTCCGACGGCTTCTTCGAGCTGCCTACACTCGAGGCTGGTGCTCGAGTCCATCCAAATGGGCGCCGGCGTGACGGAGAAGACGCTGACGAGCTGCTCGTGCAAGAACTTGTCGGGGTCGAGGTTCCCAAGGGTCTTTCGAGCTCCTTTGGCCCAGTAAACCGTGCCGTGTTGCTGCGGATAAAAACAAAGCTTCGAGCTTATTAAAGAAGCTCGCGAGCTTGTACCTATACGAGTCGCGCGGAACTCTTACCTGAGCGGATCCGGATACGGCGGCGACTCGACTAAAGTCCACTCCGCAGACCCTCAGCCTGTCCATTATCATATCCAAGGCTTTGACCCACATGAGGCTGGGCGCCGTCACGACGTTCGGCTCGGCCTTGGTCTGCAGCACTCCTCCGTACGTCCTTTGGGTGAACAAACGGTGAGATATTAAAATCCGTAATACACGGTTGACAAAAAAAAAAGTGGGGAAAAAAGTGAAAGCAAACCTAAACTCGGGCAAATCATTGTCGTACTGCACGTTGGTCTCGTGAAGCACAGCCAGATCATCGTCGACGATCACAGCTTTCAACTGAAATTTATGTAACGTATATTACGTAGGTATAGTACAAAATCAGCATGCGCTGCGAATATCGCGCTATTAAAAGTTATCACTTCGTGGCAGCGCATTGATAACCTTTTACTAATTCATCTGCGATGGTTGCGCAATCGAGCTCGCAAACTGCTCCGTAATACGTTTGCCGCAGCCTCGATATTAGAAATTTATTTTCACCGTGTACTTCCCTCGCTGAATTACAATAGCTGTTCGTGCGCAATAAATCATTAATTTCAATATTTTACGAACGTTAGCTCTTCGTAAGCTTCGTTTTTCGTTAATATTGTTAAATGAATTGATACAATTTTTTAAAGAGTTTTTTGAATAGTTGGTAAACTTTAATTTTTTTCATTCGTCATTATTACGATTCAAAACTGACTTGAACTATTATTGTACCGAATCGTCTGGTCTTTGTTTTTACAATTGGAATATTTTTTATTCGTACGCCAAAGAGTCGAGCGATACATTAAAAACGACCGCCAACGATCGACACCTAAGATTGGACGTCCGAATCGAACGATATATAGTTTGGCGCGGCAAACAAGGTATAGGCGAGGAACGACGCGAAACATAACGATACATTATACAGTGTGTGCAGGTGCGGAGCGCGCGAGTGCGCGTGTCCATTGTGCTGGTAGCGCTTGTAGCTGTCACATCGGCCACGCTCGCTCGTACAACAATTCAGAGACAATTTCGACGAGAAAAAGTAGCCCCCCGGAAGTGGGTTAATTGCCGGCGAACGACGAGCTGCGGGCAGTGGCACCGAAAAACAGAGCCGATCGCTGAATAATCGATTGGCAAAACGAACTCACCTGTTGCGTGCTAAAGTCCAAGCCGAGGTAAGTCGGCCTCGTCTGCTGCTCGGCTGCCATGCTTGTGCGTACAGAAAATAAGGAACGGCCTGGAATCGGACTCGCCGCTCGCTAGTGTAGCACTGAGCTGCTCTTGTATACCAACTACTACCTGCCTAGCAGTGCCGTTGCCTGCGAGCGTCTCTCTCTGTCTCGCTTTATAGGTATGGATTACCGCTTGGATCCTAGCAGCGGTAAACAAGCTCGGACTCGGCTCACGTTGAGTTGTTCTCTAGGAGTTTTCCTATACGCTTGCGCCCACGGGTAAAATATATATCACTAATTTTTGCTGCAAATTGAATTCAGCCGAGCTCGTGTCTGTGTGTCCCGAGCCGATTATTCAGCCGACGATGCTCATTCGACTTGGATTCGAAACGCCTCGCGTCGTTGTGTCATCGATCGCAAGCACAGCTTTTAATCGGGGACTCGGCGGCAGCGAGAGGCGATTGGCGGATACGAGCGAGAGTATATCAGCGGTGATGCATCCGCGCCGAGAACGCGCGAGATACTAGACCTCGACTCGCGCTTCCTTCCTCTTTTTGCCCCTCGTACTTGTGTATGCTCGCTCTGCAGCACACTATGCTCTGCTCTTTGAGAGGGAACCAACTGCCTCTCTCTCTCTCTCTCTTGCTCACTCTCTTTCTCACACACAAACAACACACACGCTCGGTCTATGAGCGTGCTCGACATAACGGCATTTGCTTACTCGTTTTTTTTTCTCTCGGCTCACCTACGATTACACGTAATACACGTAAGAATAAGTTATGTACGTATTTATATACGTTGGCTTGGTTGTTTGACGCAGCCAACCTGATTCGCCACGCTACTGCGCATTTTGATTCGTTACGAATTTGCGACTTTTCTTACTTTTTAGCGATTCGGGAGTCGATGAGGCCGATAAGGATGACGCCGATCAGCAAGACCTTCACATCGGAGACTCTCCTCCGCCGATGTTTTTTAGCGAGCAACGCAGCACCGCCAGGCAGAAACGAAACCGATTTTCAATTTTTTGCTGGGCCAAGCGTCAGGTACGCGCCAAAGGATCGAGTCGATTTTCACTGAATTATTTCGTACGGTTGATGCTAACAACCTTGTCCTACAATTAGCAAAGCGCAGAAGAAAGCACGGATCCGCCGTCTTACCTGACGCTCTTTCCCGAACGAAACGAGTCCGAAGCCCGAATCGTTGGCGTTGATAACGCCGCGCGGCCTGTTTTGCTGGACGTCGCGTCGTCCTTCGTCTTGCGCGCTCCGCCGCCTAGTTACAGCCAAGCTCAGGGCATGTACACCAGCGGACCCGACTCCTTCGAGCGCTTCCTCAGCAGTACTGGCGATTTTCGTGAGCCCCGTTGTATAAATATATGCGCGCCACTAGTCATTACAATTTTATTAAATTACGATTCGATTCAATTTTTTTTGGCGCGGCAGCGTCCAGTGCTACTATTTCGAGTCCGAAACCGGTCAAGATGCTATGTCGTAGATGCGCCGCTATCGTACCCACGCTGCCCGAACAGCACACGGACATTGTCACCCACGTCACAGCCATGCTATTGTTTTTCATTGGGTATCGACCTTTGCCTATTTTCTATTCTCCATCGCATACTTTAATAATCGTCGAGTGCATTTTTCCAGTTGCTGGCCTTTCTGTTTTGTACCGTACTGCTCTAGTCGCTGCAAATCCGCCCATCATTACTGCCGCTACTGTCGAACCTATCTAGGCACCTATAGGCCTTGGTAAGTGTGTATAAGTGATGATTTTATACACAATAACGAGAGGGTTTCAATAATCATTACGATCTTTAAGTTTCAACGCTTTTTATTAAACTACAAATACGATGTATTGTTTGATCACGTTTTTCATGCATGAAGCGTGTAATAAATCTGAATACTTTTCATGCTTTCACATTGTGTCTTACAACAACTTTTCTTCACTGTTTGGAAGTCAAATATTTATTACATTTATCGAGTCTAACAAAATTCTTTACAGCCAATCTTTGATATTCTTTGACTTCATAGCACCTTGAAATTTGCTTCAAATATAAAATTTGGAAGATCAAAATAGAATAGACTAAATGAGTATGAATAGTCCTTATATTTTTAGAGTAAGTACTGGAACTTTTTTAAAGCTCACTTTCCTTTTCTTAAGCAATATTTTCAATTCTATTTACAACAAAATCTATAACAATTTTATATAGAAGATTGCATGACAGGCACTTCAATTAATTTGAATTAAATGTGCCTTCTTTTTAGAGAGATTCACCATAAAGTCATGTAACTATATAAATTATTTAATTTTATCTTTGAATAATTTAATTCCATCATCTTAAATAATAAGTATAATATTAATATATATAAATTACTCTGAGTAAATCTTAAGAAATGAGATCGAATCTTTTGATAATTATTCTTGATATAATAAGATATGCGTGTTCCTTCATTCTATATATCATGTAACGTATTTTTTTTATTGTCATTTAGTTTAATGACACCTATTATTAAGTAATTATTGGCACAGTGGTGTACAAACTCAGTTTTATGGTGTCACCTCTATATATGACTAGACCTTACAATTAAATTTTTGTGCTCTTGGTTCAAAAACAAACATAAAGTAATGATGAAATGTACTCCAAACATATTCAAACAAATTTTTTTTGTGCACATCGAAAAAATTGTAAAATGTAATTCAACTTATTTTTAAGTACTCTTATAAGCTTTTGACGATTGCACTTGATTATTATTTGACAGATTTTTTTTTCGCAAGACTATCCCAACCAAATATAATATTTTGCAATAAATTTTAACTGGCATTATTCAAGTTCATCTTAAACATAGAATATACTAATTTAAAACCGCATCAAAAGCAAAAATTATGTCCATTGTAGTATCAAGGCATTCATTAACGTTTCGTTAATGCATTTTTGTTGTTCATTCTTCAATCAACTAGAAATTATGTTCTGGCATGAACAAAGCTTATATAAAAAGGGGATTGAATTGATGAGTACAAAGAATTAATTAAGGTTCTTTTTCTCAATCAAGCATTTGCAAATTTCATGTGACCTTCTTCTTTGCTGACTTCTTGTTAATTCGAGGCAGTGTTGCAAAGCTCGATACCTGAAAAAGAAAAATAACAAAATCATTAATTTATCATTGCGATTGCTATATTCAATTTTTAAAAATTATTGCAAGGCTAAAAACCATTCAATGATTATAACTTTTCAATAAAATTTTTAATTCAAATGTATAAGTAAATTTAGTTTGAACTCAGGATACGTTAACAGCTTTCAAAATTGCTGTGTTATACGTGTAATATAAGCCCATAAAATATTAGTAGTTATTATGACATCCCTGCCTACATACGTGAATCACATTACACACAACTACATGAACTTTTTACGTATAAATCTTTGTAATCAGGACAACTCGTCGGAGCAATAACAGTCATGGTAGGTCAATACGGTACATGATAGGATCAGCTACGTTCTTCATTAGGTTCGATGAATAGGCAGACAAATTAACGCATTAGTTACACATATCACATCACAACAAGATCAATGGCCATACATTTTTTCTTCTTTAAAGTCGTCCTTGTATATAAGCCTTGTGTTCAAACGTCTGTACTCTCGCTTTTACTTCTCTGGGTGACAGTCGACGACGGTTCAGATAAATGATCAAGTTTCGAATTATTGCATATTTCATTGTCATTCATACTACTTATAGGAGCATCAGCCAAATCTTTGAGAGCATCGTCTATGTTAAATTTGATAGTTTCACAGCTTCCTGATCTGGACCTAAATCTTCCAGAACTTATTGATCTTGAATCATCATCTTTCTCCTTGTGAAAGGTATTGTTGAAAATACTTTTCGGTATAGTGAGAAATTTTGTTAAACTATCTTTCGTTGCAGTTTTAGCAATCATTTGCTTTCTTCTTTGGAAAGCTAAAAAGTCTTTGTTATTTGAAAAATTTTTGACTCTGCCAGGTTTAATAACCAAAGTAGCCTTTACAGGTCTAGCTTCCGGTTCATCTTCATCGTTAACAGGCACCTTAGGAGCTGGCTTTTTGCGATATTTACCAGCTCGTTCGATGCACTCCGAAGTGTTCCTCGACAAGTTGATGTCTTCTTGAGACGAAATTAATGAACCAACCGTGGCCTTGGTATCGTTCAATAATTTTTTCAGCTCGTCCATTTTATCAGAACAAGAATCGACCACTTTGGACCCATCTGATTTATCATCTTTAGTCAGTTCCTTAATTTCAGCACTCGCAACCGATTCAGGATCAAATTTCTTATTGTCTTGTGACTGATCAGGAGCATCAGCTTTAAGAGTCGAACTATCATCATCGGACTCGCTCGAATCTTGTAGCTCTTGAAAAGAATCGTTCTCTGCTTGCTCTCTATTTTTTGATAGGTAAGCAATAAGCTCGCGTGCCTGCTCCGGCGAAAGTTGAGATAAAATGTCGGCCGAAAGTTGTCGTTCGAAGCTCTCTTCACCCTTCAAATTCACACGGGAAATTTACATTTTATTTGAACAATTAAATTACAGTTCGACTCAAAATCCATTAAAAAAGGAAGACTCCGAGACAAAGGTAAAGAACGGGATATTGAAACCGGGCGGAATCATTGTTAACCAAAAATATACATAAATATATTACCTCAGGTATCTTTTTAATAGATGAACGTGGTTTGGAGCGAACGCGGGCCCCGACACTAGTGGTTCGTTCAAGTCTATTTCCAGAGCTTACGAGTCCTCGATTCGACTGCAAATGTAAAGCTTCGGCGCTACTGTAACCACTTGAAATATCTTCGGATGATTTGATATTTCTGTAAAATTGTTTGAAATGAAATGTACTATTTATGCACAAGGATTAACGTAAATGTTCAAAGCTTACGTTAAACTAGCGAGTGATTCTTTTGACGTCGACTTTTGCATTTCAACGTTGACTTCAGGAAAGTACATGTCCATTTCATTGTTTATGGACTGAGTTCTACGAGGACTGAATCCCTTACAACCAGTTTTCTCTCTCCTTTGAGAATCTGAAAAAGTAACATGCAATTTTATTGACGTTACTAAGGTCGAAGAAAAAAAAACAAATTTCATTACCATCATGATCGACTTCATCGTGCGATTGCGTATTTTTATTTAAATCTTCATTTTCACCAGTGAGATCGCTGAGACTGTAACTTTTTTTCAGATGCTGGACCAATCCACCGCCACCCTATAAATGTTCTCAATTTATCACAAAATTCTTTAGGGACACTTATTTAATTGATACTTTAATTGCTAGTGCTTTTTGGGGGGAAAACTCATTTGAAATATCATTAGTTACAACATATTAATTCGTTGTGTGATAAAAATTGCAATTAAAACTCGGATCATGATTTTACAACAAGTTTCATCGACAAAAAAAAACAAAGAACGAATTTATTGTGTTTGATGTACTCAAATAGTCAAATTGGAGTGAATAATTTGTTAAATGATTCATGATATTGTAAAAAGATAAAAATGAAGGAATCATAAATTAATTAATAAATTGAAAAAAATAATTGGAGTTATAATTAATAAATTAAAATTAAAATAAAGAAAGCTTACCAACAAAAAAGGTTAGATAGTTATCAGCCTTCACCGTGCGACGAGCATCTAATAGTTTGATCTTTGAGCAACTTACACGATTATTTGCGTGAGTTTATTTTAATAGAATTTCGCTCCTGTGGTTACACGTGAAAATAAAATTTTCTGAATTTGAAGCGTTTCAAGTGAGAACTAATCGTTATTAGCCATTAATCTTCCATTCAACGCTCGATTAATAATTTTAAAAGTAAATTTTTTTGCATTAGATATTGAGAGGAACAGAAAGAAAGCAATTTGGTCAATTAAATTAAGCCTTAAAATTTTATTAAAACTTTTTTATTTTTTAATTTTTTTATTTTAAATATAAATAAGAGATAAACGTTGAAATTATTCGTAATAATAATGAATGACGGAAGGAAATAAATCTTTGGGATATCTCCTCATAAATACGTAAAATTAATAATAATAGAAATCAAGTGAAGCAACGTTATCACGCGTTACTTGTAATTATACATATATTGAGATAATAATCGATAGAATGACAGTCATAACATAAAATTTAAGTGAACATCATAAATATCTATCGTATGAAAGTCGCTCGCCTCTTGCTCCTTTTTTTGTTTGTTGCAGAAGGACATTTTATCACATAATTTATATATTTTTTATATAAACTACAAAAACGTTGACTTTATAGTTTAATACATTAATCTATTTTAACGCTAAGCTAATTATCTAGACAATTCATCTTTTTCTTTATTATTGAAAATCCATAGCAAAATTGTGTAAAGGCAAGTCGAGTGATAAATTCATCAATTTTTTCTCGACATTCATCTTTTATGGAAAAATTACAGACTAGTTGTTTTTTTTTTCAGAAAATTAGGTAGATGAAATTTATCAATATAAGAAAACGTACATGAAAAGTGTAAAAAACAAACAAATTTTTTTCGTTGATTCGTAGAAACTTTCAGTCTTTTCAGTACTCGTGATTATCAGGAAGTTCGTCTCACTGAGCTATCGTATCAAAAACTATATTTAGTAATTGGACATTGAAAGGCCATTGGTTGCATCGAGAATCACGCTTATCGATTATCGCACGCCAAGCAGCACCATCATCTTTCAATTTGTCGAAGAAGAAAAAATAAATTTCATTCGCTCAGATCTGAATCGACGGGGCGCGCACGAGTTCTAGGCTTCCTTCGCGTAAGCATGTTTTCCTGGCGTTTTCTCGTTTTTTTTTCTTCTACTACTTTTTCTTCCGGAAATTCTACCTCCATATCGTGCTCCGTTTGCTTTTCCATTTTTACCGGTGAGTCGGTAATATTCACGATCTCGTTGATATCAAAATCGTTAAGGTAGTTCAATTGGACGTCATCCAGCATACTACTATCTTCGTAGCTTGTAAAGGACACACCTGCCGCGAGGTCACAGGATTCTTCGAATTCGGCGCTCCTAGTGCGCCTTCGCGACTTTGTTGTTGTTGTTTTTTGGACTGCTCCTTTTTTCTTCATCTCCCGAATCCCGTCCGTCTCCGATTGCTCCTTGCGGTTGGCTAAGCTGGAAATCGCCGAGTCTGATTGGCTCATTGGCAGTTGACCATCAACACTCGGCACGACTTTTGGGATATTCTGCATTTGCGCAGTGAGTGTGCAATGTTTTTAATCAAGGATAGGTAAGCAGGGATTATTTACGTATATGTTTTTGATGTTTTTGATGTTGTTGTTGTTGTTGTTGTTGTTGTTGTTGTTGTTGTTGTTGGTTTAAAGGTGGAAACACAAACACACACACATGCGCAGGGGCAATGCCAGGCAATAGATACCGGTGTATGTCGATGGCGTTGATGAGAGCAATGATATTGTCAGATTGATTTTTGAATATTGTCGATGCACCACAATTAAAAAAATATGAATAAAATGAAACAAACAAAAAACATGATGAGTTGATTAGTTTTTGTGGTATATAGGCGAGTATAGGCTAATTTAGTAATATTATATTTGATTTCTCGCGCGAGCTTAGTGTACCAGAAAGACGAGATGGATTGCTTTCGCACACTGGTTAGAAGTTTTCGTTGTTATTTTTAGATACTCGAAAAAAATTTTAATGAGATAATTCGGAAGAAGCGGGACAGTGCCGAATGATATATCGAAGAAAATAAAAAATAAAACAAGTAAAATACCTTGATGGCGGTCTGCATGAGCACCGTAGTGGCATAGTTGACACCCTTGGAGCCGAGCTGTAGCACAGCCGAGTAACCCTGCTCGGTGGCCCGAGCCAAGGCCTCGTCGATTTCGGACTCCCTTTTGCACAAAGCCGGGTGGACGAAGCGCCGGTAGAGAATACTCGAGCCCTTAGTCGCTGGACTCAGCAGCCAAAGCACCAGTATGATTTTGATCTCGTAATAAAAGGGGAACCTGCGGGGGCAGTCAACGAGCGGTCAGAGAACGAGGAAGCGCTGAGCTGTTGCAGCAAATTGGAACATAAATAGCTTACCAGAAGCTGAAAAAGACGTCGGTGAAAGTTTCTGCGCAGGTGAATAGCGCAAACACGATCCAATACATCATCCATTTTACCTGTCACGATGACGTACAAACGTATTTGTTTATTGCTAAAGTTCAACGGTCCGCAAAAGAAGAAAAAAAAAAAGAAAATACTCACGTATTCTTTGACGTTCTTCGTCCTCACGGCCTTGTAAGAGGCGTAGGCCGGATATAGCGTGCCGAAGAGCAATCTATAAATCGGATATATCAGTGTGTAAGTTACGGCTTTTGGCATGAAGGCAGCCAAAACGGCCATAAAGCCACCGACGTTCTCGAGTGTCAATCTGATGGGCAAACTCTCGAGAGAGGACCTAGCCCAGCTGAACGAGCGCAAGGCGACTACGCGAGATATCGCCACGACGTTTATGCATTTTTCTGACTTTCGTTCGTCGTCGTCGTCGTCGTCGATGCCGGCCAAAAGGCCCAACAATTTCAGCTCCGAACCGCTGCAAGTCGAGCTGAACGAGTCGCTCGAGAGGCTCGCTTCCATTCTGGAGCTCATGTTTATTTTTTTTTGTTTTGCTATGCGATTAACCTCAAAATCACTCAACAACTACGTCATTTAGATTAAGTATCGAAAATAAGCTTTACCTGCTGACTGGCCTATTATGTTTGTTTTTGTTTTTATTTTTTTCTCGTAAACCTTTTTGTAAGCAACGCGTGAGATGGTCGCTACTTTTGGCAGGCTGCTCGAGCTCAGTTACTTGGTTAATTCGTCCGTCATGTCGATGAAGCAGCAGCAGCGCTCGAGACGCGCCAACCGATTGTCTTTCGCTCGCATAGGCGAATGTAAATTGAGTCGGGTCAAAAATTCAAGCGCGATGCATGATGCGAGCGAGCGGAAGAGCGAGGCAAGCTGTCCAGCTGATTAGCGCAAGCTCGCAGGCGCGCTTACACGAAACGACTGGCGATCGGCTCGACTCGCTGCCGACTGCGAAGCATGTGTGTGTGTTTATAGCTATAGGTACCTACGCATCTCTTTCTCTCTCTCTCTCCCTCGACGATGACTATTTTCGCGTCGGTAGCGCAATCGAGGTCGCGCCGTGAATTTTGCTTATGACCCGCTTTCACCGGACGAGAGCTTGCGAGCGCCTAATATTAAGCCAGCGCGCGAGCTTTTTTCCTTCCTCGACAATGGCGCGGATGATGCAATGCCTTGCCGACGCCGAGATGGAAATTTTTACCAACAAATAATCATATTGTGTGCACCAAAAATAAAACTCGAGCAAGATTAAAATTCCTAGTTATTTTTTCGTTTTATTTGCTTTCTATGCGGCCGTCCGCGCATACTATATCCGAGCGCAGGCAGTAGCAGCTGCTCGACTCGCCACTCGTAAATCGCTTACTAGTCCATACATACAAACGTATACATAGCTGCTGCGCCTCGAACGACGACGCTTCTGGCCAATTGCTCGACAAAATAACTCGTTAAAATCTGCAGAGCCGTGTTTGTTACACACTGCAGCGAGTTGAATGAACACTGTGAGGCAGTTTTTTCTCACTCTCTATCTGTCTGTCGAAAACAGTTGAATAATAACGCGGTTGATCGAACGATCAATCCAGGGCCCATAGAAAAGCCGAGCGCGTATCCGTACGAGTTATGCGCGGTAGCAGCGGTCGTGCCTTCGAGCGACCAACGGAGACTGGATAGCGAGCACACGACACCGAGATTCTAAGCGCGCGACAACGCCAGCTGCAAGTAATTCGATGATAATCGTCAATGTCGACAATGGACGCTTTACGTAACGCACGCGGACGGGAGGAGACCTGTGCTATAACGACTTCCACTGTCGATTCAATAGACGACTCTCAACAAGTGAAAATAATCGGCCGACCAATCGATTCTACGTCCCACGAGTCAACTTTCTTCTCGCACGAGTCACTGCCACTTGACACACACACACACACATACATACACATGCGAGGCAGTAAATAGCGGCATTATATTGCTCGCAGTCCTCGTGGAGGTCAAGATCATTGTCAACGTGCAACCTGATTTTTTTCACGCCTGCGTCGCATGCCATTAAATGCGTATATGTATCGGTGACGCGGTCTTTTTCTGTTTTTATTCTTTATGCAAAATGATACGAACTTATTATTCAATCGAATCAGAGCCGACGAGTCCCCCGAGTCGTTCGCTATGATTATGTTAACGCCGAGCGCTGCATGTGTAATTTTATACTCAAACAAGGCGAGGAAACGAGAATTGAAATAAAACGCGAGAGAGAACGCGGGACGAAGATGGAACACGGGTGCATGTGCGGTGCGTGCGCGACTGGCCGTACAGAGAGAGGATTATTTTTGGAGCAGCGGCGCGCTTTTACAAGTGAATAAGGTGCGATGGCCCGCCGACACGTTGACAAAAGAATAGGCTGTATTTTCACTTTACTCGTTCTCGCATTCAACTATTTCGAATGAATCTAACTTTTTCCACAGCGAACTGTCTAAGCGCTCGCTACTGGTGTCGTTGAAGCGAAAAAAAAATTGCGTAAATAGGCCATCGAGGCGTGATTATACGTTACGGTACTCTCATAATTTCTCGAAAAAGCGATATAATACGCTCAGCTGCTTTAAAGCCAAACGCTCAAGGTAAACCGGGATCGGAATTGGGAAAAGGAAAGAAGAAAAAATAACGAGTACATGTACATGGTAAGATACGATTATTATTGCTACGATTTATCAATTTTGTATACAAACGCTCTACGTGCGTTAGTAGTTCAGAGTAGTAGTACAGAGCGTTGCGTCATACATACACATTGGTAAGTGTACGAATATAAGCCCGTGCAGGCGAGTAGATATATATGTACGGTGCAATGAACACATACAAGTAGAAAACAAAATGTTTTTTCGAGAGTATAAACAAAACTGATCTAATTATCCGAGAGTTTTGCAAACGACTGTAGTACATGCCTTTGTGGTGAATATAAAAATAAAGCGCAGCGCTACAAAGAGACGTAAATTCGTGCGATTCAGCGGCGCGCTCTGAAATTAACGAGACACATCGCATGGAGCGATGACTGATCGAAATATACTTTATGTACCGATTTTTCTTTCGAAAGGGGGAATGTGTCCTTGAGTGATGCGCAATTTTCTTACCATTTACCGAGAATACATTTTACATTAAAAATGTTCAAAAGCATCGCTTAAGCAAGTTTTTTTTTTTCATGAAAATTATCGCAATGTCTTTGGTAATGATTGATACAAGTAGTATATAAATGCACTCGACCAAAGAGTCAGAGGAAAACAAGGACCGATTTTTAAATGCCGAAATTTTGTTACAGCCAGTCAAATTTATTAATATACGGGGTGATTTCATGCCATTATGCGTCATCGTCCCTGTGAACAATTTTCAGAGGTGCCGGTAAAAAGACAATTGTAACGGAGCTGACGATGCTGACCGTCTTGAAAAGCGGCGCGTGAAAATTGCGCGTGTAGTGTGCCACACTGGGCACGAAAACAGGCGCGGGGGCGCGATTCGGCCTCATCGAGCAAGTCATTTTTTTCCTTCCGAAACACTTGACTACGTTAAAACTCGACGACGTGTAGTCTCTGATATTTTTCATAAAACGAAGCTATCTATCACTTTCGAGATCTCGGAGACCCGTAGTTGTCCTTCTTTTTTTAATTAGTTCAACGAGATGAAGAAAAAAGCGTTGAAAATTCTTCTCGCTTCCTTTGACTGACACGCCCTTCTTCGTGTAGTCTATTGGCAAAAAGGTCAATTCTTCACGCTTGATCGAAACCTACGGACTCGGCTCTCGGGAGTTCGGTGACCTGCAGACACGAATTTACGCTCTGACGCTTTTCTAATTTCCTCCGTCGACTTTCCAAATTGATTTCAAATGAAGACGAGTAACGGAATGCTCTGGTCCTTTCTTTCGCTTGGAGCTTTCGTTCAATCTGAGCCGGTTTGTAATCTCAGCAAATAACAAATATTTTGTCAAGTTTTCTCGCAAAGTTAGACACGAAATGAAAAAATGCTCGATCAATTTCGTCACCGGATGTTTCACGCAGTTTTGTGCAGGCTCCGACAAATCATAACACTTAATCAACGATTTTTCGCGGGCTCTACGTAAAGAGTCAAATATCTTGGTCAACGGCCAACAAAAGACTGCGGAGGCTCTGGACGATACGTCACTCGACTAGTTTTCTTTTTGTTTCGGGCTTCCGACTCGTATTGTCGATTTAATGGAAAATTATCGATGCGTTTGAGTTTTTTATAATTGCTGACCCTTCGATAACTACAGATTATATGTCTTAGATTATTCACTATCTTTTGTAACACTGGGTAACTGAAAAATTGAACCAACTGGTTTTGTCGAATGCTTCACACGCCAAATAAAAATTTTACGTCACAGTAGTGCACTTTTCTTTCGTTTCTATTCAAAAAGTCTCGAATTTTCATTACACTTGACTTCTTGCATGCAAATGATTCTCTTTCGTTTGTTCTTTCACGGAGAAAAAATGTAGTGTTACGCCAGATGAAGAAACGTGAGTCGGCTTCTCGATTGTGCCTGTATCGTAAAAATTGTAAAAATGTGAATATGCACATGCAATGTCTTACTCAAATTCAATGACACCAAAAAAGTAAGGTCTTTACCTCGATGTGTGTGTGTTTTTTTTTGACGAAAGAACCAAGTCACTTGTATCCAATTAACTCCGAACGAAAAGATGTCAGTTATCGCAGACTCGAATACAAATAAAAAAGGCGAATTAAGAAAAATATGATCGAGGAGCGTTTGCTAACGTGCGTGCGCCAGCGTCGCGAAATCAAGACTAAAGGTTCAGCCGACTACCGGCGGCGAATTTATATTTAAAACAGCGCGCGGCGTCGTCTTCGCTTGTCGTCTCACGATTTTCCGCGGAAACCACAAAAAGAGAAAGAGACAAAGACAGACAGAGAAAGAGAGGGAGAGAGGCAACTTCTTATACATGGCGAATGAAAGCGAATTCGAGAAAATCTTGCAAAAGGTAAATTAGATGAGCTTGATGCTCTGTAGCTGTGCTAAGAGACAAGTGACGATCAATTGCGTTGCATCAAATACGATGTAAAAAAAGCTTTGACAAATGAAAAGAGACACGAAAATCGATTCAAATGAGTAAGTATAGCAACGAGAACGAGAAAACAACGCAAACACATGAGCAACTATTTTATTATGAAAAAATGAGATTACTTTTGAATACTTGGTTTATATTTACTGCTACGGTACGGCGATATGGAAATAGTTTAACGATGATTTCACTTTGCGCTTGAATCATCTCAAGAATTTTCTACCCCAAAATATTGTAAAATAAAATAATCGGTTAGTGATTCGAAAGCAACGGGTCATGAAAAATTCCGAAACTAAAATAGGAGCTAAATCATAACGAATTTCCTCGGTGAGACGTAAAATTAATTTAGAAGTGAAACAAATACGCGATTAGTCTGTGCTGTATATATAGATTTACTGGTAAATTGAAAATTGGCTAACTTGTGTAGACGTGAATGTGACTCATAGAGATTTACGAATACTTCCTTTACATTGCACTTGGCGATGCTAGGAGCACTTGCTTGTTTAACCCGTAGTAAGTCATGCTAGCCGACGCATTCTGTCGTTCGTTAAGTGCCCAAAATTAACATATTCAAATTCAAGTCACTGATACAAATTTAATTTCGCATACGCCGTTAGCCGAGTGAAAATCAAGATTAATTCTCGGGCGAAAAAGTGCATGTACCAATTACCGCGAGAACAAAGAACAAAGTTTGCTTCAAGTTTTGGCAAATGACGTTGAAAAAATTCAGCTTACTTTGCTTTCATACTCACGGTAATAAACCATTTGCAGAAATGCAAAATTTTGTGAATTATCTTATGAGTCAACAGAGATCTTCTGTATGAATCGACAAATCATTTTTGGGAATAAAACTCGCATAATTTAAGTCGGAAAAACATTGCCAGTGTGTTTTTCGGGTCAATAACATTACTTCAACCCACACAATTTACGACCGTTGATGAATAAGTGACTCTTGAAAAATGCGTCACGCGACAAAACAATGGTTCAATGATATCGACTGTTTTTCAATTTATCGAGTAGAAAGATAATGCTACGGATTTTCAGTACTACATTAATAAGAAATTATCTACAAAACATCAAAAATAATGATTTGAATCCAAATGGAGAGCTCTTTAAATACTATAGTTGAATTTATGGCGGGAACGTGGAAGGGCCCAAGAGAATCAAAGTTATGGCGATCATATCGAAGTAAGCCTCGATCAGATCAGTCAAGTTCAAATTTTTGCTCAACTTTTGATTAAAAAATGAATAAGCCATTGTTCAGAACAAACCTCCAAGCTAGTGTTTCAATGCAACCTTCGAATGTTAGCGGTAAAGAAGGCGTCGATTGTCTTTTTGTATCGAGCCAATAATACACTCACATATACACACACACACGAACAATACACGCGCGTAAACGCAGAGCTACCTCGCAAGAGAGGGAAACATATCGATTGAGGTCGAGGTTGAAAAGCAAAACGTATGTCAGAATTCGTAGCCACCCTCGCGCACCTGATTTTTTTCAACTACTATGATGACGATGATGATGGAGAAGAATCGCACGAGTAACATTTACCCTCGGTTTTCGTTTGTGCCGTTGCCAGAGCGAAAGAGAGAGAGAGAGAGAGAGAAGGTGCAACGAGTCGGTGAAATTGATCCAACAACAACTGCGTTGCTAGGTGTTGTGTAGCTAAATAAAAAAAACCAGCCGAAATCCAGCGCTGCATTATAATATAAATGCACTTAAAATAAGACTGATAATATTACATTTCTCGAGTAACCACGAGGAAAAATGTGACTATTTTAAAGTAAGAAAAAATTTTCTTGGCTGTAAAAATGATGGTGACAAGTGAGCAGTTGGCGCTGTACACGGCAACACTTTTAATTTCAAAGAGAATTCGCACTTTCAATCAGACACGACCGTTGTTAACCGCTTTTACAGAGTTGGTGATCATTATGAAAATATTTCTTGACGTGTCGTTTGACTGGCGGCGCGGAGTCGCGAATTAATGATATTTCGCAAATTTTATCGGCATGCATCACGTCAAATCCAGCCAATGTTGAATAACAAAGAAGCTGGTAGAAGAAAAATAATACGAGATAGACAGGAGAGATGAGAAGCAGAGCGAGGAGGAGAAAGAAAAAGGACGATTTGATAGACACAATCTGGCTTTAGGTATACGTACACAAATGGCTGTCTGGTAGTACATTTTTGACAGCCGAGGTCAGACTTTCGTTTCGCGATATTTCACGGCTCTCTCGAGCACGTAAATGCTCTCGTGAAAGCGCATCACTCGGTTACGCGATGGGGACCAGAAAATGTTTTTCATCGCATTTAACGCGTGCGCGGATATAATTGCTCGCGGAGAAGAGAATAATCCGTAAAAACTGTCAAGTACAGAGCATTGCACGATGGTTCGATCGAGAGCCTTTACATTTGCTCGCGAGGATGTAAAAGTACGCCGAACGATGATAAGGAAACCGAAGACTCGTCGGAGCACAAAGAGACGCGCGAGAGACTCGGCAAAGGAAAAAATAAAAGAGGGAAAAGAGTCTAGAGCGAGGCATTTCTTTGTGGTGCAGAGGCATGTGCGCAAATGGTGCGATGACGTGTACATACAGGCTGGTATATACATTATAAGTGTGTGTATACGCGTAGTGCGCAGTAAGTAAGATCAGCTGTGTCGCTTAGGGAGCAAAGCCCCGTTATATGGGCATAGCCGCACGCGTGCTCGGAATGATCAACGAGCAAAGAATATTGTTTTCTGTCGCGAGCACCTACGAGCCTCCTCCTTGTCACTTGTGTGTTTGGTTGCACTGCGTGTAGTCTCGCGCGAGGCGGCGGCACACATGCTCGCGCGCAAAATGTTTTTTCGACACGCTCTCGCGCATCAAAACGCTCGTCGCGGAGAACGAGCCGAGTTCGTTGAACCCTCGATCGACGACTACTACCGCGCCGTCGTCGCGCGTTGCCGTTTTTGTTATTGTTTCGTTTTACTCGCGCTCTACCCCGTGGCACGTGTTCGCGAGCGCCATCGAGATGAAAATTAATATTTCATTTTGCTTCGCCGCGTCTTACGTAACTGCAGCCGAGAGCCTGTATACGTCGGAGCTTTTGCAATTGAAAGCAATTAATTAGCAGGTTTTGCATTCGCAGGGATTTTAATTTCTTGCTCGCATCTCTTACTAACGATCGCTCTCACCTTAACCCGATTCAGAAATAAACATCGAGAATAGGAATCGAGTAGAAATAGAGGTAGACAATTTTTGCAAATGTTTCGAGCTCTAGACGCTTGTAAGCGTCAGCAAAGGATCACGAGAACGGACAAACGAGGAGGAAAAAAGTGACGACTCGCAGCCCAAAATACTCAAGACGAGCAAGCAATGGACTTTCGGTGTATAGCTGCGCACCGTACGAGCGAGCAAACGACTTTTCTCTTTGCATTCGAGGCGATGCCATACTCGGTGCCATCGTTCTATTTTTAGCCTTGGTAACTGCGTACTTCGACCGATGCGACTGTGCAGCTGCGCTTTCCATTCGATTCGCCGACACGACTCGACAGTGAAAATTGCGCGATTTATCACGTTTGAGGTGTATCGTTGGGGCGATTCATAAGTAAAACTTAGTAGCATATGAGGTCTCGGATCAGTATCGCGCCTTGCGAGCGCGGTATTGACACAAGACCTTGGCTTTACTTTCAAAAGTCGGAGTAAGAGCAGCTGTGCTCTGGACGAGCTACATCGGAGCTCGCGCACCTCTTCTTATGGGCATCTACCGAATAATATGATGATAATGAGTATGCGACGAGCTGGACGAAATAATGAAGACCTGGACGTGATTTACCTTAGAAGTATTGGATAAAAAATGTCCTGTCGGTACAATCTTGAACGAAACACGATTAATATGTTTCGACAATTTTCACGAGGTTCAACGAATAATTTTCAACAAAAACGAGCTCGTGTAGTTACTTTTTGCTAGTTATACGTATTGTATTAGAGAGGGAGAAGGAGAGAACAAGATCAGTACGAGCAAGGTTTTTCTCTCCGACTTTTGAGATCGATAGCGAGTCTACATACACTTTATGCAGTCCAACTCGAAGCACATAATGTAAATACATTATATACTATCGCTTTCGCAACGCTCCGAGGTTATGTCGATTCGCGGAGAACAGAGATGTACTTTCACTCCTCTATAACTACTCGCTAGGCAAGCGAGTATACGTAGGTATAATATGGATAGTTACATGCCTCTATCGAAGCCAAGTCCGCGAGTAATTCGCGGCCGGTGCGCGACTGCGAGAAAACGCAGAAAATGAAAATCCTTTGTTACGTAAACATTCGACTTGGCTCGTTTGTTCGAGCGACTCCGACGTTGCGCGGCTATTTAATTTGCCGAGCGAGCCAACGACCTTTGACAAAATTATTCCTAAGAACGTGATTAAAAGGGAAAATAAATTTCGAGCGACGCGTCCGATTATATATGCACGTATTGTATTACGATGTGCGGAGGAGCGCACACGTGTGCACAATTCCATTGTTTAGCTCGCACGAGAACAGCTGACCTGTGCGAGTCGTAGCCAACTCTTACATCGATACGGTATTCAATTCTCGAAAATTTGAAAACGGCACATTGTGGCTCAAAGCAAATTTACATCTCATATTCAGCGATGAATCTTGGCTTGGAAAAAAAACAAGGCCCAACGACATAATCGGAGCGTGTGCTATAAATAATAATGAACGCTACTGCTGCTATTGCTCTTGGGGAATCTGGTTGAGGGCCGCAGCAAGACCCAAGGACTCTACAACTCAGCTGCCGAGTATTCCTTACATGGAAAGGTGCTTCCGTCCACTTGACCAGATCACTTTTTTTTTTATTCAAACATCGTCATCCGCCTATTTTTCAAGGTGCAATCGAGCTACAGTAGCTGTTGCAGTGCCCCAACAGAGTGATGCATTATTATTGGCCGTTGAGTGCGCATGTAACATCGTGATTCGTTCGACTGGACACGATTCAAACCGAGACGTAGAAGACAGCGTGAAAAATGCAACGCTATCGCTGATGCAAAGCACTCGAGCGTTGGCTTTGTCGGACGAGAGTTTGATCGATTATCAAAGAGCGATACGTCGTACTCTACGAGTCTCGGCCAAACAAAGTCGCTGTTGCCGCATATGCGCCGCAGTGGCGGAGGCGGTCGTTAGCAACGCTCGATTAGTGGGTCAAAATTTTTGGCTGCTAATTTAGTCGCTCTTGCCCGTTTAAAAGAACAATGAGAGCAAAGTATAGAATGTATACATTTTGCGCAACAAAGAGCAAAGTGACATTAATTGAGGTTAGGTGTGTATCAGTCAGCTGTGCGATTATTGATTTCATGCCTGCACGACCGGAGCTATTTCGTTTACCGCATAACAAAACAGAGACACGGGTAAAACAAAAAGCCAGCGAGAACGTGTCGGAGTAATGGTCATTCGAGCTTTCTTTTGCGACGATTCGCGATAAGCAGTCGAAACTCCAAGGCACGCTAACTCGCCGAGGCATATCTCTTTGTTCTGTAACTATCAACGACTCCGACACTAGCACAAATAAAGTTTCTAACCTCCAAAGGATATTCCTGCCTGACACTCGAGAACATCGGTATAAACATCGTGTAAAGACAAAGGTTGAATGCTTGATGGTACTTACATGACTAGTCTTGATACAATCGACGAAATCATGATTGCCGATCGCTGCGTCTGGTATCACAAATGAAAACTTATAAATAGAAGAACGAACACAAGACGGAGCGAAGTTAACTAGTGCAGTACGATGAGATGGGTCAGGCGCGTTTGTAGCACTGGCTCGGTCGATCGTCGTCGTCGTCAGTCTCGCGCGCACATCTGCACCAGGGGTCAATCACATTTGCAGTTGGGGGGTCTTGAGAATCGGCCCTCGCTTGCTCGGCCCAACTCCGTGAGTGCCTTTAAACCCATGTACACGCACTTTGGAGTGCTGTGCGTACGCAGTTGCCGTTCGGCAGTCTACTGACACAGGCTCGGGACGATGACGCGCTGCTGCGTGTTGTTTTACGCACACATATTACATCGCGAGCAGCCCAAGTCGACTATGAGGCAGCCAGGCGAGCTCTCGAGGCTCGGCCGCAGAGGTGGGGATCCGTATGTATTCCGTGCAGTGCCACGGCTGTATGTGTGTGTATGTTGCTATATCGCGATACGTGTGTATATGTAACGACAGCCATGTTTAAAAGTCGAAACGAGCCGCGAAGCGAGCGAAGCGCCCCGACTCGGAGCTGGGAATTGCGATCCGATGCCGAACTGCATTATATGCGCTGCGCGGCTGCCGCTGCACTCGCTTCTATATAGTCGCTGCTGCAATCGACGGGTTATACGACATGCGGTGTATGCCTTACTGCGCAGATTTTCGCCGTCTCGCCGAGTCGACGGCCTCGGGCCTCGCGACCAGAGAGACTTGCCGTCGTCACGTGATGATGCTCGCATACAATACCTATTACTCGACGCGAGCTTTTTAAATTTTCGACTCTCGAGCTTTTGCTGGTCTTTTAACTGAAAAATATAAGCGACTGAACAGTCGGTTCGCTACAGTACGTCCGATACTCAATGAGACGACTAAAATTGCAATTTTTCTCATTTAAATATTGCAAGTGCTGAAAATTGTCTTTCAAACGCTTGCAAAACGCTTTACCACCGAACGTTATTTCAATGATTTATCGAGTGACCACGTTTGAAACATCAGCAGAAATTTTTCCCCCAGCGAATCACGACAGTTGCATTTGGAAAATTATGAAAAGTGCTCGATTCAAACTCGAGTCGGTTGGTAGTTGGATCGTCTGCTCTCCCGCTAGTCGGTTAATTTTTAACCGTTTGATTTCCAATTTGCGGACACATGGAAATTTTGTCGCCGATCGTTTGGTCCAAAGAAAAACATAGGCTCGAGAGCATAAAAATAGTGAGTTTCGTCGAGCGCACAGCTGGTTCGCTATATAGGTAGTACGCATTGCGAGCTGCACGAGGGAAAAGATAGCCTCTCTTGCTAAAGTAAGCGTTCGTCAGGCGCGCGCGAGAAGTGTATATTCCGCTGGCACAACATACAAGCATTCGCGGTCTTTTTCCCCTCCGCGCGCGACTTTTGCCTGTGTGCGGCGTGTCGCACTGCACGCACACCACCATACGCTACACATGCAAGAGACTGTGAGGATACGGTGCACTACTGTGCAGTGCAGTCGGCAGAGTTGGCTCGTTCGTTTTCGTGAACGCGAACGCGGCGCAGAGGTGGGAGGCTCTCGCGAAGCAGCGCGCGAGAGGAGGCCCGCCGGGGAGGGGATGCGAATCGACGTTCTCTCTCTTTCTCGCTCGCGCGCGCGCCTCTCGACTCTCGTCAGTATGCGCTAAGCAATTTCGCTAGCCGGGTGTAGCCTTTACCGTCTCTCGTCGTCCCACCGTGCGTCTCTCTCTCGTCCGTGCGTTATATTTGCTAAATAACAAGCATATGCAGTTGCAAAATCCAGAACGAAACTCGTCGATCACCGCCCGTATCTTAGTACCTCGACTTGCTCGTCGATACTGCGCTCAAATTTTACGCCCGATCGGCTGAAAACGAACGGTTGGCATAGAAAACAATTTGTTTATACGTTATTCGCTGTGCAAAGTTTGTAAATCTCAGGTTGTATGGCTGTGTATACTTATTGCTTCAAGCATACGTACAACGCCGTGAGCAGTGTAAAAAGTTTTACTCGTTAAAAGCAACCTCGGAATTAGTTCAAATGTGTTGAGCCCAAAAAAAGCTCTCGTTTTCTATTTTGATCCGAAAGACCAGGGCACAATCAGTGACTAGCTGCTAATACTGTCAGTAGCTCTTGAAGAAAAGTGTGCTTCGTTACGAGCTCAACGATAACTGACGGATGCACCAGTGTTGCTGAAATAAAGAAAAAAAGTTAAGAAAGTGGAGAAAGTAAAGAAAAAGGGGCAAAAGTGACGAGTGCTGTTTCGCGAAGACGCAGGCAGAACAAAATCTTGCTCGTTCCATATGAATAGGCTAGCAGTAATCGACTATGCTAAAATTCGACGAGCCGAGTAAGCAATCGCCGAAAAACAAGAGCATCGTCAGGCGCGACACGAGTAGCCCGAAACGCTCGTGACGGCTGGCCAACGCTCTGCCACTGTCGATGATGACGACGACAACAACGACCGTTTCAAAAACAATAACAACAACGAACAAAAGCATGACTTCGAGGACCAGTGGCGCTTTCACCTCGTCTAACTGCCTGTATCACGAATGACAACGTTGCTTATAATCAGCCAGAGGGCTCGGCATTTCAGGATGACGCGCCGCGAGAATCGCGAGTGTGATTAGTATATACATTTGCAGCCGCGCGACCTTCTTGACAATAAACATCTTTTTGTGCTCGTGTGTGATAATTTGGCCCTTTCAAACATGGAGAAGGGCTGAAGATTCGAATCATCCATAGTGCTATTACTTTTACATACATATTAGAGCAGTTTTGTGCATCGCAAGCTTCGCTTGCCAGTCAGCGATTGTGTCTGTGTGTAGCGAGGTGATAAGTTTGTGTTTTTTTTAACGTCGAGTGGTTGATAAAAATTTGTTATTGATGAGTGAGGCCCCGATTATGGCAAAAACCTATCAGTACCGCGAGGAGCTCGTGGGAAAAAGGTTTCTGTCAGTAAACAATCCGGATGACGACAAGCCAAAGTTGAAGGTCAGCGAGATCGAGAAGTGGGACTGGCGAGCCGGCGTCATCAGAGCAACGACCCATCGTGAAAACAACAACGAGGAGCTCCAAGTGAGTTTTCGCGAGTATTTTTTGCGAGCTCGGTCTGCTTAATAAATCATACACATACCTACTGGTATACGCGTTCGGTCCTTTGCGAGTGTGTGCGTGGCTCCGTGTTGATGTGTGCGTGTGCATGTTTACTTGTGCGCCTGTGCTAAGCAGTGGGCTAGACCCCTCGCAGCCGGTGGGTGGTATAGTGAGCGGTAGACGCGCGCGCGAGAGGCAACACTGCTGCTGCCGCTACTGCACGCACACAGCCCTTGACGCGCGCGCGAGCTACACAGCGAGGTGACTAACCTCCGGGGTCGTTAGCCCGGCACCGCAGTCCGAGCCTCGTCACCGCCGCAGCAGCACAGCCAATTTTACGCGCGGCCTTCCAAATATCTCAAGGAAAAATCTCAAGAAAAACCTGCGCCTCCTGGCCGAGTCAAAATATGCTCTACCCTTTTTTCCACGCCCAAAAGCTCCATCGATTTCGACTCGCTTTCGATTAGCTTTGAAGGTTGAGGGAGGGCGGGGTGCCTTTCTTTCTCGTCTAGATCGTAAATAAAATATACCTTTTTCGAATTTGCTGTTGATGAAGTATATATAATTTCTCGCGGCACGTAAATTATTACGTATTATTGGTGGTCAGCGTTAAATGAGCGAGATTTCATAAGAAAGTGCAATCGGTGAACGTGGGGTCAGTTTTTTACCTGAATATTCAATGAGGATATTATCGAGGAGGAAAAATCAAACTGCTCGTTGTCCAAAATAATGAAAATGTTGCCCTCTCGCATACAGCCTTGGCGAATTTCGCATGCATATCGCGTTTGCACAAACATCTGCGCTCGCGCTCGCTTCAATGACACGACCTTGCCGAGCTCGCGCGCGCACTGTCAAGATAACAGAGAGACAGAGAAAGAGAACTGCCTTTACGGACTCATTTCTTTTTTTGCATTTCTTTCGAATCTGCATTAATCGGTGACAATCTCTGACCGCAGTAACAATCAGCTGTCTGCTGCTCTAAGGATTCTTTAAACTCCTTCTTGCTGTGCCCCCTGCATCCTGAACCTGCCTATATTCGCGCAACTGACGTATAAAGACTCTCCGACTCGTTGCTACATTTTTATTTGTACATTATTAAAACTCGTTGGATCGAGCTTGACGGTGTGCCAATTCGGAACGTCGTCCAGACAACCTCTACTTCCCATAGTTGACGATCTTTTATTTTTTGCTTCTTGTTCGAGTACGCGCTGATCGATCAAGATTGGGGAATGAAAAAACGTCGAGCGCGAGCGAGCGAGATAAAATTCCACGCGATGCGCTGCCGCCTGCTGCCTGGCTCGAGCCACTTGCGATAACAAAACGCTCGCGCTTCCAAGTTTTTGCTCGAATTTCATGTACTCCATCCTTATATTATTTATCGAGAGAACACGCGGAGCAACGAGAAGTGCAGTGTTCTGCGGCGTGGAGTAATTTTGAAAGTAAGTCGCCAACAAGCTCGAGCGATTACGAAACTGCGCGCGCGAGCTATACTCGATGAAGTTATCGAAGTTACCTTTGCCATGTGTGTGCCTCGCGAGCGCAACTACCTATAATATACGTAACCGTCGTGCCAGGCTCGAAATCCAAGTGTGCTGAAAAGCCGCGTTGAAACTTGTGACGACTTTTCTCTCTTCCTCTTTGCGTATAACACCGATTTTGTCCATGTGTGTCGTACATTTGCCCGGCTTCGCCACTACAACTACGTACTTACATCTGTGTAACCCTATACATGACGAATAGAAAAAAATACTCGTTCATACTTTTACGTAAATTTAAATCACGTGAATTTTCGCCTCGAAATTCTTACGTTTCATTAATAACGAGTCATCCAACGGTAAAAGAAAAAATATACTACTAGCTCAGTTATGAAAGTCGTTTTTTGTCTCTCTTTCTTTCTCTCTGGGTTTTGCAAATGGCCCGAAAAGTACATTGTTGTCCACAGGGATCGTGTATCCCGAGCGCACTTTATCGATTCAAGACCGCTTGCTTGCACATTGCTTTCTTTTTGCTTTGTAAAACAGAGCATCGAAGGTCAGAAATGTTTTGGACATTTGGCATCCACCCGAGCCTAGTATTTGAAGTTTACAAAACTTTCCTCTTCTTTGAATAGCTATAGAACGTTTTCTCAAGCCGAAAAGCAGCTTAGGCTGAATTTCGTTCGGTATCATGGGTACCTTCGCACGCATCGCGGTTTATTTTATCTTGCTCAGTACAACGTACGGCAGCGCGTGTGGTACTTTTAGGAGATATTTTTAGAAGTAGCGAAGCAGCAGCAGCAGCGAGGCTCATGCGTGCAGTGTCACGAAGACTGTACAATTGATCGGAATATCGCGGAGGGAAAACGTCGCCGAGGCGCGCGTTACATGCTCATCCTTGCGAGCTGCTGCTGGCAATTGGCAATTGGAGGCGCGCGTACATCCGTTGCTCGCGATGCACCGTTAATCCGTGCGCGCATATACACACACTCGCAACACGGTAATTTCCAAACGTACGTGTGCATATGTACAGCGATCTTACCCACGTGCACGAGACCCTTGACTCATATTGTGTGTTGTGTTGTTGCGCGCAGTTATTGTAACACTCGCGAGCGCGCTTTGATGGAAGAAGAGAGTTGTTTAACGGTAATTTCTACCTCTCTCTCGCTACCAATGATAACGTTAATTATTTCTTTCCTACGTAACCTGAATTCAGCAAGGCGTTTTTCTTCTTTTCTGGCTATTGTCTACATGCGCATCGAATCTCGTACGCGCATTATATCGCAGCGCGATACAAAGAGAGATACAAGTCGTTGACGATTTCAAAGTAGTTTTAAATAAGTCAGCTGCAAAAAGCGCCAACTCGACAGTAAGTGAGTTTTTCATTGTGCTTAGCGTCGAATCGAGCGCGTCGGAAAAAAAATGAGAGCAAAAAGAGACAAAAGTAGGAAATTGCGCGCTCGGCATCAGCTCGTACGGTGCTGATCAAGCTATATAATCGCGACATAATGCACGTAACTAATCCGCGACTTGCTTCTAATACATAACCTACATACTTGCCGTGTGTTCTCTCTCTCTCTCGTATAAACGACTATAGTCGTCGTCGTATATGTATTTACAGTTTGAATAATGGCACACGTGGAATGTGACTTAACATGTACATTTTTGAACGTACACGACTACATAAAGTATAAAGACGATCGTTTCAAGGCGTATAGTTTCAGTAGCACGCGCGGATCTCTGTATGGATTTTGCGCGAAAACTGAAAAGTCACCGCTTGCAAGCATCATCTGCAAGAGAGAGAGAAAAAAGGTTCTTTCGCAGCTTCTCTTACGATTCTCGTAACGAAGCACGTATCTATACACATTCTTGGCTCGCGCGGCAGTGGCGGTGAGCGAGCAGCTCTCGTATCCATCGGAGCATATACGTCGACGGTAAACACACGCTCTCGGCGCGCAGTTACTTTCACCCGAGCGGAAAATTCTTTCGAACACACACACACACACAGACAAGCGCGCGAGCACGCGTGCACCCATAGGAGGAATAGGAGCTTTCGCATACCACACACACACACAAACATACACACGTTCGCGTGAGCCAAAGAGAAAGAGAGAGAGAGAGAGAAAAGACGCTGGTTCACTCGCGTACACATCTCCAGCAGCGCGCAAGTTTAACGAACTGTATGTGCTTCGTAGGTAGAAAATTAGCGTCTCGCGTGCGCCTTTAATTATTTGCGCGGTCCGCAGCTCGTGTGGCAGCCTTCTTCTAGCAGCCACATAGCGATCTGTAGCCACCTACAACGTGTTCAAGTTGGATAAAGTCCGATTTATTTTCGGCCGAAGCCTAAATATTATCGGCTCTAAAAATATCGCGGCGCTTTGAGCATGCGCTGCTCGATGCGAGCTTCTCTCCCGGCGCAGGCGGCCGATTAGCGACTTGTCATCGCGCTCGGCTCGTGCGCGCCGCTTTCGGTTTCGTATCGGCGAGCAAATCTTCGCAACTTTCTCTCGCGATTGCGGGCCTCCTTTCCTTACACTGCTGCTGTTACTGCTGCCGACTGCACTTGCTCTATTCAAATTGCCTCATCGTGGCGAGTAGCGACGTAGCTGTCTCTAACTCTGGCTCTGTAAGCACCACCTGATGCTGTGCGCGCAGCTCGAGTCTTTTCAAGGACAAGCTGCTCTCCCGAATTCACCGCGTTGGAGCATTTTCAAGATCGCGTGCCACGCAAGTTTGCGCATAGTTTTGCTTTAGTAAAGTTGCGCTTACGCTGCAGATAGTTTCCATGTAGATTCACTTTTGTCAGGCGCTGGCCCCATAATAACACTGAACGTTCGTCTAGTTTTTCATCTTACGAACAATCACGATGTTTTCAATTATTCCTTGAATCGATCATGTACATGTTTTCTTCGTTTCATTGAATCTTACGACGAAATATATAATTTTAAATTTTACAAGCGGTGTTTCGAGTGGTCGAACTTCTCCAGTTAGAAATATCAGATTATAAAAAATCCAAACGAAAACTTATCTGACTTGTGTACATGTGCTTGAGCGATAGTCGTACGCTGTCCACGTTGGCTTCTTGGCTGGCTGGTTCGAGCTTCGCCACCTCTCGCGCGCGTTTCAGTATAGTAAGGAATCAAGGTCAGGAACCGGAACTCTACTCCGCCTTTTTTTTCTTTGCTTCGTCTCTCTGTCTCTCTCTCTCTCTCTCTCTCTCTCTCTCTCTCACTCATTCTCTGACGTAGCTTGCCATATTATGTTTCCTCTCTCACTCGCCGTCTGCGAATCGACCGACTTTGATGCAGAAAACCTTAAAAGGTATGTGTGCTGCTCGTTTCATAGCTCTGTTGCTAGTTTTAAAGATGTCGCTGAAGATCGTAACGTTATTAAATAACGAAAAAATTAAACACAGCATATCATTGGAAAAATGTTTATTTGTCTCCGATCCCACAAAAAATGAGTATCCACATACAAATAAAGAAGTAAGCTTTAGATACAAGTCGA